TCCCAAGGTACCCCAACTCATAATTCTGCAGTCTCCAGTTGTTCCGCCCAGAAGCTGCTTCCCCACCACTTAGTTCTATCCAACTAACCCTATCCACTACTATGAAATGTCAATCTATACAGAACTCTCCGTCGTTTACTATGACCAGGTTTCTATCTGAAACGGCAGAGATCTCGGGGGATCCCGCTGCCATGACAATGCATATAGTCTAGTCTAGTATGCATTCACACGCAATCATTGACACCAAATCCCGGCTCAGTCAAGTAGATAGCAACTATGTACCCATGTAATAGACACCTGATCCCTCTCAAGGGATTAATTACATGCAGTTCCAGTCCTGCAGCTTACACAGTTCATCCCTTATCTCCGGCTCTACCCCGTAGCGGCCGCTTACGCACCTCGTGGGGTTTGCTTTTGCTTGTACCTGCCGGATCCAGCCTCGGCTTCTGCTCTCCTTGATACCGATTGCGATCTTTCCCGAAAAAGCGAACCTCGTACCTTCGGGTTGATTTATACCGGCGGGAGGTTAAGACTGTTCTGATCTCACCAAACCCCAGCGAATTCTGCCTGTATAATCCTTATTTCCCGTCGGGACTGCTGCCAATTTCCTAGTTGATCACTGAAACGGTTGGCTGAAAAAAAGAAATCTACTCTTTGTTGCCTGGTTTTCCTCTAGATGAAGCTTGATGGTTCTGACACCGACAAGCGCCATAATAACAATCTCGGGTTAGCTCTTCCCCGTGGATCTCAGCTGGATTTGTCGCTTACTCGTCTTTGGATTTTATCGGGAGACTTTTCATTCATTCTGAGGCGCTCTTTTGGTATGACAGACGTTCTAATGTACTGAAAAGGGGAGGATGCTATAGACTGCGTCCTAGATGTGCTTCCTACATGAGCTAGAGCACATGCAGAACTAATATTTAGTGACCTCATGGCACTCTTGATGGTGAAAAAAATTTCTTCGGTTATAATATAGGAGACGTCTTCGCGAGGTCTTTAAAAGTGCACTGAAAGATATTGGACTGCTGGTTCGATTCGTTGTGAACCTATTTGGTTCACCGGAAGAGATACCGGAAAGAATGTTTTGATGGCAGGGCCCGATCCGGGAACATTTGCGATCAAGTGACTCACGGATGGTATGTGTTGTTGTGTTGCAATGCAATGCTACAACAACACCGCGTTATCAATGCCGATCGGCGGGGTTGGGATACTCTGGAGTCTGGCCATCACTCCCCGGCAAGAAGTCAATGGGTGGCCTGAGGGTATGCAGCCCCCGACTGAATGGTGTCAGTCACAGCTTTCAGTGCGTGCAGCTTATTAACTTAAAATCTGTGATATTTCTGCGAATAAGGACAAAGACCTGAGGTAGGACAGCAGCCTGACTCATCCCTGTTACTACTTGACCTTGACTAGTACTAGTCTTTGTCTTCGCCGATTATGCGCCTATAAGAAGCCCCTAGCTTCACAACCCCCTCTTGATACTACTCTGCTGCAGCCTGCTACTCTCTTGATTCGCTTTTGACTGTCATATATCCATCCCCCTGCTAACGAACGTAAAATGCCAACATTCTGGCCATCAATTACCCCAGAGCTCCGAGACTGGGCCTTGCGCCAAAGCGTCTTTTTCGTGGCCTCTGCACCTCTGCAAGGAAAACATGTGAATGTGTCGCCGAAAGGGTTTCCTGACTCGTCGTTCGCCATCCTGGGTCCTAACGAGGCAGCCTACGTTGATGCCACGGGCTCGGGAAGTGAGACCATAAGCCATGTGCGCGAGAACGGTCGAATTACCATTATGTTCTGCTCCTTTGATGCCTCGCCAGGCATTGTACGCTTCTTCTGCACTGGCTCTGTTATGGAATACGATGAGCCTGAATTCTCTGACTACCTCGAGCGGATGGGAGGCAAGAAAGTGGTGGGAGCGCGGGCTATCATTCGTCTGAATGTCTTCAAGGTTCTCTCCCCGACTCCTCCTAGAAGTGCCTTCTGGCTTATTGCCGCGAGCAAGATACGCTGCTAACAACGGATGCGATGCATGTTACGGGCTACAGGTTCAACGTTCTTGCGGTTACGGCGTCCCGCGATTGTCCCTGCAAGTCGATTCCGAAACCAACAACACCAAACCGTATCTCCAAGATCGAGATACCCTAGGCCATTGGACAGGCAAAAGGGTCGAAGCCAATGAGCTTCGCACCTACCAGAAGGAGTGGAACGTACGAAGTCTTGACGGGCTACCTGGACTACACAGGGCGCTGAAGGATAACCATCAGCTTGTCTGGGTGAAGCGGTTGGGCAACTGGACCCGCCGTCATAGAGATGAGATTGAGATGGTAAAAACCTCCATTTTGCTGCTGTTTGTCTCTATGGCTATCCTACAATGGGCGGGATACGTGTAAATATAGTAGGAAATGGGGTAAATTGAAGGGTCTGTTGCTTGTCACCACTTGGAGCTGGCCTGGTGGCGTGACCGCTCATCTGATCCACATGTGACTTAGACTTTCCTTCTTCTCTGTTGCTTGGTTGAGCTTCTTTCAACTGGTGCCTCCCGCATAGTGGCGCATAAATGCGACTTGTTGATCATTATGCCCGCGTAACTCAATTTCACGTAGGTCGCTCATCTTCTCTTGCCGGTCGATCCGACCGCAATGCGGCAGGTGAAAGCAGATCCCCGCATCTTCTTCCCAAACAACCGAATGTCCTCGGCATCTCACTGGAGACGAACTCGCAATATGTGCAACCTTTCTCGATTCCTTGGGACTGGCTAGCTGGGCAATGAACACTGGAAGTGCTATATAAACACTGTTTATGGCTGGACGAGATACTCTGTTCCCCGCCTGATATTCACACCACTTCTACTGTAGCGGTGAATACGCCTATACTATACATACTACCATGGCCCAACGCTCGGTTCGTATAGCTGGTACGTCGGTCGAGTTTGAACGCCCCAAGACCGTTATAGTTCACTGACCAAACTGAAAAGGTGCCTCCGGGTCCAACGCTGACCGTCGCCATGCCATCGCCGAGTTCGCTCACAATTATCATCAAGATCCAGTCGATGTGATCATTGCTGACTACATGAGCGAGGCGAATATGGTGGCATCGGCTGCCCGTACAGTAGAACAGCATCAGCGGAAAGAAAAAGGCACAAATGGATCCTCGACCATCGATGCACCAGGCTATGAAGTCGGCTTTCTCCAGGCCCTGGACCCGGCCCTCTCAGACCTGGCAAAGTACGGCATCAAAGTTGCGGTGAATGCAGGAAACACAGACACGGAGGGCCTCTACAAGGTGGTCAAGCAGATGGTGGAAGCAAAAGGACTGAACCTCAAGGTCGCTCTCAAAATGACCTCTGAAGAAGCCTTGCTCACATGAAACCCAGGTAGCTTGGGTCTCTGGAGACCAAGTCCTGTCAACCGTCAAAGCTGCATTGTCGTCGGGCAAGTCAGCCTTCACCAACATCTATACTGGCGAATCCCTCTTCAATTGGCCTTTCGAGCCCATCTTTGCTCAGTGCTACTTGGGAGGACTCGGAATTGCTGCCGCTCTATCCCAAGGAGCTGATATCGTACTCTGCGGACGAGTCTCCGATGCATCCCCCGTCATTGGAGCTGCATACTGGTTCCATGGGTGGAACCGCACTGACCTCGATCAGCTAGCCAACGCCTTCGTGGCTGGCCATCTCATCGAATGCAGCAACTATGTCTGCGGCGGCAACTTCACCGGCTTCAAGACCTTGGAACACGTCGGTCCTGATGGCTGGTCCAACATTGGATATCCCATTGCGGAAATCTCCCCAGAGGGCAAAGTGATCATTACCATGCAATCCTACGCGCGCGGGGGCGCCGTCACCATCGACACCTGCTCCTCACAGCTCCTATATGAGATCCAAGGCCCATGGTACTTCAACTCCGACGTAACCGCTATCCTGAACGACATCCACTTCGAGCAAATCAGCCCCAACCGCGTCGCCCTCCACGGCGTCCGCTCCGGACCACCACCCCCGACCACCAAAGTCGGCATCACAGCTCGCGGAGGCTTTCAAGCGGAAGCGGTCTATTTCCTCGTAGGCCTCGACATCCCTTCCAAGGCACGCATGCTCGAATCCCAGATTCGCCGACTCCTCTCACCGTATACCCCCAAATTCACCAGCCTCCAATTCGCAACTCTTGGCTCTGCCCCTGAGAACCCCGACGACCAAAGCAGCGCCACCGTCTGCCTCCGCATCGTCGCCCAAGCCCGCCACGCAGACGATCTCTCCCCAATGCACTTCCTCCGCTCCATCGTCGACACCATTATGCAAGGCTACCCGGGGGCCACCTTCCACCTCGACACCCGCCAAGGCTTCCCCCGTCCCGTCTACGAATACCACGTCACCCTCCTGCCCCAATCCGACATCAACCATCAAGTCCACCTCCCCTGGCGCCATCAAACCCTCACTATCCCTCCACCCCCAATCACAAAAATCTACCCTTCCCGCCAACCCTCCCAATCCGTCACCGACAATCCCACTTTGGACTTCGGCCCCACTATCCGCGGCCCTTTGGGCTGGATCGTCCACGCCCGGTCCGGCGACAAAGGCCCGGACGCGAACTGCGGGTTCTGGGTCCGTCATGCAGACGAGTACCGATGGCTTCGGTCGTTATTATCTGTGTCTGGAATCAGGGAACTCCTGGGCGAGAAGTATAATGCGAATCCCGAGCTGAGGGTTGAAAGATTTGAGTTGCAGAATTTGAAGGCTGTGCATTTTCTGTTCAGAAATTTGCTGGATAGGGGAGTGGGGGTTACTACGACAGTGGACTTTTTGGGGAAGAACGTGGCGGAGTTTCTTAGAGCGAGGCATGTCGATTTGCCGGTTAGATTTTTGGAGAGAGGGAAGTTGTAGGATTTTTTTGCTGGAGAAGTCTGATCTGCCAGACGGCTCCGTCATGGGTGAAATGGAGTAGTAATATTAGTCCGTAAGGAATTACGAGTCAAAGCTTCTGTTTGTGTCCGAACTGGTATCTCGTAACTAGCCCTCATCCATAGTATATATCATTGACGCCATAAATGCAACAGCTACAAGTAAGCAAATAGCTTATGCGACGCTGACCAAACAACATCCCTTCTTCTTGTTCTTCTTCTCCTCCCTCGCCCTCTTGACTTTATTTCATCATCTGCGCCTCGCACTACTAGCCATCGGCTCAAACGCATCACTATCATCCTCAATATCCTCACTCGCCGCCCTCGTAGCCCTCGTTGATCTCCCAGACCCCGCCGTCCCTCGCACACTACTCTGCGAGCCTACAAAATTCAGCGTTGTCTGAGTTGCTTGCTTGCCCCGAGTTCTTCGCGTAGCTTGTCCGGTTCCTCCAACTGTATTGGATGAAGGTGCTGGAGATGGAGCTTTGCGGCGTTGTGTTGTTGCTTTCGCTGTTGCTGCTGTTGTTGTTCTGCGAGATCTAGTACTGGTAGTAGATTTGGCGGGTTGTTTGACGAAGAGGGAGTCATCGTCATCATCGTCCTCTTCGTCTATGTTGGGGAGGGAGGTGGCTGCGTTGTCGTCGTCGTCATCATCGTCATCGTCGAGCATTATGACATCCTCTTGTTCATCTTCTTCGTCGGAGGAGACGGTGCGGCGTTTACGGCTTTTAGTAGAGGTTGTGGTTTTCTTTGAAGTAGTAGTAGCAGGTGCTGCTTTTGTGGTGGCGGTTTTGCGGGTTGTAGCGGCAGTGGTGGTGGCTCTACCGCCACGGCCTCGGCCGCGGCCGCGTGTGGATGATGTTGCTCGTGATGTGGTGGGTTGTTCGGCGCCATCCTCACCGGCTACGTCTTCATTGGGATCGCCGTCCTCGTTGTCGGAGTGGATGAGAGCGCCGGGTTGGTCCTCCCAGACACCGTCGAATTCGGTGTCCCAGCCGTCGGGCTTGGGCTTGAAGCGCTTCTTGCCGCGGGTGCGTTTCTTGATACCGCGGGAGAACATGTCTTCCATTTGAGTGCGATATCTCTCCATGGCTTTTTGTAGGGAGCTTTCTGCCACTTCTTCTTCTTCCTCTAGATCGTGGTCGCGATCTAGAGCCAGTAAGTGCTTCATTTGGCTCTCGAGTGATTCGTTGACGAACATTTCCAAGGCATGTTTGTCGTCTTTGTCAATGAATTGGGCGACTGCGTCGCCGAAGGAGTTCTGTGGGAGGATGGTCAGAGACTGTGCGGAGAGGAAGTCGCGCACTAATTGTTCGACTTTGACGGTGTCGAGGGTGGAGAGGTGTGAGACTGCTGTCTCGTCGAGGTCGGTTTCACCCGGTTTGCGCGTACTGTTGGTGTTTTTCTTCTTGCGGTAGAACTGGACGACATCGTTCACATTGGCGACCTTGCCTACGAAGCGGTTGGAGAATCGCTGCGGGTTCTCACAGTCATAACTGCCTCCTTCTGGCGTTGAGGTTTCAACGCGCAGTCGCACTAGTGGTAGTGGGACTTCTAGCTCTTCGTCTTCTGCTGTCTCATCTTGCATTTCTAGCCATTCTGTTTTCGCTTCTTCGATCAGTTCCTCGACAATCTCCATGAGAAGGCGAGTCACTTCCGTGCGGTTGTTGTCCTTGCGGGCAAGCTTTTGCGCGCCTTTTTCTTCGGAGAGGATAATTTCGCGCATGGCGAATGGGCGGACGGACTTGAGACGGATGGGCTCGCATTTGAACTCCCGGCCTGTGATACTGAGAATGGCTACATGTTTGGCCACTGATTCGCCAGGAACCAGGGATGTTGCCACGGATGAGCCGGGCTGCATGACGTGAAACTTGGTCTCGGGGTTCAATCGCGGGTTGATTAAACACTCGTGTTCGTGGCCCCAGACGACGAGATCCAGGAATTCGGGGAGGAAATTCTCGGGCAAATAGCCTGTCTCGGTGTGTGCGTAATGGTTCTGATGGACAGACATCAAGTTGAACCAGTCTTCTTTTTGGATTGAGGGTTGGTAGAACTTGACCTTGCCGTCTCGAAATGTGCGAAATAGACGCTCATCGCGGACGTTGCTCATACCGTAGAGAGCAAGTTTCGTGCGTCCTTTCTGGAGCAAAACCGGTTTAATCTGGATATTGTCCGACTCGGGGGTCCGTCCATAGTAATTGATCAACCCCGACACCTGAAGTAAATCCAATGCAGCCAGATGTCCTTCTCCGGACGGATCATCGTGATTGCCGTGAATTGAAAAGATGGGGATAGCCACATTGATATCCAAATCCTCGTAGTTCACGTGATTGAAAGCACCCTGAAAATTTTCGCTCGCATCACTCAGCATCTCCAGTTCGCAAGGCTTATCGCCGAGACAGTTCATACGAATGGAGCGCATAACTTGGTACATGGACTTCCGCGATGGCTTGTTCTCGTGGAAGAGATCGCCTGCCAGAAGCACCATGTCCACATCTTGTTCCTTGGCCAGACACATTACCTCATGAAAGCTTTTCCAGCTGTCATCACCACGGATGGGATCCCGTTCATTGTATCCTACATGGTTGTCTGTAGAGACAAGAATGCGGATCGTTTCCGAGTCTGGATGCATCAGCAACGGGCAATCAGCAGAGAGGAGGAATTATACTTACCATCTAATCTGGGCATCGTGAAGAGAACTAATACACATAAAAGTCAAGGAGATAGGAGAAGAGTCACCGATATTGAAGAAAAGCAAATTCTAAGAGAGGACAGATGACGAATCCCAAAAGAGTAATATTACAGGCGTCTACTAAGTAGCCTGCAGGCTACCGTAGAGGTATGCTGCCTGGAAACACGGATAGATTAATGACCGTCAGAAATGAACTATAACCATATTGGGTATCAAGTAGCTCGCAGATGAAAAGTGAGTGAGTAGCATCTAATCAAATGATGATGTATACTACTTGCTGCATGGATGGCGACAAATGCCGGGAAATGAAGCCATTCGCGGGACGGCGCGTGAGCACGTGACCAGCACGCGCGCCGAGGACGGGCGCTGATTGATTCCTGCAAAGGGAGGCGACACTAAGCAAGATTCCCCTCCGTCGATTCTCGTCGATCGCCGGACTGTCTTCGTCCTCCTTCGCCTGTGACTCTCTCTCTTTCTCCTCTTCCCTCTCTGTCCTCCCCTCTTGTCCTTCTTGGTCCCATCTTGTCCTACTCTCATCGCATCGTATCGCGTCACACGTTTTCGCCGCCTTCCTCTTTTTCGTCTGTCCTCTTCTTCCGACTGATCCAGATTTCGTCCCTGGTTCAGTCGCCTCCAGTATCCCAGTTACCCCGCGAAACTCTTTTATGCAATCCGAGCCTACTGCAGTTTTCGACCGTTCGCTTTCGGTAGACCCCTCTTTAGAAGTGCCCTTCAATCCTACTCAGCATGGAAATGATTCGCATGGTGAACACCCAGTCTCTGGGCTTCGCCAACAGAAGTCTGGGGACTCCAGTGTCGGTCATGACTCATATGAGGGCGGCCAGCAAGCGCCCTTGAAGGAGACTGACATTGCGCCGTTCAACGACACAGTCAATCAGTATGAGGATAGCGTCACTCCATTGATCCAGCAGGAGGAGAGGGTTAAATCTAGGAAGAAGCAGCCCTCCAGCTACTCGGGCCTGTCCCTGGAAACCTTTCCCAATGGTATGTCATCACATTACCCGGAGCCCTGAACGTCGTTCTAATACTTCTGATAGAGGTATTGACACACATCCTGTCGCACCTGCCTCCCCCTTCTCTGTCCTCAATGGCCCTGGTGTCTCGCCATTTCCATGGTCTCGTCACGACTCCTCACGCATGGAGAATTGCTTTTTCTCGTTACTTCCCCGGCCCGTACACCGTCGAGGATGGCGCGTGGCTTCCGACAGCGAAGTCGTCGGAAGCGGTGACGTCTGATAAGCGCTATTTCTCCAGGCTGACTGCGTTGGCATCTTGGAGGAGTGAATACATTATGAGAACCCGCTTGCTCCGATCGCTCTCCAGAGGCAAGCCGGCGCAGTTCGAACCGTCCAAAAAGACCGGTACGGTGCGAGCGGCTAGCGTCCGAAATGGCAGCGCCGTAGCCACCTATACCTCACAGCTTCTGTACCCTGTCAGCCACTTGCACGGCTCCTTCGGTTCAGAAGTCAAGAAGAAGGAACCTCTCTTCATCCATGGCGCTTCGGAGCAAGGCTTCGCGTCGGCTAGTGACCCCTCGACGGTGAAAGTTGGTACATGGGGCCTCTCTGACCACCAGTTCTTTCGACACTTCGCAGATCTATTTCCCGGAGATGCCGAGTATGGGCTAGGCTCTGGTGATCATGTTGGAGCTCCTAACCGCATGGATGTCAGTCAGCCCTATGGTATGATCTACGGCGAAGCATGTCCTCAAGGCCGTACCTATTTCATCTCGACCACGGAGCAACGTGGGAGGTTCTTGGGCATTGCGGATTCCAGTTCGCAGCCTAGTCTAGGAATCCCCACGCTCAACTTGATTGCGACCGGTGTTACTGCGGTCTGGATTGCTAAATCCTCTAACATCCTTAAAATGACTGGCGGGCTGGTCGCGATGCTGTCAGGCTCCTCCACTGGAGTGCTCACGTCCTACGCCCTTGGTCCTCATCCTACCTATGAGAAAAGGTATGAGAGGGGCCAAGTGACTGCTAAATGGGTGCTGTGTCCTGGTGTCCCTATCATTTCTATCGCGGTTGATGATAGCTATTCTCCCAAACGTCATTCACGTCGGCGGATCTGGGCGACGGTTCTGAACGCCTTGGGAGAGGTCTTCTACCTCTCTGACCTCCCGCGACAGCCTGATGTGCCTACGACCAAATTGTCTCCTGAGGAATATGAGCAGCTTGCTTGGAAAACGGGCAGAAGTGTCCGTTGGGAGCTTGTTGAGTTAAGCAGACGCATCGCACGGCTTGATCCGTTCAGCCGTGATTCAGTCGATGGCAGCTATAGCCCTCGGTCGTCATCGGACGCCATGAAGCTCAACGAGGAACAGGTAGCTGCAGAGACGAAGGAGATCGAGCGCTTCCTGTCCTTTAAGCCCAAGCATTTCCGGAAGGTATGCGAGGGATGGGATATGAGACGTGATTTGAAGGTCGATTTCGCTGGAGACGATGGCCACGGAGCCGGCGAATCGTTCCTTGTGATCTCCCAGGGTGTGGGAGATGATGAGAAAGCTTCGATCCGCAGATACACGAGGAAGATAACTCGACATGATGCGTCGTTGCCGATGCACGGATCTCACAACGTTGGTAACGTGCCTGTACCGTCCATCTTTGGTGGTCCCGTCAAGTCTCCTATCCTCTCTTCTGTGAGCAGCTCCAGCAGTATGGCTCCATCTCGCGCTTCCAGTGGCTTGAGTGAGACGATCTGCTCCCTTTCAAACACCGAATGGCGCATCACGGATTTCGACTTTGGGGACAGAAAGTCGGTCCAGATCACCACGAGTGCTTTGGACTTGTCGACCTATGCCCTGTTGACAATTGACGAAGATCCTCTCATCGGTATGTCCGGCAGCTCCGCACTCTCCTCGGCGACGTCTTCACCTCTTCCGCACATGAAGCAATCGCCTGGCAATGCAGAAGTGCCTGGTCAGCGAGGACGCTACTTGGCTGTGGGTACAGCCACGGGATCGGTCTTCGTATGGGACATCCGGTCACCCACGTCGAAAAATGCTGAAGTCATCAATCACGTTTCGCCCATTCGAATTATTCAAACGGAATCTCCTCAAGTTTCCTGCGTCGCTTTGACCTCATTATACTTAGTCCATGGTGGAAACGATGGCCTTGTTCAGGCCTGGGATCCCCTTGCCTCCTCGACTCGACCAATTCGGACTATCAATTCGCGATTCTCTACGCGCGCGCGCCGCCGACTTGTCCAAGCCGAGGCATCCATTAACGGCGTTGGTAACAATTACTATGCGACAGGCGCTATCTGCCTCGATCCCGATCCAACCGTCCTACGAGGCATGGTCGCTCTAGGAACCCACCTGCGTTACTGGTCCTACAGCTCCTCCGGCGCCGACCAATACAAGTCCAGTAAGCGTCGGCTCCGTCGCGGTCTAAGGGGCAGCAACTCCACTCCAGAAGGTCAACGTTTCAACACTAGCGGCCGCGGCGCGCTCAAGGACTACATCGAAGATGAGAAGGTCGAAATGGAACGCCAAAGGATCGCCGACGAAAAGGAGCGCGCCCACCTCAGCCACCGCTTCGGCGTTGACCTTCTTGGCCCCGACGTCGACGAAGAACAGCTCCTCGCTTACGCCCAACTTCTCAGCCAAGAGGCCTACTCCAGCGAAGCCCACAAACGCGGTGAAGTAATAGAGAGCTCGGCAGTGAGCACCTCTCCCAGCGACACCATCGGGCCAAATGACAGCTCTATCGCACCCGATGAGCTATCCTCTGCATCGTCTCCCTACGAAGACTTCGCCGACGGTGACCTCGAGCCTGATATCGCTGAAGCCATCCGTCTCAGTCTCCTCGAAGACAACAAGCCCCGCGCCGACCTGGACACAGACACTGGTCCATTCGAGCCACCCTCCCCATCTCTATCAGGCCCAGCTGTCGCGGAAAGCAGTCGCCAACAAGAGATCGATGATCTTGAGTTCGCGATCCAGCTGAGTCTCGCAGAAGCGGAGAGTCAATCGGGCCAGCACAACCCGACAGAGGAATTCCCAGCACTGTCACCGTGGGCCCAACCGTCTCCTGGGCAGGACAAAGGAAAGGGTCGTGCTTGATCTCTATTTGCGAATGAGTGTGTGATATGATTTGATAGACATCTCTATCCATACAATTGTGCTATTTGTTTGATATCACCGTTGCTGTTGTATGTTATCTATTGCGATGTGATTAAATTGTTGATGCTGTGTTGCGTAATATATGATCTGTGTATGGTATATCAGTAAGTCATTAAGATTATAATCCTGTAGCGGTTGCGAAATTGCTACCATCATTGATATGTTGTAGGATTTTTCTTCTGGATATATATCAAGATAAGTAGTGTTAGACTAGTAGCTTGGACGGCTAGCGTGCATCATCGCATGATGGAAGAAGAGGGTATTGATTTCTCCTAGCACGGAGACATCTAGTGCTCAAGTTCTACTTTCATTCTTCGGAGCGTTCATTTGGATCTCGAGGATGGAGTAGGATTGCTAAAAGTTCAATGGTGGAGCCTGCTAGGAAAGAAGAAGTGTGACCAAGGACTAAGTGATTGCATTACTACGGCCACATGACACGAAAATGACTATAATATACCAGTAATCAGATCCATACCACATGTGAAGCTCACAAGAACAATCGAGGTAATAACTCCATTACGGCAAAGCCGTACTACAGAAGTAATGCAAAAAGGTATATATACAGCATGTAGATGTATTAAACGTCGTCGAAATCATATCCCGAGTCAAACTGCCCACTGCCACTTAGCTCTATTCAGGGGACCTCACTCTATACACGTGGAACAAACCCTCCATCTTGGGGGCAAAAGGTCATGGTCATAATTGGCAAGAACAGGTTCACCGGGAACAGTATGGGGAAAGAATCTAATCAGAACAAGGGGTTGCAGAATGTAAAGTGAAACAGCAAAAATGTCTAAGGCGAGCAGCTCTACAGCATGAAGACGGCAAACAGAGTGGCGCCGGTCAGCACACCCATGAAGGGGGCAGACAGGGCGCTGCTGCCCGAGGTAGAATCGTCGGAGCTGGAGCCCGAGCCGGAGCTGGAGCTAGAGCTAGAGCTCGAGGTGCTAGAGCTGTTGGAGCTGCTCGTGAGGGAAGTGGAGTTGCCGGGAGTGTTGGACTCATCGCCGGACAGCACCTTGTACTTGACGCTGGAGACCTTGTTGCCGTTGTAGTCGTAGATGGTCTGGGGGATGGTGGTGGCAGACACGGCCACGAGGCTGCCGACAGTGGCGTTGCTGTAGCCGTTCTTGATCCAGTCAGCGACCTTGGAGGGAACGGTAGGCAGGTCCCAAGAGTTCAGGAAGGTGTTGTTGGTGATCAGATCAGAGCTGCAGGTCACAGCCTCCTTGGAGGTCTGGGACGAGTTGGAGGACTCAATGCTGCTCATATCCAGCTTGTTGTACTGCTTCTGCAAGTTCTCATAATCGACCAGCAGGGTGGCAGTGTCGCTGCTGTTGATGGCCACGAGACCGTAGTCGTTGGCTTCCTGGGTCCACTCGTAGACCAGACCACCGGAGAAGACCTGGTCCATCTCGCTGCCGTAGAGGGCCTGCACCTCGGTGAAGACACGGGGCTGGACGGCATTGCAACCGTACTCGGAGAAGAAAACGGGCAGGGAGGCGTTCGAGAAGTCCTCAGTCAGGACGTCGTAGCCGGAGGCCTTGTAGGAAGACTCGCCACACCAGGAGTACGAGTTAAGGCCAAAGAAGTCGGAGCGAGAGCTGGTCGAGTTCTCCAGGTTGCACTCGAAGTAGTCAAGGGTGTCCATGAGGATGGGGCGCACATCAGCCGCGGAGTAACCCACAGGGATGGAGCGGTTGACGTTGGTGGAGATGTAGTCCTTCATATCACGCACGACGGCCTGAAAGATGATTAACAAGGAATTCGATCACGCAATACCAATGAGACAACGGGGAACATACACGAACGTAAGCAGGGGCCTCATAGACACTCTGCTCGTTGATAACCTCGTTACCGGCAAAGAAACCCAGGGTGTTGGGGAAGTTCTTGAAGGCCTCGATGACACCGAAGACCTGCTCGTAGTAGACAGAGTTGTAGGTGCTGGAAGGGTTGGTGCGGTCAAGCGAGCCACCGGACAGAGGGGAGTTCACATCGAGAATCATGTAGATACCCGCTCCGTTGAAGATGGAGGCACACTTGCTGTGGTCGACATTGGGAGACAAGTTGTACACACGGATGGTGTTGATCTGGACAGGTCCCCACAGTTAGCGGGGGTGAATGCGAGAGAGATTCAGCAGGATGGAAAGTCTTACACCCAGGTTCTGCATGAGAGCAGCATCGCGCAAGCAGGCATCTGCATCACTCAGGGGGTCCTGGGTGGCACTGAAGCCAGAGGAACCACCGGGCTGGTAGCTGTTGCGCGAAGCGAGCATGGAGTCAGCACATGGATTTTCCTCGAAAGATAAGTTTGCCGGCGATAAGGGGATGCTTACTCGACACCCAGGATCTGGAAGCGATCACCAGTCTTGCTGTTGACAAAGTCCTTGCCCTTGACTTCGATGGGAGTCACAGCGTTGGCGGTGGTCGCAAAAGCGCAAGCCGCGGCGAACAGTTGAGTGTATGTCTATACCAGACCATCAGTCAGCAATCTATCCCATGGTCGCAAAGTGCCATCGATATAGAACTCACGGGAAACATTTTGCGACGTTTTCAGGAGCGACAGATATCGACTCTTGAAAAGGTTATAGTATATAGAAGCAGAGAAAAAAAGAGAGGATGGAGTCTTCCACAGGAAGATCCGAAACAGCAACGATTGGTATATAAAAATGAGTGACGTGGGAATAGAATCCCAAAACAAGGCAGCTAACGAAGGAAAGCGCGCGGGGGGTGAGAGGCTGAACAGGGAAGCACGAGAAGAAAGAGGCCGGAGTGAGACATGCTCATGGCTATAAAAATCAAGGCAGGGACGGTCTTTGGTCCTTCAACCCCCCCAAAGACCCTCAGGGACCAACAGGAGGCAGGCAATCTCCCGGTGAATCGAGATTGATTGAAACCGCCAACCAAGTGGAGGTCGCAAAGCACCGCTAATCTCCGCTACTCGCCAATAGCCCCGTCGCTGCTGGTGTAATTGGCCTGCCCTCGCCCCATCAGCCCGACGGCGTGCCTCAGACCAGCCAATTTCAGGGCCGATCCTGGCTGTTCCCTTTTCCCTGTCCCTTGGAGACCCTGTTAGTTAACTTAGTACCCTGGCACCGTCAGGCTAACGAAGAGGGTCGTCGCCCAAGATATGAAGAGGGTGTGAGCTGATTACGCATGCCTGCCTGGTTCAATTTCGCGTCTCGGAGCTGCTTAGCACAGACAAAGTATAACCGTGCACCACAATAAACACATCACCACGCAGTTCACCGCTCACAGCTCACCCACCGCTCACCATACTCCTTACAACTTCATACATATGCGCTTCTTTCACATCAAACAAATCGTCGTTTTTGGCTCAAGTGACTCGTGCACTCTCAACTACTACATGTTCGTGCGTCTAGGAATACATAACCCGGGTTTCCATCCCATCGTGAGAAAACCTCGGGAAGAAGATATTACCGGCCCCAGTGACTCGGATCATTTGCCGTCCGTTCAGGCCCGGTAGAGAATAAGAAAAGATGAGAAGAAACAACACAGTGATGGCGCCGAAAAATTCCAAAAATGTCCGCCAGGTCGGCGGCCAAGACACAATGCACATATACAGGGAATTCTGGAAAGGAAATGGTGCGGAAGTACATGGGTAACGGAGAGGGGAGAAGGGTGACTGGCAGACGGACAGCGATTTCCGATAATTCCGTCGCTGCCGGAGGACCAGGCCACGGCCCAGCGTGAGCCGGATATTATAGAAGACACACACCTTCAAGGCCAAGGTTCATTTGCGGGAAAAGGGCGGGTGGGTGAACGAAGCAAGAGGGAGAGAGATGGGGAGGCCGGGAGTCAGAAGTCATGATGGAATCGAATTTACTCGACTCCGTGGCTCTCCGGAGCGGCGCTCTCGCCAGTGAACGAGCCCAGCTTCAAGCCGGAGTCCAGAGCGACCATCTCGGCCAGGATCTCCAGCACTTCCTTGGGCACGGTCTTGTCGTAGATGGAGATCAGGTCCTTGGGCTGGGGGTAGACCTTCAAGGCCTTGTAGAAGCACAAGGCAGCCTCAATGGGTTCTGTAGTGCGGTTGGTACATGGATTGCCAATGCATAGATAGGGTAGGGGACGTGATCAAAGCGCGTCAGGCCGGGAGATGCATACCTTCAGCAACAAGAGACTCTCCCTGAGCGACCTGGCTCATGAAGTAGGCCTCCTTCTCCTCCAGGTCCGTAGGGAAACCCTCGTCCTTGGCCTGCTGCACGACCTTCTTGATGACCTCGCGCTGCATGGCACCCTGGGCCTCAGCCTCCTCCTTGACAGCCCTTGCCATGCGGCGGTTGTTCCTCTTGAGAGCTTTGCGGAACTCCGGATCGGTCTGTCTCTTGTGGTCAAAGTAGACGGCGTAGGCTAGAAAGGGCAATGAAGGCGATCAGCATCTAAGTTTGGACAACCTCGGTATATGATGGTTCCGTGGATGGCCGGGCTGGTGTCCTTACCCAAAAGGCCGGTGACGATTGTGCCGGCAGTAGCGGCCACCAAGGTCGACGTCCTCATGATGAAGGTTGGATGGGATGTGAAGATGGAAGAGAGACGGAAGCGGCGAAAGGGCGAGTCCACCAAGAAAAGGGAACTGGACGGCGTCGAAGGGGGAGGGAGCGGGAGAAGTTGAGCTGAAGCAAGACAGGCAAACAAGCGGACGTGAAGAGATGACGGCGATTCTTTTGCTGCCCGGATAATTTTGCCGGGATCATTATTGTTCCGCCTCGGGGTTTCTGTCCCGCTTGAGCTGCCCTTCCCATACTCCCCTTCTCTCTATACTTCCTCTCTCTCGGTACATTCCGCCCCTTCCACGAGATTGCAGGCTCAATCTTTCTATCTCATAGACTCGCTGCCAGTCATGGAGAGCCGTGGCTTGACCCTCCGCAGCAAGTCGCGCCGCCCCCGCCCCCAGATCAGTGCTCCGAAGCCCATATCCGGCCCTTTGCCGACCAATAACGGCAGTAAGGGTGCCGGTACTCCAGGGCAGAACACTTCCTCTCCCAGCTCGACATCCCTGGACCGGGCCCCTTCGAAGGGCGCGACCTCTGATCTAGTCAAGCGCCGCTATTCCACCCGTTTTAATCAGGCCCCCGACTTCGATGTCAGCGCTCCGCCGGTGCCGGGCCTGCCCAAGGCACCAGCCACGTATGGCGGGCTCAGCCCACCCGAGACGAGTCGAAGACCGTCCACCGAGTCTTCTGGTCCCCCCAAGGTGGACTTGAATGCCCTTCGGGATCCTAGCCTCCCAGTTGACAAGTGTGAGTGACGCCCGACATAGGTCCCCGCGTTTCCCCCCTCCCGATCCCACGGGTGCTAACGTGGCACCAATCTCCGCCAGACGTTGCCAACCTACTCGCCAATGCCTCGGAAGAGGAAATCGAAGCATATCAGAAGAGCCTTCGCAAGGTCAAAAACCGAACTTCGACCGATCTGCAGCAAAATGTTTACCAGAACCGCACTCAATTCATCAAGATCAGTAAGGAGGCGGAGAAGCTCAAAGGGGAAATGCGGACCCTCCGCACTCTGATGGCGGAGCTTACCACTGCGCTCGGACAGACCACCATCGGCAACACCCCGAATCCCATGTCCCCCGCCGTTGACGAGTACATGCCGAAACGTAATGCCAACCGGAGTTCTGTCGCTAATCTGGAGAGCATGTGGAACGTCCAGCTTCAAACCCTCTGGAAGACGGTGGAGGGCTCCCAGAAGTTCCTACCGGTGGTACCTGGCCGACACATCGTGATGGAGACGGGGCATTGGGTGGAACTGGACTCTGCAACCTGGAAGCCCAGGCGACCAGTTCACATAGTGTTGCTCAACGACCACCTGCTGATCGCCGCGAAGAAGCGCAAGCGGGTTGACCAGAGCAGCCATCGCGGGCCGGTCCCCACCAAGCTGGTCGCGGAAGAATGCTGGCCCCTACAAGACGTCGATATGATCGACCTTGGTGCCAATCTCTCCGCGGGGGTTGCTCGAGATGAAGCCGAAGACCGGGGAATTGCGAATGCAATCAACGTCCGCGTCGGCGGGAAGCCGTTTACCTATCGTCATGACAAGCGCGACAGCTCGGCTAAAGGGGAACTGCTCGCGACCTTCCGGAAGACTGTCGAGGATCTCCGACGTAATCTTCGCTCGGAGACTGAGGCCGCAAGCAAATCCACCGAGTCATTCGGCTACCTGGGCGTCCGGCGCCCCTCCCATTCCCCCATGCCGGATCAGTATGACGGCGGCGAAAGCACCCGCGACAAGCCGGAGGTGCGTATCGATGTGGATGGAAAGCAACAGAATCTTCGTTGGGTGGACGGGCAGGTGGACGAATTGGATATTGACATCGCCCTGCAGCGGTTTGAGGAGGCTGTGTCTAACGTCGAGCGGCTTCGCAAGCTCGCCAAGGGCCTGAAGGGCAACGCGGTCGCGCAGGACGTGATCAATACGAAGGTCGACGAGCGTGCAGCCACCCTGGCGGAGGTACTTCTGCGAGCGCTCGTGGATACACACTCATTTCCCGTGTCGACCAAAACGAGGGTCTCCTGGCTCACGCGGCTAGGCTTTGAAGATCAAGCCCGGGAAGCGTACTTGAAAACCCGCTCGGAAATCGTCTCCAAACGGATCCGGTATGTCTCCCGATACCGCTCACCCAGTCGCACGAATACTAACCTACTGCAGTGCCTGTATCTTCGAGGGAGACCTCCCACTCTACATTTTCCAGATCTCCTACGTCTACTTCACGTTGATCAAGAACACCATTAGCATCTACCAACAGTGTTTTCCGCCGGTCATGTCCAGCGCCAGTATCCGTTGGGCAAAACACCACCTTGACGGCTTTAACGCCCTGCTCACGCGCCAGCTCAGCAGCGTCCAACGCGGCACAACTGTCTGGCAGAAATGCATTGACATCGTGCATGAGCAGGCTGATCAGCTGACCGAGGTAGGCGTGGACTTTACCGACCTCGTCGCGAAGGACTTGGAGACGGGTGAAGAGTTCACCGAACGACCGCAGATGACCCGGTCTGAGTCCCTTATTTCCGGGTTAGCGGATACTGCAGCGGCAGCTGCAATTATTTAAGTGACGCGTGTATATTGGCTTATCTTTCTGTCTATTACCACTAGCCTCAGGAGGCTATGTTTGATGATGTGTGTTCTGCGTCGCCCGTTTGTGCACTTTTATATTTTCAGTCTGTTTGACATAGACCCCACGCGCCGTGCTCCAGAATGGACCTATGTTCGTGTCTTCTATTCTGTATTCTCTAAATGTTCTACCCATACCCATGAACGCTGAGCTTCGTCGTGTATATGGCGCTATACCGACGTTCAATGGATCCATGTATACCCCGCACAAATTATTCCTCCCTTGAATTGAAACTTGCAATCGACAAGTCTGAAAAAATTCCTACAAGCAGAGATACGCAGATACCTGTCCTTCAAGCTACCTCCATCATGTTACTGAAGCGGGGGATAGAGTAGTAGGAAAAGCGTCTAGAGGATCTCCGAAGTCGGCATCAAGCAATCCCGGACACGTGGGATCACGTGAAGATAGGCTGCTCATGGATCTCTCCCTCGAAGTCGAGCTGGCAACTGAACTGATCTCTCCACATTTCTTGCTGGCTATCATTAGGTGCTATTGTCTAGTATGACTCGCTACTTGTCTGAGAAGAGTGTGGCTAGTGTGCTGACAGCCTTTCTTACGGTGCCTGACTACAGATGATCTGACATGGCTTACCTGAGACGATGGCCTACACGATGTTGTCTTCAATACTTGTCCCCAAAAGACAGCTCTTTCATACAAATCTACGAGATAACTGATCCCTCTCACCAGCAATTGAAAGCGCAGCTGATAGCAATTGCTTTCCATCAACATGAAGTGGGCATGGCTGGACACAAGTTCCACCTCGGTCCCAAATCTAGAAGCCGAGCGGCGGACCCCAACAGTTTCGGCTACAAAATCCGCGTGAAACTCCGAACGATAAGCAGCGGACGAAGATTATTGCGTGCAGACTCAACAGCAAGTGGGTTCATCCCCTCTATTGGCTCCTGTCTGGGGCTCCTTGCTTCTTTTTTTCGTCTGTCGCTTTTTCCTCCGATCTAATCTTTCTTCCTCCCTTCAATCAGTACAATCTCTCCCCTGCGACATCAATCAATCAACATGGGGCTTCCTAATGGCCAATCTATACAAGGGTGAGTATCGCTCCCGAGCCTCGATCCGCAGTTACTTGTAACCCTAAGTAATGCTCACAATCGACGTGGCCCGCGCAGGCAAGATGCCGAGCACCAGGCCCTCCCATTGACGGCCCTCCCGTCTCTGCCCTTGTTCGTGCAAGCAAATGCCTTTGCGCAGAACACTCCCGACAAGGTTGCCGTCGTCGACGCCACCAAAGGGCAGGAATTCACCTATGGACAACTGCTAGCCGATGCGGCCGCCCTGAAGAAGGTCATTCTGGAAGAGCTAGGCCTCACTGAAGTCGGAAACCTGGAAGAGCGCCGCATCGCCTTCCTAACGCCAAATGGCTACGACTACGTGGTTACGCAATGGGCCGTCTGGGCCGCGGGGGGTGTCACAGTCCCTCTCTGTATGTCCACACCACACCCTGCACTGTGACAATCACCCGAGAACCCAAGAATAGCTATTGCGCCTCAATAACCCAACGATAAACACTAACCTCAAAACTCAAAGGCACCACCCACCCAGTCAAAGAGCTCCTCTACACGATCGGAGACTCCGACCCCTCCCTGATTCTCCTGCACCCAACATTCGCGGACTTCGAGACACCCCTCAAGGAAAGCATCACCAAACCCGTCCCTTTCAAACCCCTCACCCCGCACCAGCAAACCACCACCGCAATCACCCTCCCCACCATCAGCCCGATCTCCTTCCTGGACTACCGCGCCCTAATGATCTACACCTCCGGCACAACCAGCAATCCAAAGGGCTGCGTGACCACGCACAAGAACATCACCTTCCAGGCACAATGCCTCATCGAAGCCTGGAAATACAGTCCCACTGACCGGCTGATCCACGTGCTCCCCCTCCACCACGTGCACGGCATCATTAACGGCCTCGCCGCCAGTCTTCTCAGTGGCGTCACCGTCGAAATGCACCCGAAATTCGACCCCGCCACGATCTGGACCCGCTGGCGCGAAGGCGGCTCAACCATGTTCATGGCCGTGCCCACCATCTACTCCCGCCTCATCGACTACTTCGAAACCCACCTCCGAGGCACCGAGCACGAAGCCGCCGCCCGCTCTGGCGCCCAATCCCTCCGTCTAATGGTCAGCGGGTCCGCGGCGCTCCCTACCCCCATCAAGAGCAAGTTCGCCGCCATCACGGGACAGATTCTCCTCGAGCGGTTCGGAATGACCGAGATCGGAATGGCGATTAGCTGCGGCTTGGAGACGGAGAAGCGCATTGACGGTAGCGTGGGGTGGCCGTTGCCGGGCGTGCAGGTGCGGCTGACCGATAAGGAGAGCGGAAAGGTGATTGATGCTGTGGATGAGGATGGTATGATTGAGATCAAGGGTGATAATGTCTTCATGGAGTATTGGCGCAAGCCGGAGGCTACGAAGAAGGAGTTCACTGAGGATGGGTGGTTCAAGACTGGGGATGTGGCGAGACGGGATGCGCAGGGGGCGTACTTTATCCAGGGTCGTGCGTCCGTTGACTTGATCAAGTCTGGAGGGTATAAGATCTCGGCGTTGGAGGTGGAGCGGAAGATGCTGGGGCTGGATGCTATCCAGGAGGTGGCAGTCGTGGGATTGGCGGATGAGGAATGGGGACAGCGTGTGGCTGCCGTGGTTAAGCAGCGGTCTGGGGTGAGTCTACCTTGTTTGACGTTTCTATTATTACGGGCTGAGTGAGTGCATGCTAATATGGATATAGACGGAACCCCTGGAATTGGCGAGTCTGCGTGCGCAGCTCAAGCAGGAGATGGCGCCTTACAAGGTGCCGACGGTGCTCAAGCTGGTGGAAGCCATTGAACGCAACGCCATGGGCAAAGTGAACAAGAAGACGCTGGTGCAGAAATATTGGCCGGAGCTGGCCTAGCCTAACCTAGAGATAATTATAATACCACATAGAGTCCACTAACAGCTGAACGAATGCATGAAAGTCATGGATCGACCTCTCTCCTCGAAAAGCGCGCCGCCTCATTATACGCCATGTTCTTCAGTTGCATTCCATGCGTATCAAGCTTTCTATACTTATCCCAAGCATGACCTACGCCAGGTATCTCCATCACCCTCACTGTCGTAAAAGCCGGAGTTCCACGCCTGGCTCCCATCAACCCAGTTGCCAACGTCCTAGCTTCCAGGGCCCACGGATCCCCTTCGCATGTAATAAAGAAACACCTGCGCGGAAACCTAGTCATGTCCTGCTGGCGACCCGGCGAAACCTTCACATCCATCACTATATTACGAGGATGCCCGCGCAAATAACACTTGAGAGTCGTGTCCATCACCCATAGCGGCATCACTCCACCCGTCCCCCTTCTCATCCTGTCCCTTATCCTCGGATCCATGAGTTGAATCTTGCGCTTTTCTGAGATCCACATGTCGGTGATTGGATAAAACACAACCGCAGTTTCAAAAGTGTCAGGAGGGGAACTGATCGCCATAGCCAAGGCCAGGTTTCCCCCAGCCCCGAACCCACAGATCGCCAAATGTGTGAGATCGTACTTGTCGGGATGCCCCTTGAGAAATTCCAATACGTCCTCGACGTCCTCGAGAGCCGCAGGGAATGGGTACTCCGGGGCGAGGCGGTATTCAACGTCGAGGACCAGGAAGGTGCTATTATCACGTGCGACACAGTGAAGAAAGTCATCGTCGATGCCATGCGACTTGACGCAGAAGCCCCTGCCGCTGAGGTGGATGATGACTGGAGCCGCACCGGCGATTTCTACTCCACAGTACTTATAGACAATTATTTGGCGTTGGCCTTCTCGCGCATTGACTGCTATGACCCCCTTGGAATGGGGTGGTGCGCCTACTGGCAGTGGGTAGTGCCGTTTGACCAATTTGCGGTGTCGGCGAAGGTGCATGCCGGTCAAACTCCACCAGCTAAGCGTTTCTGGGGTCTGGCTTGTCATGGTAAATCTGATGGTGGTGATATGAGATAAATGAAGATGTAGCGAATGAACAAGTACTATAGTAAAAAGAGAGGACTGTTGCTGAAGAAAGTAACCCGAAGAGAGAAATCATCGTTCGCTTTCATAACCAGGAGATGGTGCACTCTGATCATGAAAGGAAGGAACTGAGAAGAACAAGGAAGTCGTGGGCTGAAGATGTCTCTTTTGGGAAGTCGTTGTTGGCCTTGAGACGGGGTTGCCGAATTAGGAGAGACTCTGGATACGTTCATCCATCACCTTGAGCCGATGCGTTCAAACTAGTGAGTATCTTCCACTCTGGTGTACCTATCGCAGCATTTTTGCATACATAGAACAATACTGACCCGGTTGTAACAGTTGGCTCATACATTCCCGGAGTAACTCGTCTTCATAGCTACTGGGAGTGTCAATATAAGCAGCTACCCGGCATGAGCGGTGGGAGTTAGTTAGGGTTACTCAAACCAACTCACGCAACCCTCCAGGAATGAAATACGAAACAGACACACTAAATTAGACGCACAAGAGAACCATGGCACAATTTGAGCCCTTATACACCCACCCCCCCAGATTTATCTGAATACCGACACTACGTCTGAAACACCCATCTCGGATCCCTATCCCCCAAAAAATCCCCCTCAGCATCACCTACATCCCCCATTAGCGCCTCCATGCCCTCCCTCTCCCTCACCTCCGCCTTAACCCTATTCTCCCTCCTCAGCACCTCCCACAGCACTCCCACAACCACCAGATTCGCCACTAGATACCCCAACGCAAACCCATGACCCAAAAAGTACCTCGGACTCGTCTCCGTCCGATACAGCTGCGTCCCCAACACAGCCCCCAAATTACCAATCGAAATCTGCATCGCATTCGCAATACACCGCTTCGTCTGACCGGAGACGTTATTCGCCGGCCACGACAACACAATCGCCACGGCGGGGTAGATCCCCGCTGCAGCGAAGAACGTGCCCAGATAGGATACCCCTGGTCGATGATCACTCAGAAGTAGAATGTATCCAATGCATGCTAGGCCCGTGGAAAGGAGAATGAACGGCGCGCGACGGTGCGTGCGCTCTGATAAAATAGCTACGGTTATGGTTAGGATGAAGGCGACGGCGTAAGGCGGGACAGTGAGGAGTTGAGCTTGGGCAGATGTGTAGCCTAAGGCGGAGATAATTGTTGGCTGTAGCGGGTTTCGATTAGTGAGTGAGTGTGGGTTGGAGGGAGCGAGGGGGATAGCTCACCATAAACAAAGACAAAGTATACAGCGGCAGCGACATCGTGTGAAACGCTAGTCCATATAACCAGACCTTGATGTCTTTGAAAGCGTCGAAGACAGCACTCCAGGTGAATTGTTCGTCGCGGGTCGAGTCGTTGTCGTTCTTCAGACGGAATTGGATGAATTGGCGCTCTTCGGGGGTCAAGAATTCGGCTGTTGAGGGGTAATTGTAGACCCAGAAGTAAGCGCCGATGGACATGAGGACTGTGAGGAGTCCTTCCTTTATTTCCTTTTTGTTAGTTTATCGTTGGTGTAGAAGTGATGTGTGGGGGGAATAATACCAGGATGAATATCCATCTCCAGCCACTGTATCCGCCTACGCCTTTCATGTGGGCTATGCCCTGATCCATTGTTTAGTATGATTAGCTCAGTGTATGATAAAGGAGGGAACGGGGTGGTAGACCAACCCAAGCTAGAATCCCTCCGAATGCACCTGCTAATGAAGCAGCACTGAAGAATAATGCTACGCGGTAGTGTTGCTCGTTGCGTTTGTACCACATGGATAGGTAGAAGACGACTCCTGGGAAGAGGCCGCTTTCTGCTATGCCGAGGGCTGTTTAACACGCCCATTAGCATCATATATATCATTAGATTAAAGGGGAAGTGTACCAGTCCGTGAAGTCAGATATCCCGCATAGTTCTGAACCACGCCCAGAAGCGTCGCCACAACGCCCCAGACTAATGTTAGAGTGGGGAGCCAGATCCGGGGAGTAGTCTTCTTTAGGACGATGTTGCAGGGAACTTCGAATAGGACGTAGCCGATGAAGTAGAGGGTTAGGCCGGTGAGGTATTGGTCTCCTGCTATTTTCTTATTAGGGTTGTTATATGATGTGATGCGGTGGGGTTGGAAGGTGCATACACATGTGGATTTCAGTGGCCATGCCTTCGAGTCGGGCGTTTCCCACTGTAGTAATGGAGTCTAGTTAGATTTGATGGAATCATCAGGTGTGGGAAGAAGGGGGTACCATTGCTGCGATCGAGGAATGATAAGAGATATAGGATGGTCAGTGGTGGAAGAAGACGGTAGTCTAGTTTGCGAAGGAGAGCTTTCTCGTTGATATTGGTGACATTGCTTGTGGTTGGGGAGGCGGCCTTTTCGTCGGCCCCTACTGTCTTTTCAGGTGTGGATGCCATGCTGCTTCATAGCAGGAGTATGAATCCCTGTTCCTGGCAGTAACTTGGAGTGTTGCAGACAGCGTCAATCAGACCCGTTTCCACGACAAGATGGGACTATATAACCCGGCTGCTGGAGTTGTACTCCACGTGGGACAGACATCATGGCTGCCGCGATTAAAGGCATTGTCAGGGTCCAGAATGGTTAATCCTTGCCTGCTATGGCATATTTACATCCACGAGCCGATGCGCAATCTGGAGCGGTGATGACGAGATTGGTGGAGTAGTCCACCCAAGAGGAAGTAGAGTTGACAAGGTTCGGGGGTGGGGGTGCAGCTAGATGTTCCTGATGATGATGTGGGGATTGTTTGATGGTAAAGACCCACTAATTGGATACTTCAAGACCTGCATTGTACGATGCTTGGTGATGTCGGTTTATGTCGCTGCGTAAGTGATCTTCAGATTGCTGGTTCTGAGTAAGTATTGAACAGTTGATGGCTATTCTGCGCACATAGTTTGATCTGATGAATAAGAGGCCCGAAGTGGTGCATTCTGGAGGAGAAAGCACGCCATCTGCAGCCCGCTCAACGTCATCTGGCTCACTCGGGCGAGAGTTGCGATGCTAGAATGAATCTCGTTCATCGCTCAGACCAGTTGGCGGTGATTCTTGAATGCATAGCATAATCTTCATAACGTGCATACTACTTTTCTGTAGGAAGTATGAAATCAGATACAGAGGTAACCAACAACCATTATGACAAGTGATTCTTAGGCATACATTCGTCTTGAAATGAGATTCAATAAGACAAGGAAAGTATACGAGATATAGAGATTGGGAAAATTGGAAAATAAATGGCATCGAATAATCATCATAGTATTGTTCGCGAGTCATGATCAACATTTCTCGGTGGTATCTTGTTCATAGTCGTCAGGGGTATCTCTTGTTGTTGTTGTTGTCCATCCCACCCAAAATGTCCCGCATATTCAACGCCAGTCCAGTGTTCCCAAAAATCCCAAAGTCCGTCCATCCAAACCCAAGGATAAAAGAAAAGAAAGAGAGAAAGAGAAAACACGCCAAACAAAACACAGAAAACGCCAAACCAAACAGAAAACACAACACACACAAAACACACACATAACGAACACGACACACACAACACACAGAACACACACATAAAACACACACATCACACACAATACATAATACACACACCACATACATCACACGTAACGGGATGATTGTGTTCATGGAAGGAAATTCATCTAATCTATCATGCGGGCATTCTAATCGCCTCGCAGCCTACGCGGTATATGTATAACACTGCTTAACTTTTCGAAAGAAAACACCAGCCAATGCGGAAAAAAGGAAGAAAAGCAACACGGAACGTAAATCACACATGATGCTTGGAGGTCGCCATTCAGACCTGTGAAACAACGCCACAGATATCCTCGGGTTCCCTCAATTCGTACAACTCGTCAATACCCCGGAATGACCTAAGGCGCCAGAATCAACGCAAGCAGAGCCATACGGCAGTAAAGACCATATCTCATCTGTAGTCCAACATCAGCATCATGTTCAAACAAAGGGTCGGGGGAGAAACTAACCTGGCGGAAGTAGGCCGCCCGCTGGTCGAAGTCAACTTCCTCCGAAATCTCCGCGTTACGGGGCAGAGGGTGCATCACGACCATGTGGCTCTTGGCGTGCTTCAGAAGAGCGTTGTCGATGACGAAGCTGTTCTTCAGACGCTCGTACTGAGCCAGATCGCTGAAGCGCTCCTTCTGCACACGAGTAGAGTACAGAACGTCGGAGCGGGCAACAATCTCAGGAGTCAGCTCCTCAGACTCCACAACAAGCTGGCCAGAGGCAATGACTTGCTGGCGGACCTCCTCAGGCAGGGACAGATCCTTCGGCGCAACCAGCTGCACCCGAACATCGTAGAACTGGAGCAGCTTCAGCAGGGAGTGCACAGTGCGGCCGTAACGCAAGTCACCAGTGAAGGTGATCGTCAGGCCAGTAACGGTACCGAGCTCCTCACGGATAGTGAAGAGGTCGAGGAACGCCTGAGTGGGGTGCTCAACGCTGCCGTTGCCACCGTTGATGATGGGGACAGGGGAGAACTTGGCCGCGGTCTCGGCGCTGCTGGAATCGGGGTGACGCAGAACAACGGCATCTCCGTAGCAGCCGAGGGTACGGACGGTATCCTGCAGGGTCTCACCCTTCTTGGTCGAGGAGTGCTCGGTGGAGATGGCAATGGTGCGGCCTCCCAGACGCTGCATGGCAGCATCGAAAGAAGCGGACGTCCGGGTGGAAGGCTCGTAGAAGAGAGTGCACAGGACACGGCCCTTCAGGACGTCAAGCACACCCTGGCGCTGGACTCCCAGACGCATCTCCTGAGCCACAGTGAAGAGCAGGTGCAGGTCAGCCCGAGTGAACTGGTTGACGGACAGCACGTGCTTCTGTCTGAAGGTAGACCGAGAGAGCATCTCAAGGAGAGAAGAAGACACCTGGGGAACGGGGGTGTACAGAGGAGGTCCAAGCTCTCCCACAGCAGGGGCCTGCTCAGCAAGCTTGCGGCCGGGGCGGAGAGGAGTTCCAGAGAAGGACAGTCTGCGGTCGAGAGAGCTCTCGGGACGAGCATGCACCATAGGGGACATGGCCTTCACGGAAGGAGAGGCGGGCACAATCCGGTGGGTGGACATGTCGGTTCCAGTGGAGGCATCGGAGATGATTTCACCGTCAAGGCAGGAGGTCTTGCCCTGGAAGACAACACGCTGCACAGCACCCCGAACGTTCTTGCCGTTGAAAGGAGACCAGGCACCCTGGGGGGCCTGGAACAGGTACGGCCGGTCAACCTCGATCTCGACAGAGCTGTCTGCCTGGTCGTGCAGCTCGAAGATCTTCTTGGGGTTCTCATAGAGACGGGCGATAATGTCCTCAACGGTCAGGCGACCCTCGGAGACGGCAGTGAACAAGAGCGGCAGAGTCTCGGCGATACCGGCGACAGGGGAGCTCTTCTCACCAGCAACCTGGTAGGGAATGCTGCCGACGGAGAAGACGTCGATGGTGCTCAGATGCTCCCACAAGGCCTTCTGGTCCTCGACCGAGGGCAGCGAGCTGCACTCAGGGAAGTCATCCTTCGTGAGGAAGAGGCTGTAGACGGAAACATCGCAAGTCACCTTGAGACCCTTCTCCTTGCTGAGAGCGATGAGGCTGATGTCCTCCTTGGACGACACACTCATGACGTGGATGTTGCGGCTGTGGAGGCTGGCCAACAGCAAGACGGAGGCCAGATCAGTCGACTTGGCATCGGTGATGATAGGCTTGCTGGACGGCCAGGCGCCGAAGTGGTTGGTGACCGTAGCAACCTTGCTGATGTTGCCAGAGAGATGGTTGAAGGGAATAAAGAGGGATCCCACGTCACCGGTCACTTGTCCAATCTGGTCGGCGTTGTCGGTAGTAGCCACAACAGAGAAGTTGAAGTCGCAGAAGGAGGACTTCTCCGCGTTCTGCTGAGCAATCTTCAGAGCACGAGCATCGGTGACCGAAGCGTCGACACCAACGGGCATCACACGGACCATGCTGAAACCAGCGGCGATGGATGCCTTGGTCATGAGCTGGAAGTCAGGGGAGCCAGGGACCATCAGGTTGGGCACGAAAGCAGCGACGTTGATCAAGCCGGGCAGGATGATGGTGCGGTGGCTGGTCTGGTAATCAATGGTCTGCACGTTGAGAGCAAAGTGGCGAGCAATGGCCTCAATCAGGATCTTGGCGTTCTTGACGTTGGTAACCAGAGGAGTCTGGTAGTCAACGGCCATACGACGAGTGCGGTAACCCTTACTCATGTAGTTGGCAGGACGTCTGAACCGGTTGTTGGACGGCAAGTTGATGTACAAGTCAATCAGGTTGTTGGCCAAGTGCTGAGTGAGCGAGTACTCGGACTTGATGTCCTCCTCCTCTCCCGGAAGGATTTCAAGATACTTGACGGGGACGCCGTTCTCCTTCAGGAAGTCAGCAGTACCGGAGGTGGCGAAGAGGTTGAACCCAATCTGGTGCAGCTTGCGGATCGAGGGCAGCATCTCCATCTTCTCCTTGTAGGAACCGATAGAGAACAGCACGTTGCGCTTGGGAAGGCGGAAACCAGTGGAGATCAAGGCCTTAAGGTAAGCTTCGTACTTGTCACGACCGAAAGATGCGACTTCTCCGGTGGAGGCCATCTCGACACCCAGGACGGGATCAGCACCCGAGAGACGAGAGAAGGAGAACTGGGGCACCTTCACACCGACGTAGTCCTTGGGGATGGAGACAGGAGGATATTCAGCGAAGGGAGCGCCGATCATCGCCTTGGTAGCCATCTCAATGAGATCAACGCCCATAACCTTCGAGACGAAGGGGAAAGAGCGAGAAGCTCTGACGTTACATTCGATGACCTTGATGTCGTTGTCCTTGGCGATGAACTGGATGTTGTAAGGACCAGTGACGTTCAGAGCGTTTCCGATCTTCCGGGTAGCCTCCTCAATGCGGCGAACGGTCTCGGGATCCAGGTCCTGCGGGGGCAGGATCAAGGTGGCATCACCAGAGTGGACACCGGCGTTCTCAACGTGTTCAGAGATGAAGTGACCAACCATCACACCGTTGCGAGCCACAGCATCCATCTCAATCTCCTTGGCGTTCTCAATGTACTTGGTAATAACCACAGGGTGTTCCCGGGAAACCTCAGCAGCCTGGTTAAGGTAGCTGGCCAAGTCATGCTCGGAGTAGACGGTGTTCATGGCAGCTCCAGAAAGCACGTAAGAGGGTCTGACAAGCACAGGGTAGCCGACCTTGTTACAGAATTCAGTAGCCTCCTCAGTGCTGGTGAGCTCCTTCCAGGCCGGCTGGTCAACTCCAATACGGTCAAGCATGCGGGAGAACTTGTAACGGTTCTCAGCACCGTCGATCATCTCGGGAGAGGTACCAAGGATGCGAACGTTCAAGCGGTGCAGGGGCAGGGCGATGTTGTTGGGAGTCTGACCACCCATGGAGATGATCACACCGCTAGAGGACTCCAACTGGTAGATGTCAAGGACGGTCTCCAGGTTGATGTTCTCGAAGTACAACCGATCAGCCTCGTCATAGTCGGTACTGACGGTCTCCGGGTTGTAGTTGACCATGACCGTCTTGTGGCCCTGTTCACGGAGAGTACGGATAGCCCGCACGGAACACCAATCAAATTCGACGGACGAACCGATACGGTAAACACCAGATCCGAGGACCATGATACCCTTGTCCTCAAAGTTGACATCGTGCTCAGAGGCGTTGTATGTGAGGTACAAGTAGTTGGTGACGGAGGGGAACTCAGCAGCAACCGTATCGATCTGCTTCACAATGGGAATGATACCAGACTCAACACGCAGACGTCTGACAGCCAGTTCGTTAGAGCTGAGGAACTTGGCAAGCTGACGATCCGAGAAACCAAGCTGCTTGGCCTGGCGGATAAGGGGCCTAGGCACACTGGTGGCATTGTATTGGGTCATGAGCTTGCTGAAGTCGCTGAGACCCTTAAGTCTGCTCAGGAACCACTTGTCGATCTGGGTAAGCTTCCAGATATCATCGACGCTGTAGCCAGTAGCCATGGCGTTGGCAATGGCAAACAGACGCTGGTCAGAGGGAGTCTGCAGTTCACCCTTGATGGACATGAGGGCGTTAGTCTCGTTGAATCCAAGGTTGTGGAAATCGACGGAGCGGATAGCCTTCTGGATGGCTTCCTCGAAAGTACGTCCAATAGCCATGACCTCACCAACACTCTTCATGGAGGAACCGAGCTGAGTGGAGACACGGGTGAACTTCTTGAGATCCCAGCGGGGGATCTTCACGACACAGTAGTCAAGAGAAGGCTCGAAGCAAGCGCAGGTGACCTTGGTGACCGAGTTCTTGATCTCGTTCAAGGGGATACCCAGACCAAGCTTGGCAGCAATAAAGGCAAGAGGGTAACCAGTGGCCTTGGAAGCCAGAGCGGAGGATCTGGACAGACGAGCATTGACTTCGATAATGCAGTACTCCTTCGAGAAGGGGTTCAGCGCATACTGAATGTTACACTCTCCGACAACACCAAGGTGGCGAATGACGTTGACGGCGGTTGTACGCAGCATGTTGTAGTCTTCATCAGAAAGAGTCTGGGAAGGAGCAACAACAATAGAGTCACCAGTATGGATACCGAGAGGGTCGAAGTTCTCCATGTTACAGACAGTAATGCAGTTGTCTCTGGCATCACGGACAACTTCGTACTCTATTTCCTTCCATCCCTTCATACTGCGCTCGATCAGCACCTGAGGACTGGCAGCGAAGGCCTTGACGCAGAGCTCCCTTAGCTCATCCATGTTATCGGCGAAACCACTGCCAAGACCTCCAAGGGCGTAGGCAGCACGGACGATAACGGGGAAGCCGATGCTCTCAACGACTCCCATAGCCTCTTCCAGGTTCGAGGCAGAAGCGGACTTGGCACACTTCTCATTGATGGAGTCCATGCTGCGAGCAAACAGCTCACGATCTTCGGTGGTGATGATAGTATCGATGGGGGTACCGAGGACCTTGACACCGAGGGACTCGAACTCATCCTTGAGCTGGATACCGACCTGCAGTGCGGTCTGACCACCGAAGGTACAGTAGATGGCATCAGGGCGCTCGTGCTTGATGACCTTGCGAACAAAGTCGGCGTTCACAGGGAGGAAGTAGACCTTGTCGGCCAACCCCTTGGAGGTCTGAATGGTGGCAATGTTGGGGTTGATCAAGACGGTGTAAATGCCTTCTTCCTTCAGGGCCTTGATGGCCTGACTACCGGAGTAGTCAAACTCACCAGCCTGACCGATGCTCAGACCACCACTGCCCAAGATCAGGACCTTCTTCACGGAAACGCGAGGAGCAATTCTGATGTTCTCCTCCTTCACGCCACCAGGGAAAGAGACAGGCTTCTGAAGAGCTTCCGAGGAAGCGATGGTGTCCTGGATGCTGTTGATGAACACGTCGAACAGGTATTCGGTATCTCTGGGACCCGGAGTGCTTTCGGGGTGGAACTGGACACTGAAGAAGGGCCGGCTGACGTGACGGATACCCTCGTTGCTACCGTCGTTGGCGTTAACGAAAAGCTCCTCCCAGCCCTCGGGAAGGCTGTTGGAGTCCACGGCATAACCGTGGTTCTGGGAAGTGATGTGGCACTTTCCGCTGAGCATGCTAGTGCAGGGAATGTTGTGACCACGGTTACCGAACTTCATCTTCAAGGTCTGGGCACCGACGGAGCGTGCAATCAGCTGGTGACCCAAGCAAATACCGAACACGGGAGTCCGGGCCTCCTTCAAGGTCTTGCTCAGGTTGTTGACGGTAGTAGTAAGGGTAGCCGGGTCACCGGGACCGTTCGAGACGAACAGACCGTCATAGTCCTTTCCAGCAAGGGTAGGGAAGTCGTAGTCCCAGGGAACGACGAGAACCTCAACACCGCGGGCAAGCAAGCAGCGCAGCTGGTTGAACTTGAGACCCACGTCCAAGCAGAGGACACGCACCGGGCGACCGGAGGGGTGTTTGAGGGCGACATTCTCGGGAGGCGAGAAAAGTTTGGGTTCCTTGATCGACACTGTCATATCAAGTCAGATACGATCCTTCTCTGGAGTAAGAACGTGAGTAGGGTGCTTACCTTCGGCGACCAAGTTCTTCTTGTTGGGATCAACCCATTCGATCTGTTCGAAGAAAGGCTTCCAGCTGTCCTTCTCCGTGGGGATAACAGTGGCGTCGCTGACAGTCTCAGACTTCTGAAGCAGCAGACGACCCAGCATGCTACCCTTTTGACGGATGCGCTTGGTGAGAGCACGGGTATCAACACCATGGACGGCAGGAACTCCCTGCTCCTTCAGCCACTGGCCAAGGGACGACTGAGCAAGGAAGTGGGAGTATTCCTCTCCGGCATAAGTAGCAACGACCAGACCCGCGATGTGAATCTGGGTGGATTCGAAGTACTTGGGAAGAGTCTTCAGCAACTCATCCATGGTATCCCGGGAGGGGACACCATAGTTGCCGACGAGGGGGAAGGTGACGACGAGGATTTGGCCCCGATACGAGGGATCCGTGATGGACTCTGGGTATCCCACCATACCGGTCTGGAAGACCAATTCACCGGAAATACTCTTCTCAGCACCAAAGCTGTAGCCCTGGTAGACGGTGCCGTCCTCAAGCTCGACGGCGACCATCCTCCCATTGCTGCCCCGGTAGGGAGCCGAAGCGGGAGGGATCACGGCCCCAGTGTGAGCTTCCATCGGGGGAAGCGGCTGCAATTCCTTGTTGATCTGGCTGTAGGCCACTGCGCCTCCAGAGAGAGGGCTAGAGGGGAGGGCAGCCTCCTCGTGACCAGCGGACTGCGGCATTGCGGTGGTGACTGTGTGTGTGTATGTGGGGGGAGGGGAAAAAGGTCCTCTCGGGGACTGTATGACTGGGGGGTATTCTCTCTACCGTAGCATCAGCAGCCTCCAAGACCCTTTTGGAAAAGATGCAAGAGGGGAGGGAGTAGAGTTGATTCTGCTGCTTCTGCACGGGAGGAGGAAGAATATAGGAAAGAAGGAGGAGAGGAGAGAAAAGAAGAATTCTCAAGAATAAAATTTTGTGTACGGCGGGCTGATGGAGCTCTCTCATTGGGCTGTTGAACTCACCGATCCGGGGATCATGAGCCATTCTGCTGTGCCTGACCGCCTCCGACGAAAATTTTTCTCGACATTTTTGGGGGATTTGAGGGGGTTGAGCACTGGGTGCCTTCGTTGGCTTTCTTTCCATTGCTAATTATGGAGTCTAAGCAATTTCTGTCCGCAATCCGGGAGCCAGTCAGTCCCATTCCCCCTCCTCCCTTTTCCCTTCCCCGAGTTTCAAGGCTGCATGACCCAACAGTCACGGCGTGGATAGTACTATAATTTCTTACCGTCGTCTACTGGGGATCATGAATTGAGGGAATATAATCCCAATCTACTATGAAAATTCCCATCGTACGACTTATTCGTCTCACAAATACATCCCCTGACAAGGAATCCACGGGATAGCAGCCACAAATGTGTAACCGAGTGAGGTCATCGCAAGCAGAAAGCTCTATTCTAGGTTAGTCTCGTATTTGGATTGCAGTTCGGTGGAGGGGGTTGCAGAGAGCGGTTCTGCCGCACACACAGACCTTTCCTGCCAATTAGTGCCACCAGCCCCAAAAAAAAACTGCCGAGATGGCCCGTCTCCGTCACCGTCCATTGGTTCCTTGGGGGGACAGTTCGCCACACGGATCGACCACGCTTGCAGCCAGCCTGTGGCCACCGCAGGCGGTGAGCACTAGCCCGGTTTGCCTGCCTTGGTCTTTCGGTTCTGGATCCGGTCCGATGCCTGGCTACCCTTCCCTCCAATCATCGGCCCGAATGACGCTTCGAGGAAAACTCAATGCCAACCCGTTATCGGAAAGTGTACTTTTTTCGTCTTTCGGTGGGATTGCCGTTTGATTGAGTACCTTCTGGAAACAGAGTATTTAACATCATACAGTTCTTCTTTCTTTCCCATTATATACAGTAGACTACCTATATGCTATATCTGCTCGAGCGTCTTGTTTGAGACTCACCAGGTTATCCCCCGCATTTTGTAGCTATTCCGTTCCCGCCTAAATGGCGTTCTTGACCCCCTTGCATGAATGGACAAGTTGACAAGCTACCTATCTAATACTATGTAGAATATCCTATCATTGTTGCATCTTCCCTTGCTATGTGACTTGGCCGATGTTCATATGGCTCTTGAAGTAGCATACTTATCTTGTAAGGATACACAATCAATATATTGAGCAGGGAGGAACAGAATGGATGCTTACGCCCCGCTTTACTTTATCTTCCATTTGCCTCGAACCAGTGTCTCAGCCTTATTATAACTCCAAAGAGACATACCCCCGCTTACCAATCTACAACATATTTCTTTCTGGTATAGTTAAGAGGCCAATGCTGCATTTTCAACGAAATCTGCAGCGCTCAGGATCAATCTTTAGGACTAGACTAGTGCTGCTGCGGGCGCAGTTATTCTCCGAGCGGGAAGCTTTAAGGTTAATACTTGCATTCCCGACCAAGAGATAAACACTGCATCATACACAGACTTGCAGGTAAAAAGTCAGATTCTATTGGCGAGTGGGGATATCACACTGTATGTCTAATTAACTAAGGTAGTTGGTATGCGGGAACTTGTACACCCGTCTTCTTGAACATTGACTTCGGTGCATAGTCCTTAGTCCTCCCGAATATATATTACAACCCCAGCCATACTTAGGGTCATCATCGTACCACATGATCTAATACTAAGTACGTGCTTGTCTGTTCCAGTCCTTCCCGAGCTAGTAAAATACCGAAGCATAGACCACCTGCATCATAAGAAATTCCAAGGAGTACTGTTCCAGTATATCAGGCACAAGCTCAAGCCAATCGGGCTTGAACCTACAGGCGATCGTCGCATTGCAAAATTCCCAGTACTCCGGGAACCACCCAGCACCCTCCCGGACCAATAGAGTAATATTGAACTCCGGACATCCGTCACGAACTCCGAGCCTCTCAACCATAATGTTCTTCGGTTGAAGGTCACCGTGGGTAAAAACAGGACGGTGACCGCGAAGGGTCTGGTCGATCATAGGTCGCAACAATCGAATATACTGCTCCTTCTCAATCTGACTCATTCTTTCAATGATAGCAAGATTCAGGTCTTCCTGATTTGTAAAGGGCCCAGAGATCTTTGGGTTATTATCTTCAGTCCAGAATACCCCGTCAAGGAAGGGCTGGCGGTCAGCATCCCGAAGTACCCAGGCGACGGTATACTCCGTAGCTTCGACATCGCGTCCTTGATCAACTTGCATATCGTGGCCTTTTCACTCGGATTAAGAGACGGCAATAAGCTTTCAAGCGTATCGCCAGGGACGTGATCCATGATAATATAAGTTTTCTTAGAGTTTGGGTCCTCAAAAGCTGCATGAACTTGTGGAACTGGAACTTGGTGCTCTTCGAGAAACTTCATGGTTTCACCCTCAATGAGAGGTACGCCGTAGCCCCGATTTCACTGCGAAACGCTCTCCCACACGGAAGACTTGGTCGTATGCATCGGACATGCTTAGGCGTTCTGTTGCAGCTTCGATCTCCGGGACGGTTGGTAGGCGGATGGTCTCAAACGCTGATTCACTTGACATATTTAACTACTGTATTTTGTGGTGTATTGTGCTTTCAAGGACAGATCTATGGCGCAGGGGGCAGGTAAAGTGTAGAATAGGGGGGCTTCTGTTTATCTTGGGTTTGCGATGTGCACAACTGAACCAGGAGGTATTACTTGATCTGATGAACATGATGGTTGGAAGACCGACTGGTCAGATCCAGAGATTCTTGAACATGCATTAGCACAAACACGTGACTAAAATATACTTAGACATCATACCAAAGACTCATTGATAATCTAACACTCTACTATACATCTCATAACAATCCAGAAGATTCCCTAGAATGAACTGAAAGTTGCTAAGACTCCAATATTACACAATTTACCTACACGGAAGAGCTCTTTATAAGGAAACGAAGAAGATTTCCGCTTATCTCACTTTGTGCATACCTCCGCCGATAGCCCAGAGCACAAGAGGAACCTAGGCTGGGATTGCCCGTAACAAATTCTCTTTCATGACTGACCATAGACCAAGTCAAAGACGATGGCCATGCGCATGACGGTGATGGTGACGATGAAAAGACCCGTCGCGCTTTGCAGGGGCACTTGAGGTGGGTTGTTGATGGAACTGGAGGAACCACCGAGCCAAAGTATTGTTTAGTCCGGATAAAATGTTGACAAAACCATGGGAAGAAATAATCATGGAAATAGAGGGGAGGGTGGAAAGGAGAAATCAGGGGTTCAAAACATACCAAACTAGACGGTGCTGCTATAATTGAAGAAGAAAAGGCGACCTTTTCGACGAACGGTACGGAGGATTCATCGCAGATACCGGAAATGAAGAGCGGATTGTCTGCCTGGGAGAATGGCTGCTCGCGGTAAAGTTGGCACTCCTGGCCAGAAGTAGAGTACAACCAGGTGCGACAGGAGGGCACACCAGAACACTTGGTTGCACAGGCAAGCGCGTTGGGAACTTCAAAAGAAAATGTCAAGGGGGCATGACTGAAAATTGAGATGGTGTTGTCTTGCATAGATCTTAGGCAAGCGGAGGAAGAAGATGACTCGGGATTTAGGGTAGTTGCTGTTGCTGCTGTTGCTTGAAAGGCGAAAAGGAGGGCACTCACGGCCCAGTGAGAAAACATATTGTTGGCAGGTAAGTAGTAGTCATTCAGTGTCATGCTACACCTTCAAATAGACGATATATTACTTGGCAGTGAATGCTACTATCGACTTAGTACTAGTCTAAGGACTTAAAAGTGTTCCGTCGCAAATGAAAGTGAGACATCGGCTAAGCACTATACTACTACACTTGGCGCCGTCTCAACTCCGCCTGACGCGCTTGAACAGATTGAAACAACTCCGGCGCTATGAACCAGAGGCTTTTGAGGCCCAGTATCAAACCAGAGATACCAAGTGAAACCCTACAGTAGTTTCTTACTACCACTATCTAGACTAAGGGGACTCGTATCCGATCATCCCAATCTCTACTTCCCTCACACTTCGAGCTTCCTCTTCATCATAAGGGAGCCTATTCACGATATGGTGCCCCACGCACGAATCGATGACCCGTCGCACGCGTTCATGCTCGAATAGCAATCTTATGCGTAGATCTTCGGCCTCTGCTGCTGAAATTGGCCAGTCTTTCAGGTGATCCATTACAGACCATACCAACTCCAGGGGTAAGCGTTGGTCGAGCCCAGCTGCCTGTCGGGCTGCAGCAGCCCACCACTCATTTTGCTGCGGAGGAACATTCAGTGTTGAGCAGATGCGATAGTGTGGGTCGACGAGTCGAAGTTTGATCAGGGTCAGATTCCCCGGCTGGATGGGATTCTCTAAGCGGAAGGACTCCAGTTTCGATCGATAGGTATTAGGCCAGCTGAGGAGACGGCCCTCTGTGAGTGGAACCGACCCGAAAGCGTGCAGTGCGCGGGGGTGGTTATCTTCGTACCACTCCCAGGAATCTACATCGAGGACCGCGGCAAGCGCTCGAGGCACCTGACACTCCAGCTCCGAGGCGTGGACTTTATCCTCGTGCTCGAATGCCAGGCGGGCGGGGGTGATATTGTTGCACTCCACCACATACAGACTGGTGGCTGCAATCCGGTCGTTGCGGAGCCCCTCGGTGTGGAAATGCCTTTCTCCGTTAAAGATGGGATTGTCTGGATGTATTTCGATGCGAGTAATCTCTACCACAACCTGGAGGCCCTTCTTTCGAAATTGCTTCTCCAGCTGAACGGGCTTGTGGTCATGGTGTAGCGGATCAGGGTATTTGCTGAGCCGCTGCACGTGGACTGCTCGTCCCGTGAATTCACCCTGCTTCCACTGCTCATACGAGAAAGAGACACCGGGGTTTGGGTGATCGAACCAGGCTCGACGAGTGCGTTTGTGCCTGGCGATTGAATACACGAGGCCGGGAACATCCCATTGCTCGGGAGTGAGCATTTCCATCAAATTGGTCGGTTTGTCAGGCAAGGGCTCCGCCTGTTTCCACTTGGGTGGCTCAGGACCTCCGATGTACTCACGGGCTGTGTTGCGCAGGGTCTCCCACTCTTTGTCAGTGTCAATTTCAAAGCGGGGCCAGTGATGTAGGGCATTGAACAACTTCTCCTCTCCTTTATAGTCATGAACCTCGCATCCATATGTCAAAATCCGTGGTGGGCGACAGCCACGGGTATTTCCGTAGAACAAGATCTCATTCCAGGAAGGAACGGAGCTTGCTATGAGGCGCTCAAGATGCCTATACAGGCTTTGGTGTCCGCCCGGGTGAAGATTATTGACGTATGAAGCTATGCGAACATCCAGGATGTCAGTATCACTGAATTGCACCTCGCAGGGAAGCCATTGGAAGCGGTTGGACCAGCAGCTCTCCGGTCCTCCTTGGCCAGGCCTGCGTTCCAAATGAAGGGGCCGGTGTTGGGGAGGGCCCGCGGGATGGGGAGGTAGCTCTCCCTCAGGTTCTTCGGCCGAATCCCAGAGAAAATTGTCAAGGGAAGTCCGCCCCCCATGAATTAGGACTCGAGTCTGGTCGTAGACAAGGGGATACCAAGATGGATCCACTAAGCGATTATATTGAATATAGGGTCTGGGCTGCGGGTGTGGGGCCCCCAATCGGTCTATCTCCGCTTGGACCCCTTCTTTCAGGGACGGGGACTCCCGATCTGACAGAGACACATCGGCTTGACACACGGCCGAGGAACTGTCAAAGACCAGGAGGCGGCCTGTTTCCCGCCACGTTTCTGCTTTATCGCGTAGTTCCGCCAGACACCAGTCCCATGCAGCGGCGCTGATTAGGTGACCGTCCGGTCCTTCCGTGGCATCGCGGTACCATTGCGCGAGCTGGACCTCATCCTCATTGATTACGGCCGAATCCCAACCAGGTTGTTCTGTGACCTGTTGCATGAGACGAAGCATGGCCATCTCCCTCTTGGTCAGCCGAGGTGAGTGGCGGTAGTCCAACAGCCCATGTGCAAAGCGAGCCTCTGGCGGGAGCTGAAAATCCAAGGGGATGGAGCCGAACCCGGGCACCTGAAGAGGGCCATCTCCGTTGTTGGTAAGAGTAGTCATTAATAGGAGCAGATTTCAAAGGTAGAAAGCCCAGAGAGTTGTGGTCTTGCTCGCAGGAGACATGAGCCTAATGATCATAGTTTAAGTAGTGTTCAGTCGTGTAATAGTCACTAGTAAATAACAAATATAGCCGTGGCAGTCTAAGCCCTACTTATCTATGACCCTTTCCTTCTTTTGGCTCCATCCCCGATTTTCTAAGACACAGTTGATTAATCTATAGTCTATACACGGATCAATCGGCAATATCCAATTCCAGCAACCGCATGGGTAGAAGAGTAGCAAAAGTGACAAAGGATGAAGAAAGGCAAAAAAAAAAAAAAAAAAAAAGAAATAATAATCTTTGGCCAACCGGCTTATCAAGCCAGTATAAGATATGCTGGTGATAATCCCCGGGATCATCCTAATGCTCTACAGGCAGCCAAGCTGCCCAGCGACGCAGACTGGGTGCGAATTTTCTGCAAAATAAACAGATGATCCCTGAGGACATGAGACACAGTATTGTCCGTAACCATGTTGCGAGCAAAATTATCGAACCCGTCCAAAACGTCTTTCCTACCCTGAACGGTATTCTTGCCAGTGGCAGCTGCGGTCGCTAACGCGGTTGCTTGCCAGTCGATGTCCTGAAATTTGACCAATCCCGATTCCAGAGCTACCTGCAGACATGGATACGTACGGTGACGCATCCTACCAGCAGTTCCTTGGTGATCACCAGCAGCTACGACGACAAGTTCAACGACTACGTCAAGTACATCAAGGAGATCATCCCCGACCGGCTGACTGATATCATGAGAACTGGCACACCCTACGGCCCCGGAAACGCCTACTTTCAGTGCACGTACAGCCAGAACGGTCGGAACCACACCCGGGGCTCTTGTCCGGGAGACATCGGAATTGACACGGGCACTTTCACCGTCTACTATGATCTCGTTGATGCCGAGGGCTTCTACGGCAACCTATCCGCAAACTACGGTATTGATAAGACATGGATCGAATTTGGCAAGCAAGAACACAAGGAGCCCTGACCGATACCATCACCACGGCCAAGATTGAGATTGCGCTGGGCTCATGGATGGGCACCGACGATGACATCGTGCAGTCGCTGTCCCTGGCGGTCTTTCTGCTCAGCCAGGCCGTAGCCAGCATGCAATCGGTGGTCGCCGTAGCCGAGTCGTACGAAGCGGCCCAGAAGAAGAAAATGATCAATGTGATCTTGATGGGGGTGCTTTTGGTAGTCCCGTTTATGGGTGAGTTTGATGCTGTTGCGGATGTCTTTGCGGGCCTGTCCCGCATTATCACTTTGATTGGGGACGCCGGTGCGGGCGCCACCACTGTCTATGCTATTGTCGAGGATCCGAAAATGGCGCCGCTGACAATCTTGGAGACGCTTCTATTGGGTGGCATGCGCGATCCGCAGGAGTTCTCTACGATGGGCGCGGCGAGACGTGGGATGAGTAAATCGATATCAAGGGGCTGGGCTCGGAGATTGAGGCTTTGGATGATCAATTCCAGAGTATTGTTGCAAAATGTTTGTCACAGTAGTCGTTATTTCTTGTTTTGAAGTGTGTGCGGATTATATAGGACTTTTAGACAGGTGTGATGGTAACATATGTGCCCGTCAGTTGGTGCATTTGGGATGCTGTTTGCTTTATCGTTTTCGCGAAGCGGCGGCAGTCCCAGACGCAATGATGCGATGGGTGTAAGGATTGATGCACCACGTCCATATTTCTCTTTTCTTCTCCCTCTTCTCTCTCTTCTTTTCCCTTTATTTTGTGTTTTCCCAAAGAAAGAAAAGAAAAAAGAAAGTACCCACTACAAGTCAACAGTAGTGGGAAACTACTCATTGCATCTGTATTTGCAACACAGCATAGGAAAACCTAACCTAATCAGGAAAAAAAGTCCCTTTATCTAGACTTACAAGTTATCTTACATCAATTGCCAGCGACATGCAATGGATTCTGTGTGCATAATATAATCAGTACGCTTAAAACAGTAGCTTGCTTTTGACGGTTTCGTGGATTGAACTAAATTGTATACCCCGTAGAAGCTTTCGGCTAAGGAAGACTCCCGGATACTTATGTGAAGATCTGGGGCATGACGTGTGTTCAGAACACAATGGTAATTATAATTCGCAGCAACATCAACCAGTCGATCCTTGAATATCATGAACTAAAAGACAAAATAAAAGTTCTAAGGGTGGTACTGCTTCGCAGTTTCGAGTTGGCGAAATATCATTCTATCCAAGCAACAGGACCAGTACTCTTATAGGGACAGTCTACATCATGATACAGTACGATGCATATCGCTCAAAGGGCGAATTCCCTGCTTTGCGTTCGATCCGCACATCTTCTTTCTCTGTTGTGAGGGGGAAAGAAAACAAGACCAGGGCGGGGGATGTATTTAGGATCAAGTGCATCTGTAGCGAGTCATATGTACATTCAATTATAGTGATCACGAGCTCTCAGTGCTATGCTTTAGAAGGTGAGCAAAGGGCATATAATATAAACAAGGGACTTTTAACATTTTACTTGTCTTTCTTAGATAGATATATCAGCCGTGAAAAGAAATTCTCAAATGACAGTATAAATCTAAAAGTAGAATAGTCATATACAATGATATACTTGATTAAAAAAAAAGCCTGTTCTTATTTAAATTTATAGATCAAATGACGTATGTGTACTCAGTAGAAGTGGAAATTTCCGATCATAATTACCTGAAGCACAATAAAAAACCAGATGATCTGAAAGTAAAAATTCAGCTCAGTCAAGTGGTATCATCCCTTGCGCGATGCATTGATAGGCGTTCTTTATCACTGTAAATGGGAAAGGTCGTTTGCCACCCGCCCCCATCACATACTTTCTGATAAAGAATAGTGGCGGGGTTACCAGAGATCTCCATCTTATGATCAAGTGGGATGGGAGCTTTTTAAGCCCGACGGAAAAAGTACGATGTTTACCGTGAGCTAACCGGTCGGTTAGCGGTCTGGCCACAGTTTGCCGTCGCAAGGATCTAAAGCACACACCAATAACATTCACGGAGGGCGCGAGGTGCTTCATGTGCGGAATACTTATCGGACGCTAGTGAGCTCTCGAGCTGGTCTGATTCCCTGCGATCGCCGCCTCCGCTGCTGCACTCACTGCAGGCGCATGTGGGCTGCGTTAATTTTGGGAGCAAATCGTTTCAACGCTTCGGCAGCCCTCCTGCTTATCTCCCCCCCCGTTGAAAAATACTTCTTGAATCACGCGAACCTGCCAGGTTTCCTGCCCACCTTGGAATTAAGAGTTCCAACAAATCCCTCTTAAGACCTTCTCTTTGCTCGGGTCCGAGCGACGCATTGGTTTTTCTCTCCTGCTGTGATCTTGGCCGCGTCCCCAACATGCAGTGACGGCAATCTTTGATCCGCCCATTGTTGCTGAGACTTCAGGGGACGACGATTTCAAAATGCTGGCCTCCCTTTTGCGCCCCAAGAAACGACGAGTCTATGCAGAGCGGTCGCCATTCTCGTCGCCGTACACGACTCGCGATTCCCAATGGCCTGCTTTACAAAATAATGCACCTCAAAGGGGCCCTGAACCCGGCTATGAAGAGATCAACGGATACAACGGCACCCGTGAGGGGCCTGGCGCAAGATCTGAAGACGACACCGACGAAGAGGACGACGAACCCATCGAGTCCACGCCTCTCCTTCCCATATTTTCTGCGTCGCATCTAGGTACAGACATTCGTTCTATCAACTAAAACCTCAATTCAAGTTCGCATGCTGACTTTTTAGACACTTTGCCGGTTTATGACATCACTCATGCCATCCGTCCTCTCATTGTTGCTCGATGTGAAACCACCCTGACTTGGGATCAATTGCGGTCGCCACAAATTTCTCAATTCCTGGTCAAGCCTATACAGCAGAAGATTCGAGCGTTGCATTTCTCCAGGGCTACACTATATGCGCTGATAACGAACTGTCTTCAGTTCTCGAAGGAGGTCCATCTGAATCCCGGAAACAGCGGCGTGAGTCAAACTAGGGCCATGGTGAGCGAGCTTCTCGCGATCAAGTTGCTGAGAGAATACTCGACGCGGGAATTGATTGACGCGCTCTCCTATGAGTTCTATCCTCTCAACGGTCAGACGCCAACGGCCACGGTAAGCTCCGATCGCGCCCCGGGTTGGTATCCCACTCCAGGAAGCAAGCGTCCCGCCATCGCTCGTGTCTCTTGCCTCGAAGTGGCCATCCGCGCTCAGGCGAAAAGGTTCTTGTCGCATCCCTTGGTGGTACAGCAACTAGAAGCGATATGGGCTGGCACGATTGTCTTCCATTCCGCATCCGATTACCTCCATCGCTCGCCCGCACAAGTTAGGAACAATGGGAGACTGCAATATGGTACCGCTCCGGATCCTTCTCCCCTTGACACGTCCCATCGTCAGCCACAGCCCAACGTATCTGGACTTCGACGTTCGGTCACGATTTACGACCCAAGGGATGCCTCCTTGTTCAAACTTTCACGACTCCGCGTGCCTCGATACAGACAGTTCTTGTCAACTTTGTCATTCGCGGTTCTGCTGGGATTGTTTCTGGCTGTGTTGAACCAACGTCGCCTCGAGATTACTCCGCTGGAAGTTATCTTCTGGCTTTGGAGCGCTGGTTTCATGCTCGACGAGATTGTTGGATTCAACGAGCAAGGGTTCAGTTTGTACCTCATGAGCTTCTGGAATCTCTTCGATCTCGGCATCCTTTTTCTCCTTTTCTGCTACTATTGCATGAGACTTTACGGCGCCATCCTGCCCTACACTCGCAATCATATTGTGGCAGACCAAGCGTATGATATACTTGGCCGCGAATGCAGTCCTTCTCTTTCCACGACTCTTCTCGGTTCTTGACCATTACCGCTACTTTTCTCAGCTGCTTATCGCGTTTAGAATCATGGCTTCAGACCTTATCGCGGTGTTCCTTCTGATTATTATTGCTTGCAGCGGGTTTTTTGTGGCATTCACCCAGGCATTTGGCAACAGTGATGACCATTCTCCTGGGGCCGTCGCGTATGCCTTGTTCCAAATGCTCATGGGATTCACTCCAACGGCATGGAGTCTATGGGACGAGTACAATATGCTGGGCAAACTCATCCTGACAGTGTTCCTGTTCATTTGTCACTTTGTGGTCGTCACCATCCTCATCACGGTCTTGACGAATTCCTTCATGAGTATTGTGCAGAATGCCAACCAAGAACACCAGTTTCTCTTTGCCGTCAACACAATCTCTATGGTCAAGTCGGACGCTCTCTTTTCTTATGTCGCGCCGACTAATATTCTTGCTTGGCTGATCACCCCACTTCGTTACTTTGTGCCATTCCGCGAATTTGTTCGGATTAACCGCACGATCATCAAAATCACTCACCTACCCATCCTGTTTACAATCTGCTTCTACGAGAAAGCGATACTGAGTTCTCAGGTAATTGATTCGACCGACTTGATTGAATCTACATCTCGAGGTGATTCGTCAGACCGCTTTCGAGCCCGGCGTCGATTCAGAGCTTTCAGCTCTCAAATTCGACCCTTCGTCCGAGAACCATCAGTTGCTACGTACCAGAAAGACCGTGCCCTGGACGAGGTGTTTCGACGACCATTCCGAGACGCAACAGCTAGACGTCCTGTCGCCGCCCTTGACCGCAGAGGAAGCCACAGTGTTGTCAACAAGTGGATGCAGACTATGGGATCGGGCTCTGTCAACCCCCCTGATGAGCAAGACTCAGAGGAGGTCGAGCGGCTCGAGAGATTTCCCCGCGGTCGGACGGGCTTTCGCCGGACATTTACTAGGAGCCTGCGTGACTTCACGGAAACGAATCACTCCGCTACCTCCGACGCTGACCGTCCTCCCCATGTCGCATCTTCACCTGCAACGCCACGTAATGGGAGGACTTTCATGACTCCCATGCGAAGCAGGCAGCTATCGCGACAGACGGGTATGGAAGGTGACGATGAACTCACGAGCGATGACAATGGCGGATGGGCTGGAGAACAGAGATCGGGTCCACTGGATTCCGAGGACGATACGCCCCAGACCACCAAACAAAGTCCGATTCATACACCACCCAAGCACTTCAGCTCTCGGCCATCGACTGCACGACTCAAATCTCGCAAGACCAGTCCCGCTCGGCGGATCAAGAACCACACGCGAAATTACTCGGGCGCTACTATGCTGTACAACCCGATATCTTCAGAGAACAATCACGAAGCCGCCAAAGCTTCACCAAGCCCTGTCCGGCCAAGAGCGGAGACTCCTGATCCAGCGGGCGGGGCTGTCCTGTCGACCTCTGCCGATCAGTGGACGCTGAAGAGACATAATGCGAATGGGAGCAGGCTTAGAAACGTGACCATGACTCGATCTGATCCGATGTCTGTTCCGGATGTGGGTGGCTTTTCGGTGCCCGATTCACACTTTCAGCGGCGTCGTCAAGCGTCCATCCTCGATGGCTTAGGCTCAGACCTGGGGGACAACAAGGCGATTGCGAACGGTTTTCTTGGTGGTGTTCCTTCGAGTCTCACCACACAAATAGCCTACGCGACAGGTAATATCCGGCGTGCCGACAGCCCAAGTAGCAGTCAGGATATGCTCAGCAAGCTCGTACTGGCACGGATGAACAATATCGAGGAAGGCTTCCGTGAGGTGATCAAGGAAGTCAAAGACCTCCGACGTGGAGGAACTAGCCGGAGCGAAAGCCGGGTTGATGAACAACGAGGCGTTCAGCGTGAGAAGAAAAAACGGCGCCCAGATAAGAAGGAGCCGAAGAAGGATCTCCAAGGATCTTGGAAGAGCAAGACGAGCAGCGAAGGGCAATGGTCGGACGAGCTGGCATTTGAGAAACGCAGAGACGAACCCAGTGGAGATGACAACCTTTAAGTTACTGGTGCAGCTGTTTGGACGCTTGAAACTTTCAAAAGACGATCTTTCCTGTATTTAATTGATGCACATGTACAACATTTTGGGCCGGCTGTCTCACGACTTTTCGACGATTGACGAAATATGAGCATTTGATACCCTTCCAGTACCTCATGGTTACGGACATGTCTTTCTTTTTGTTTTGCTCAACCACGAGTGGATTGAGAACGTGGTGTAATTAGCGGTGGAAAGGTGACCTAGATCACACAATCTGTCAATATTTCTTAGAAAATGAAGCAGTCATAGAACCATGTTTAGATGGTCCGTTTGTATATCAGTATGTGTCTTTGTATAGTCAGTCTGTTCACCTTATCGTGGCTCCGCTGGTTCCCCAAGATCTTCTGACATTCATTCTAAAATTGCTCTTTATGATCATGCACACAAGAATATCCATGCTTAAATGGTTATCCCCGGTATCGAAGGGAGCCGAGGCTGGAAATATGCAAGGGTTTGCCCGTTTTGCATTTACTTCAGTCAGCGACTAGTGACTGCGCTGGTAATCTCAACAACGTTCAACGACAATCTATGGACGAGGGAATGTATCATTCACTTGTCCCTCTCTAATCTCTTTCTCTTCCTCTCTTGCCCCTTCTTCATCTATCGGGCGCAGCTTTGATCCACACGAACAGGGTTCTCTGCTACTTCCAGGCAGCGGCGGAACGGCAAGGCTGACTGAGGCTGTGAAGGCCCGTGTCATACTAGCGATCATCGAGGACCACCACCACGTCGTTTGCAGGTAGAAGTGAACTCAGTGTCCTTATAACTGCCTATATTTCCTTTGTCCGCTCTACCATTCCTCTTCTTTATCCTATTGCCAGACTTCATCAGATGATGTACGATCCCAACAGGACAGAGTGGGGAACGGGTAGTACTGAAGCTACCCAAATCGAGGCCGAGGAAGCTTATACCCTCCACGATTTCAATACCAACATGAGCTCCGAGCCGGGCAGCGATACAGTGGAGGATGATCCCAATCCTGCTGCTCTACGATTCGAAGGCGCCGACACAATCGTCTTCATCGACCCTCCATCGTACAAATCAAACTGGTCATTGCAACCACAAACTGGAGCGTCCATTCCCCATTATATTCACAGCCACACCCTCTTGGAAACCGGATCTCCCTATTTCAAGAGACTCTTCGAACCGAGAAAGCAAGCTCGCATGATAAAGCGTGCAGAGATTCAGGGAAAGCTACCTGATGGAATCAAATACATCATTGACCTCACTCCTCCCTCGACGGACGATGAGGCGGTGGCTTTCACCACTGAACTATCATGCCCACTATGTATACGGACATGGGCTCGCGCGTCAAAACGTTGGGGTCTGCCTCTGCACTGTGTTGGCGGCAAAGACGAAGGATTCGAAACTGAGGATGGGTGTCAGGATGCGGTTCTTCCCTCTGAGTATTCGGATTCTCGTCATCGCACGGGAATCGTACATATCCTGCAAGCTCTAGGATGTGTTACCCCGTGTCTTGATACGCCTTGCAAGCTTTGGACCTTCTTTGCTCTGGCGAAGGTGTTTGGTATTGCCAGTATAGGGCACATCAAAATTCATATCCTGACCTGGATCTATGAGAGGACGAATACTCGCTTTATTGAACTCCACCCCGAGATTGCATATAGGATCGCTTGTGGTATCGAATGTGACCACCTTTGTCAGGATTCTTTCACTGTCCTTGTGGGAGAGGAAGCTCTGTTACGTCTAGTCAATGCAGGACAAGCACCCACACTCCAATGGCCAGAGGTAACGTTCCACGGCCGACGCCGCGAGCCATTGGATGATGAAGATCGCCAACGGATAGAGTATGCAAGTCAAAGCTTTGTGGACCGCATTCTTGACCAGTTCATACAATTGGCAGGCTCACAAATGCACTGGCTCTTGCAACTACCATCTACAATGAATATCTCCCTTCACACTGACGATTGTGACGAACATTGTCCATTGGCGTCACAATTAATCTCCTCGCTGAAACTATACGTGCGGGGACACATCGTCGCCATTTTGGCCAGCTCCGCTGTCACTAGGGCTGCGACGACAGGCCATTACATTAATCACAGCATCTACCCAACGCGTGAATACGCTAATGCTTACGATAAAATGCGTTATATAGAACGCATCATCAGCAGGACGTTCTGGAAATTGCTCAGAACTGCGAGGTATAGCGACTGTCTAGCAAGCTCCGACGGCAAATTTCAAACTATGACAATCGCCGACTTGGGCAAACATCACCACCTGTTCCAGACGGAGGATAAGGCAGATCTCTCAGATATTTCCTTGGAAGAGTTTCTGCTGGCAGTCAACCAGTTCAATAGCCACGTTGACTTTGATAGCCCAAGGTTTAGCCCGCGTAGGTACGGTGGTGGGACCGTTTTCATAGAGAGGCGAGGTATGATTCATCCAGGCCGAGCTTCTGGCAACAGGACTAATTTGGTACTTGAAGGAGTTGTTACCCATAGCCCCACACCATCTATCTTCAACCCAATCGACTTCCTTCAGCAGGTGCGCTCACATATAGACGATCTCGCCGAGAGAATGGAGGAGGGCTGCAGACACGGAGCGCACTTTCAACTAACCGACACCATTATCTGCCTTACCGACAACGAGTTGCGATACCTTCCGCTGTGGGCGGGGGGTGATGATGATGGGTCCGGCGGCGTTTTCACAGATCAAGGGATACCTAATCTCGAGACGGGTGGATTCTCCATGCCAGGACCTACAATTCACACAGGAAGTACTGTCCACTCGACCACTTCTTACTCCAATTTCGCCCCAAGCGAGTATCAAAGTACGGTCCAGCGTGCGTCTCATAAGGCCACGGGAAGCTACTGGACGGACGTCGTCAGCATGAATTTCTCAGAGGCGCACGCCACGGTAGATGAAAGCCATGAGCCAATTCCGGATGAGGCGCCCGCAGACACAAGCGACCTTTCCATAGACATGAATACGTCGGCGGACGACATTGATGATTGCTTCGATACTGATAGCGAGGACAATGACACGGTGATTGTGGACACCCCGAGTGAGGATGGGCCGGTTGGGGAGGCTTCGGAGATGCTGGAGGACCTGTCTCTTGGGGTAGAAGCTTTCTCGAAGTGATCTATTGACATCAAGAGAACTTGAGTTGAATATGTTTTAATCGGCATGAGTATTAGAAAATAGTAAAGTACCAACCAATCAATGAATAGTTATGATGCGCTGTACGCTGTAGTATAGTATCTATCACGTGATAGAATCCGGGGAGTTAACAGTCTGGGCGGCGACGTCACGGAGCGGTGATCTTATCGCCAAATAATCCCTCGCATTAATCCCTCCTCCATAGCCCAAGGCAGGGGCCCGGACTCGCCTAGATCGATCCTACACTTTTCTCCGTCTTGTATAGCGAACTGAGTACATAATCGCGTTATCAAACCATCATGGCCGCCTCCTCATCGAAGCCATCGAGCTTCCTGCTCTAGTACGTGATTCAAACAGCAGCTGGACAGCAGCACACCGCGACATCTATCTTCTCCCTCAAATAGCATCTCCAACTAATCACTCACCCATATCTACAGTTCCTGCATCGCCCACCGCACAACCATTCTCGCCGAACACTCCTCCCCAGGCACATCCTCGACCGCCGCCTCGTCCCTGGCCTCTATCATCCTCCCAAAGATCAGCCACGACCAACCGCAAAAGCTCACCTACACCCACGAGCGTCTCTTCGTACACTACATCGCCGACTCGCCCACAACACCCAGCACCTCCGACGACCCCCGTCAGGGCGAACCCAACTCCTATGCGCCCCTCAGCTACATCGTCGTCGCAACCGCCGAACAAGGCCGCCGCATTCCCTTCGCCTTCCTCCTCGAAATCAAGCGCAAGTTCCTCTCTACTTACTCACCTTCCAGCACGGACTTCTCTGCTCTCCCGGCTTACGGCTGCGCCGCGTTCAACAATGAGCTCCGCTCGCTGCTGCAAACGTACAATACGGCCCCGCCGGCGGATTCGCTGGCCTCGGCAAGACGGGAAATCGATAGCGTGCGGAACATCATGACGGAGAATATTGAAAGAGTGTTGGAGAGGGGAGAGCGGATTGATCTCCTGGTGGATAAGACGGATCGGTTGGGTGGGAGTGCGCATGATTTTCGCATTAGGAGTCGTGGCTTGAGGAGACGTATGTGGTGGAAGAATATCAAGTTGATGGTTTTGTTGGCGGTTGTGGTTGTGTTCTTGGTGTATTTGTTTGTGGGGATGGGGTGCGGGTTGCCCGCTTGGGGGAGGTGTGTTGGGCAGAGTCAGTAAGAGGTGGTGGAAATATGGTTTGATGCGATGCGATGGTGTATCTTATTCTTTCTTCGTGGTGATTATGAGGTGGAGGAACGGCTTACGATTGTCTGGTTTTCGGCCAATTGAGCGGGACATATGCCTTTCTGTTTGTTTGTATGATATGATGACTGCGGCTGGTATTCATACTTTTAGGTATCTATATTTACTCCTGGGGTATCCCAATGTGATAACGTCTAGCGTGTCTTTCGATTGAGTGGTATGATGTTGGTACTGGATAAGTAACCTGTAGTCTCACTTAAGAAGACTATATCCATATGGAAACACATTCAAAGTTGCACACACCAGAGTAAATCAATCTATCAATCAACCTTAGTAGCAAGTGCTACTCAACTAGCTCAGCTAAGTCCTTAATATCACCGCTGAAAATCCATCCATCCACCAAGACACTCACACCACATCTATTACACGACCTACCAAGCTCACAGCAGTACCAGACAACGACTACATCACTGACTCAACAATGGACAAAACTCAATCAAAAATCATACTATTCAACCATATATATACTATAGATAATATCTACAACAGCATGTATCTCACTCTCAAACCCGCAGCGTCCTTGCGAGAAGCTCAGTGCGGGTCTGCAAGCGAGGCAGAACGCGATCTAGACTTTGTCTAGATGTGAATGCATATCTGCAATTCCTTCTGCGCCAGCCGTATACCTCTTCAACCATGGTAGTCCGTCCGAAGGGATGGGATTGATGAGGAGATAATCTGGCGCGTTGAAATAAAGAGAACTAGATTGTTCGGAAGTCGTGATATATATAAGACAATGAGAAAGTAGAGCGTGCAATACGTCCTGAGCCAATGCTGTCTACCTCCTTGCAACGAAACATGAATTGCAAGGCCCTAGGGGAAGGGTGAGGTATTGGCGATGCTCCTGATTCCTAGCCAGATTTGGCTCAGTGCTGAAGAGCTTCGAAAAGCACTGAGACGATAGTGTCTGTTGGTTGTGGTTCAGAAACCATCGTGTCCAACTTACTACACCTTAAGAATCACAGGAAGAAGTTGCAAGTTGCAATATAAATAGTCGAGCCTAAAAAGTGTGCGCCACGTGACGCTCCGCTTAATGCTGATCCTGCTTCCGATTGGCCAGCTCGGGGACAGCTCCGGTCGCGACTCACCGCCCGCGTAAGGCGGTGGGGAATTTGCATCGTCGAGCCTCTTTCATGCGCGCCGCCAATCCCCTCTTCCGATGCGGTCGCGTCACGCCGACCATTTAGCATGATTTCTCTGTGAAGTTCTATGCTGATTGGTACGGTCACAGTGAAGGCCAGCTCGGGATACATTTTCTGGAACAGTTCCATATACTACCAGACTTGTACGTCAGAAATGATGCTGACGGCAAGGAATTGGCACCATACTTGATACCCGTCTGCCTCACCAGCTGCGCAAGATGTCAAGCGAAGACTTGCAATGGCTGGAAAGTTACCTGCGCCATGGATACGACCCGGAAGCTCAGGGTGTCGATGAACATGCAGCATTCTATCAGTCAAACCCCTACTTTGCTATGCCCCCGTCCTCGTCTTATACAGCTGCCCACAATGGCTCTGCCGGATCTCATGGATATCAGTACTCAAACGAGAGGGACGTGAGGCCTGGCTCATTTCCAGAAAACCAACATCACACATCCACTTCTCGGTCTCATCAAATGCAGTACCCCCAAGCTTCGGCCGTGGCACCGCCCCCAGGCTCGCATACTGAGAGCTCGTCTCGGTCTGCTGCTCCTTTTGGACCGAAGTCGCTGCCCTCTAAATCACCGAGACCCCCTCCTTCGCAGGATTATACACGTGCGCATCAGTTGCCAAAGCCGGTGCAGACACACAGGACTGGCCCTCCAGCAGGGTATAAGCCGCCCCCTTCGCGAATGTCTCGACCGGCGCATCAATCCGACCCAGGCCCCCCTCCAGGGTATCAGCCGGCCTCATATCCAGCGCCACATTCAATCCCTCAGGCACCGTCCAGACCGACCCCGCCTCAGACGTCGGGCTCTTTGCCCTCGAGTCTGCCTCATGCCCAGCCGTCTTCTACCTTAACCTCAAGCCAACCTCATTCCCAGTCCTCGAATGCTGTAATTTCGCCCCTGGTACTGCAGACATCCAATACGGCACTGCCGCCTACACCAGCCCAAGCTCCCAATTCACGTCCTTCACCTATGCCACCGACGCAATTCACTACACATCCTTCAAATCCGCCAATGACAGCACCTCAAACGAGTTCACACACTACTCCGACAATTTCAGCTCAGACATCCAACTCGGCTCCTCCAGTGACCGTCCCAACTGCCCAGCCGTCGAATTCAGCGCCTCCGCCTGTTCCGCCTGCGCATATAACGCATACAACCCCGCAATCTACGATGCAGCAAGGAAATACCACTGGAAACGGTAGTGAACCAGGTCATGATGCTAAGAGACGTCGGATAGCGGCCCCATCCACCTCTAAACGATCATCCGGGCAACCCTCATTGCCCAGCTACGCAACAGCGCCTGCTGAGAATCCTCCAGCTGGAGGGCTCTCTATCTACAATTATTCACCACAAATAGCAGGCTCCGGGTTCCCTGCATCTAAAAGCTATCTAAAATCGCGTGCCGACATTGTTACGCCGCTACGTGAGGAAGACGCCGTGGATAAGGTGATCTATGACCCGAAGACGGTCGCCAGAGACGTCCTCATTGCAGCAGGCCGCCATCCAACGGAGGAGGCACTGAACCATCATCTTCTTCGCTTGCGCGATGTTTTCGTTCATGTGGACAGTTCGTCGGACCTGTCGACCTTTCGCTGGGATCTGGTCGACGCGCTGGAACCACGTGACCAAGGTCCGCCAAAGCCGCAGCCGCGGCCGCGTCCCGCGCCTTCTCTGCCTGTCCTTCCGAACAACACCAACACTAGTCTGCCCCCTCCACCACAATCCCGGCAACCACCACCACTTCCCCAGTCACAGCCGGTACGGCAATATCCGTCTTCGCAGCCGCTGCAGGGTCAGCCGGTGCCGGGTCCGCCCGTTGGTCTTTCTAAGGCTGCTCCTCAGCCACAGAACCGCCCATCTGTCTCAGCAGCGACCCCGCTACCACAAACGCGGCCGCAACCACCGTCGACCCCGCAGCCCCCATCCCAATCAAGTGTACCTATCACGACGACGCAAGTGACACCTATGACGGGCAAGAGAGGACCGGGTCGACCCCCGGGCAGCTCGAAGGCGCGGCAGCAGCCCCAGCAAACTCCCATACCGGCGTCGGTTCCGTACCCGGTCTTTGCATGTGATTGGACGAACTGCCAGGCCCAGCTGCACAACCTGGATGGACTGAAGAAGCATGTCTTCAAGGTGCACGTATCCCAGACGCTCAATTGCGCGTGGAGGGGGTGCTCGTTCCCGGATGCCCTACCTGCCGCAGCTTTGTTCAAACATGTGAAGAAGGAGCATCTGGAACCGATCGCATGGAAGCTGGGGGATGGGCCCGCGGTGCCTCTAACTGGTGAGAAAGCATCTGCTGGATGATTGCAAACTTTCAGCTTGCGACTAGTTTGATGTTCGAAGTAGTGATTGACTTTTTAACTTTGACTTGTGCGATCTAGTGGGAAACGATGCTAGCGGCAGTCCTGGGCCCTTGGGCATTTTGGACACCGCACAGCCCGATACTGAAGACTCACTTATATTCCCTGCCAGCTACAGTTCTATCCGTGCCTTCAACCGAGTGCATGGGAATAATACCCAACAGGAGAAGGCCCGGGAGATTCTCAAAGCAGTCCAGCGACTGAAGGAGCAAATCGGAGTCGGACTGGACCCGGGCGGATGTGAGCTCGCGACTCCGGCGCGGAATGAGCGATTGAGCAATGACGAAGATGTTTACGAGGTGGTGCCAGCGACCTGAAAGAACCGTGATTTGTGATACCCTCAAGTTTTATTCATTGTAATTTTATCCGTTTCGCTTTACAGGCATGGCATTTGACAGCGGCGATGGTATTCAGTGAATTGTTTTGAGCCACGGTGTTGTGTTCGCATTCAGCATGCAGATCTTCCCGAGATACACCATTGTAAACCATAGCAACATCACCAATGTAACATATAGATAACCGATCGATCCATATCCGATTACCTGGAGAAGAAGAGGAAATAAGTAGTTTATTCTGACGACGACCACCGGGGTATCTATTCATCGCCACTTTTCTGTTCTGTTCCACCACGCTTTTGCAACCATCCCCCTTGTCACCTTTGTGCGCTCAGGAACAATAGACCATACATGTAGTAGTACCGCAAGCCCAAAACCAAACCAAATCCATCGCCCAACACGATGATAACATTATCGAATTATCAACACCCTCCCAAGCAAGCTCAAGTCCAAACCAAATCCTATCAAATCATGCGGTAGTCGAACCAGCCGACGAGGCGCCCGTAGATTGCTTGCTGTTGTTGTTTTTGACGTCGACTTCTTCATCATCATCCTTCGCATTGACTTCGAGGAAGTGGTAGAGAACGATCATCATCATGGCGCAGGAGCCGAGGAAGACGGCCAAACGGTGGAGTTCGTCGTCGGTGATCATTGTGGCGGAGGAGTAGTAGGTATTAAATTATCGGATGAATTGTTGTTCTTGTGATGGGAGGGTTAGACTGATTGGTTGCGCCGAAGAGATGAGTAAGTAATTGAGCGAATAGCTAGGAGACTTTTGTTTGTTGGCAAGTGAGAGAAAGGGGAGGGAGAGAGGGAGAAAAGAGTGGTGTTGTTGGTGCGATGACGGAGGTGTGGTTGCGCGGAAGCCACGTTGATACTTAGTCGGAGATGGAGGAGGGAATAGAGAAAACCCGATTGGGGGGTGAGGAGAAAGAGGAATGGATTCGAACCATAGAAGAGTGGTCTATGGTTGATGGATTTCCTACGGGAAAGCTTACCTGTTTGGAAGGAAAGTGAAAACAAGATTTTGTAGGAGGGGAAGTAAAGAACAGGAAGGAGATTGATTGATCTCTGAGGTGGTTATTGCTTGCTTGTTAACTTACTTAGTAGATAGATACAGTAGTTGACCAGTTTAGTTAGTTGGTAATTATCTTACTTTGGTATAGATGCAGTACGTAAGTTACCGGCTCAGTCAGCATCATCACCTTCTCCATCATCCACCACTAACCAACTACTAACTCTCTATCTGAACTATCGATCAACTAGCTACACAATACTAACTTGGCCACCACTACTTGTCCAACCTCAAGAGGACCATTCCAAATCATTTTATCCTCTTCCGCTCCCCCCGGCAACTGTTCGAGTCTTCCCTTTGTTGCTGCTCGCCCTCTCTCTGTGTCACATTCGATCGCTGCAGCTCCACCCTCACCGGCCATTCCGAATCGTGAAGCGTGAATGGTGAGATGCTGCGGCGGCTGTCGGTGGAGACTCGAGCTAAAGAAACGTCTGGCTGGTCTGATCGATCATCCTTCGGCCTGTCAAAAGGCAGGATAGGATTAGGAGCATAAAGGAAGCAGCAGAAAAGTTGGTATGTCTCTTTTTTACCCCCTCTACTGCACTGGTCGTCATGCATGATTCGTGTCGCCGTTGTGTCTAGTGCTAGTTAATCAATATCCCTTCCTGCCAGTCATCGTCTTGGAATCAATCAATTCGGCCTTCTCCGATTGCATCCATCGTCTTGCTTTCCATCCCTGGTTCCTTTTTGTTCTATTTTCTGCTTCTCCTTCATCTCCTTCTCCCCTTTCCCCCCACCCACCTCACTTCCCGCCCGCTTTTTTTCTGTGCTTCCATAAAACCTTCCTTTCCGCCGTCACCCCCGCTTGTACCGAACTTCCGCTGCCGTCTTTCTTTCTCTCTCCCTCTTTCTCTCCTGCTGGGTTTCAATTTGTCTCTGATCACTCTGAACCCCGCCGGAGCTTTCTTTCTTGCTTCCTTGTTCTCTTTCGCTCTGCATGGTGCTGGAATTGCGCAAATGAGACCACCCGCTTATTAATTCTCAGTAACCATCAGTGATTGTTCCGCCATCAACATGGATCAAGGTATCCAACAAAACTCGTTCATTTCCGTCAAGGACTCCGGTTCTGCCAAAAACTCGGGCCCGTCGCTGCTTGCCTGTCTGCTGTGCCGACACAAGCACCTAAAATGTGATGGAAAAACTCCTGTCTGCGGTCGTTGTTCCGCTACAGGATCTGAATGTCAATACACCCCGTCGCGTCGCGGGTACAAGGGCCCCTCGAAGAAGCGTCGAGCCAATCCATCCTCCCCCGACCAACTCCCTGCCGACATGTCGACCTCGTTCGAGCCCCAATACTTCAATGTGCCGTCTGACTGGACTCTGGCGAGTAACATGCCCATGTCCTATGCGGTGCCAGCCACCACTACCCCCGTGCCGACTTCCCTGCCCTCCTCTTCCTTGCCGTCCGGCAGTCCCGCTCTGACAGATCATTCTGGCTCCTCGCACTCGCAGCCGGTCGGCGTCTCCAATAGCCCCATGACTCCGGACTCGATCTCTACCATTGCCGGCGATGGCTATCTTATCGACATCTTCTATACCTACTTTCATCCTTCCCACCCGGTCTTGCCGCCGCACCGTGTCCTTTACCGCAATCCCGTGCCTGCGTTCCTGGAGCATGTCATCAAATTCATTGGGACCCACTTCACTCCGGCCGCCAACAGTGAGAACTACAGGCCGTCGGTAATGTCCTCCGTGATGGACCAGGAAGGGTCTATCGAGAAATTGCAGGCCCTGGTGCTTCTCGCCATTGTCTTGCATTCCCGCAATGAGCGACAGAAGGCGGGCGAGTGCGTCACGACGGCTGTTAATCTGGCCTTTGAGTTGAGGTTGAACACGAGAGACGCTGCGCCGATGCTCAGCAATGGCGACCCGGTGCGGGAAGAGAGCTTGAGGCGTACCTGGTGGGAGCTGTTCATTATTGAAGGCATGCTGACTGCACTGGGTGTTCAGCCAGCTTTTCGGTGCAATTCTGGGCCGCTCGAGGTACCATTGCCCTGTGAGGAGCGTATCTATCAGGATGCCCTCCCGCCTCCGCCTGCGCCTACCGTTGCGCAATTCGACGAGCGTGTCTTTGCAGACGAGGAGCGGGATTTCTCTTCCTTCACTTACCGAATCGAGGCTGTTCGCATCCTGGGACGCGTAGTGTCCATCCAAGACATGATTGAGGGCCAACAGGACCATGTCGAGGCCATTGACGCGCGGATTACCAGTTTCTTCCACCACCTGCCCGAGAACAAGGCCGAACTGCTGCGCCCGGACGGGTCGGTCGACGAGATGATGTTCCAAGCGACAATGATTGTCAACGGCTCTGCAATTTACCTCCATTTCCCGAGATCTGACCTGCTGTCGTCCCCAGCGGTGGCAGCGGAGGTTATCTGCGGCCATCACGGGCCGCTGAGCATCCCGGCCTTCTCGCATCATGCGCATGCCATGAAGGCGGTGAAGGCAGCCAGCGAGATCTCCTCGCTGGCGTCTATCCGCATGCCAGTTGTGAAGCACACGCCCTTCTTCATCTGTGCGCTGGTCCTCAGCTCCATGGTGCAGTTGGCTGCATGCTCTGTCAAAGCCGGGCAGATGCCCGACCCCAGCCGTGACCGGCTGACGCTTACCATTGGCGTTTTCAAGACCCTGGGACGGACCTGGGCGATTTCGCAGACCATTATGCATCAGATCAAGGCCGTCGCCCGCGATGTGATGGACCTTGGTCTTCGGCCTACCATGCCCGAGATCGATCTGACCACCGTCCTCGACAACAGTCGGTTTTGGATACCCGACCTCCTTCCGATGGCCAGGTAAAGAGGTGGGGCTCCAATCTATATGCACATGAATTCCGGGTCGCTTATTGATCGACCCTTGCACAAGCCCCTTCTTTTTTTCCTGTCGATATTTACCTACCATGGCAATGATACCCCTCCCCGACTGATAATGATTGCTTGTCCAAAAAGAAGACACTGAGATGATGCCAACGAGTTGATTTCATTGATCCGCTGGGGATCCCATGCGCTTAGGGGGGTTATTATTCATTTATATGTTTCTTTTATCTGTTTCAAAAATAAGAACAGCTATATTCTGCCCGTCTACCAGCTATCCTGGTTTGATCTTTCCTGAAATGACTTAACGAAAGAAGTGCCTTGGCCGGTAGCTGTTCACATTAGCTTCAATTGTGATTTATGTACAAATGCCCAGGGTGATTGAATGAATAGTACTATGTTTCAGGAATATGTAGGAATCGATAGCCGTCAAGTTCTCGCATAGCATGGCAAGATTTCAATAGACAAATGAGTCACTCACTAATGTTCAAATGGAACACAATCGCAGGGCTTTAGTGCTCACAGGCCCCTAAAAGTGAACGGATAACTCGTACTACTATATACCTAATGTGGAGTAGTACTAGTAGCAGCAGCATCCAGTTGGACACGTACATTCTCTTCCTACATATCCGTAATACTACCTAGTAGTACCCAACAGGAAAACAAATACTAGATGATGATATTCAATTGTCTTAAGTAATATTTAGGCATAGTCACCAAGAACGTAGCAGGTTAAGGAATGTATACCTGAAATATATTTCTTACACGACACATGATGCAAGAGAAACAACATATAATATCCAACGCTGCGCTAGTAACATTGAACTAGTTCGTTACAAAAGTTCAGTACATTCGTATCATGAGTGATGAGTGATGGCTGGGAAAAAAGGAAAAATTTAAAAACCCGGAGCAGTCCATTCGTCTATAAGGGCATGACATGGGGCAACAGAATATAGCGACAAAGAGACACAACACAAATTAACACAATGGTATCATGCAATGATGGAGTTGCAGATAAAGACATGTTGAAGAAAAATTGGAATCTGATGTCATGCGTTCCTTTTATTTTCTTTTATTTTCTTTTATTTTCTTATTTCTTCCTCTTTCAGCGGAGAATTTATTATAGTTGGTGATCCTCTTAACTATCCCCTGACGAGGTCGGGCGGCTTCGCGTGAACTCCTGCATCTCGCGGAGAGCTTCCGCACGACGAGCCACCACGTCTTCGCGCCGGACGACGTTCCGAAGAGCTTCGCTGGCTTGGATGAGGCCGTCGATGCTGATGGCGTGGTTGGTCATTTGATGGTTGATGTAGGTATACAATTCGGCTGGGGTGGAGCAGGTGGTGAGGAGTTGTTGCTCGTTGAGTTTGAGAAGGGCGAGAGCTACTTGGAATAAAAATGTGCTGCCGCCCCCGTTGCCGCTGGCGCTGGGGTTCGAGTCGTTAGGATCCGTCGTGAAGGTGGAAGAAGGGGCATTGGCTGTGCCGGTGGCGGAAGGGTTGTTGACGGCGCTGGTTACATTCAGACAGAGGACTACGTCCCAGACGCGGTAGAGGGCTTCGGCTGAGAGGCAGTCGGTGAAGACGGAGAGGAACCATTGGAACGTCAATGCCTCGAGTTCAACGCCCAGACTCTCAAGATGGGCGGATAGCTTAGGCAGGATTTCGGCGATGTACTGGCGCAGTACCACTTGGTCGGCTCGGGAGGCTAGCAGGCCATGATCGTAGTAGTGTTCGGGAAGGATCACCTCAATCATAGATGTGAGGAGCCAAAAGGCGTCTTCAGCAGTTGGGGTGATAAGCAGAAGAGATGCGGCGATGAGGTTCATGCCCTGGCAGTAGCCGACCTCCGGGTTGCGACGGGAGTAGGCCAGGAGCACCTCCTTGAGCTTGGTAACGCCGGGTCCTCGGCGGAAGAACACATTGTCGGTGAGAGTCCGGTTGATGTCCATGTCAATCTGGGCGACGACCGACGAGTCGGGCTCCAAGCCACCGGTACCCTTCACCAGGTCATCGTAGTAACCAGGTACCCGCATCGAAGAAGCGCCACTGCATTCGGACCAGACCTTTGCCCGCAGGGCAACTGGAATACCGCCCAGTACGAGGACCCGGAACTCGCGCCATTTGGCACGGCCGACTTTCCCCTTGTTACCTAGGCCAGAAATACCCACCACTTCGCCATCGGCGAGCGATGCTTCGGGCATGTCGACAGACTGTAGCGCACGGTCGGAGGTGGCGGCCGCTGCTGCGGCAGCTTCGCCGTCTTTTCTGCGCTCTGCACGCACTTTGCGCAGGAACTCGTTCCACCGCACGGTCCGATCACGTTGTAGGGAGTCATGTAGTTCTGTCAATTGCTCGAGCAGCAATTTAACGGGTTCATTTTCGCCTGCAGCCAGACTTAATGCGGCTGGCTCGTCGGAGGAAACTCCGGCAAACTCGGGGCGGTCTGCGACTACTGTCGATGTAGATGCCGATGGCTGAGAGTTCGAATTGACAGAAACTGCGCCACGTTTGTCGACAGCCACAGCAGAATTGCGAGGTGAGCTGTCGCCTGCTGTGGTGAGGGATACGATAGGACCAGCTGAGGGCGTATGTGACAGCAATTCTGCCGGTCCCGTGGGTACCCTCAAGTAATCTTGCCATCTCCGAAGTGCGACTGTACCAGTTTCCGGGATCTCGGGGGACGCAGACACAGGCGAAGGCTGAGGCTCTGGCACTGGCTGTAGTTGCTTCAAAGAGTCGGATGCATCATCACCATCGGAAGCGTCGCTCCGTAAGCTGCTGAGAGTTTCCGCAATGCTGAGCCGGTTGCTGCCTCCGGCATTCTTGAAAGCGTTCGCCTCCCTTTGTCTTTTCTTCCGACGCTGGTCGTAGATGAATCCAAAACGGTCAGTCAGCAACTCGCCTGGCTGGTAGTTGTTGTACATGTTCGAAAGAGTAGGGGGTCTTGATTCCAGGGGAAGAATGGCATCCATCTCAACGGGCCCGAGGCTGGTCGCGTTTTTAGCTGTAGCGTCCGGGTTCGTTCCTTGCGAGACACTTGCAGATGGTTGCCTCCGGCTGATTTGGCCAGATTTGGCCACGCTGTTGGGCCCAGTTGCCCGCCCAGGAGCGCTGTGCACGCTAGTATTGCTATTGATCCGCTTCAGTGCGGCCATGGCTGAAACAGGCCCCTTAGCATTAGGGGGGAGCGCAGGAGATACACCTTTGCTACTACCCCAATTCGTGGATGAAGCTCTGCCGCGGCCATCATCACTATTGGTCTCGTCCTTCGCTTGTGAGTTCCCAGCAAACAACTTGACCGTCCACGAGGACAGCGACTTGGATGACTTGCGTGAGTGAGTACTGGCGTCGTCTCCGCCAGTGGATGCATTGAGATGTTTCCCAGCAACTTCACCCGCACTAGGCCCTACTTGGCCTTCTGGGGGCTGAAATAGTTGCTCGTCCAGCGCTTTTCGGCGACTAGAGGGGTTGGTAAGATTTCGCTGACGCTGGGTTTCTTCCTCTTCGACCTCACCCATCACGCTGCTCGCCCGACTCGTCTTCCGGCTACTCGTCGTATTACCGAAAATAAATTCCTGCCAACTTCGAATGGACCCGTGTCTCTTGCGATTTGTTCCCGACTCCACGCTAGAATTGCCAGAGCGTGCATCGCTATCGAGACGCTGGGGGCCTCGAACAGTAGCCTGCACATGATTTGAAGCAGCGTCTGTGCCTTCCTCATGAACATGAGATCCAAGCCCATCAATCATCGCCTGCTGCATCAGTCCGTGCATACTGGAGGCGGAGCTCCCTGGTTGTTCGGTGTTGCCACCATGTTCCTGACTAGCTTCATCGCCCAACGGCGCATTCTCCAGCTGATATAGTCGACGCTCAATGTCCTGATTCGAGACAGAAACCTCCCGAAGCATCCTCTTCAACTCCCTCTCCCTCGCATCAGCCCGCTGTCGCAGAGCTGAAATCTCCGCATCGCGCTGTGCCAAATCACGGGCGAACTGTCGCACCAGCTTAACAGCACCGGTACTCGCAATCAGACGCTCAATATGAGAATCATCCGCCAGGTGCAACGCCCCCGGAAAATCGCGAATGGGCACCGAATCCCCGAACAGGGCAGCACGGCCAGGGCTCGGTGTCGAGCCACCCGTCAGCCTGGCCAAGGTAGACCTCCGATCTCGATTGACATCCGGTGTACTTTCACTACCTTCTTCACCTTCCAACAAGGCATTGGTCAACGCACGGTTCAGCGCGGGCTGGCCGACGAACCCCTCTGGGGAGCGGTCTGGGGAGAGCGAAGGGAACGAGGTCAGGTCGGTGGCTGTGGCACTGGAAGAGGCCGAATTACGTTTTTGCGAGCGGGCACGGACGGTCTTAGCCTTCTGACTTCGCCGGGAAGAGGAGGAGGTCCGAGACGAGGAACGACGCGGTAGTTGTGGGATATCGCACTCCGCCATGACTCGAGGGGCGGTGAACAGAGCCAGATACTTGGACTGCGGCCTTCATGTATGCTTCGTTTTTTTGTTCTATCTTCTTTGCGTGATTTCTGAAACAGGAATGCAGAGTTTAATAAGTAGGATCACCGGCGTGTGTCTTTTTATAGCCTCTAGCTTTGTGTTCTTGCTGTGCTACCTGAGGCCGGTTTCCGCTGTTTGCGACTTTGTTTGTGCGGCAGATGGTCGAACTGAGCAACCGGAGATGATGACAACACCCGCACGCTAAACCGCAAGACGAAGAAAAAACTGGTAGAATTGCAAAGTAAAGCCGCGGAAGAAGGAGGTCGATGCTGAGACGGAGGCAAGGAATGACAGGAACGCGGGGGGAAAAATTGAGGGAGGAGAAAGTAGCAGCCAGGGTCTGGAATGCCGGCTGCTTTGGGGAGCCGAACGAACGGACCATGACGTGTGGCTGCAGCCATGTGACTTGGCATGCCGCCAGCTCACGCTTATGTAAGAGGGACCTGGTGCCTGAAATTTAGGGATCGTCGATCTTCATCTCCGGCGGTGAGGATGCCTTAACTCCGACGGGAAATGATGCCTCAGGCTCAGCATCTCCCTCCCTCGGCTTCTGCTCTCCGTCACCTGACCCTCAGCCTCGGTTCTCCGCAGCCGCCGGCCGTCATTCTGGGGGGCTGCAATGGGGGGATCGACCTCGTAGGAACAAGTAAGATGGTTGTTGACTTCCGGCCGGTGTAAAGACAACCTGTTACACTCTTCCCTCCCAGATTTCAGGATCATTGTCTGATATAAAGGCCAAATCTCCAATACGTGGAGCTAATCAACGCGGTCATATTTCTGTTCTCCATACTTCATCCATCATGTCCTCAGTAGCCAAACGTCGTCTCCAAGCCGTGAGCCAGCAATTGGTGGAAGGCATTCCGGATGCAGGCACATTCGAGGGCATTCCTCGCATCCGCCAGGTTGCTGGCGATTCTGTCGGACCGTGAGCATATACTTACAACTCCTTGTATACATACTTCCCTCAAAACTAACAACGTACCACCGAACCAGCCGAGTCAAGGACAAAGTCGCAATTGTAACCGGTAAAAACTCCCCTTCAACATACTACTCACTATCAGCATGCACAAATACACACACACATAGAAATACATACTAATAGCAACCAGGGGCCAACTCCCCCGCAGGCATCGGCCGCGCCGCAGCGCACCAATATGCCCACAACGGCGCCAAAGCCATCTACATCTGTGACTACGCTGACAGCCACCTGGCAACACACAAGCGGGAGATTGAATCCCTGTATCCCGGTGTAGACATTCACATCCGCCAATTCGACGCGGCCGACGAAGAAGCCGTCAAAGCAGTCGTGCACGACGCACTAGAGAAGTATAACCGACTGGATATATTTTTCGCCAATGCGGGCATCGTGGGCCAACCGAAGATCTTCACTGAGGTTACGGCGGAGGAGTTGATGAAGACGTTGAATACGAATGTGGCTAGGTGAGCATCCTATCTGCATCGAGGGAGTGAAATCCTAATATGATTCTTGGAATAGTGTCTTCCTAGCAGCCAAATACGCTTCCGAGGGTATGAAGCGTACCTCAGAGGCGAAACGGTACCCCGGAGGTTCTATTATTTGCACAGCCTCTATTGCGGGCCTGCGCTCTAATGGTGGTTCGACGGATTACTCTGCTTCCAAGGCGGCGGTTGTTTCCATTGCCCAGACGTGTGCGTATCAGTTGGCTGGGACGGGGATTCGCATCAATGCGATCTGTCCGGGGTTGATCGAAACAGGCATGACTCAAGCGATGTTTGATGCCGCACGGGCGCGAGGCACGGAGCGGAAGGTCGGGCAGCTGAATCCTCTGCAGCGCGGAGCGGTTGCGGATGAGGTAGCTCGGGTGGCATTGTTCCTGGGGAGTGATGAGAGTAGCTATGTTAATGGGCAGGCTTGGGCCGTATGTGGTGGTCTCAGTGCTGGACATCCGTTTGTGCCGGGCAAGTTGGCATAGTGGGTATCCAGCATGCTATCTATCAGGTTACTCAAATTACTCTTCTAAAACGAATACAGAGTCTTCAAATGAGATTTGTAAACCAACAATTACATTCAGAGGACCGCAGAGGTTTTTTTTGTTGCGGTAGGGAATTGGCTGGAACCAATCCAGTGTATCTCTTATACTCCAGCTAGCAGCTTTCAAAGCTGCCCTAGTCAACAGGTAGAAGTATGGACAAATGGAAACAGGAGGATGACAGATAGGAAATTCGGGTGAATGAGGGGTCGGTCCAACGAGTGGAAGCCAAATGATCTACTACAAGGCGGGAGAAGTCCATGGACTCTCAAGAAGGCAAAAGTGGTATAAAGACGGGATGGCAGGTGGGAATAACCAAAGCAATCAATATAGCCGTCCCGTGAAAAAACAACTGGGGTCACATGGTGCTCCCGAGGAATGTGAAGGAAAACAACGCCTGGGTAGAGTCACGGAGTAATAACAGAAAAACAATGGGAATCTCCAGATGAAAAAGAAAGGTGAGATAACAGAAAGGTGTCGAAGAAATTCAAGGCAGATAAATCAATGCCAAAGAGTGGCCACAACTCGCTCTAATTCGGACAAGATGGTAGGAGCAGACGTCGCGTCAAAGGTCGTCGAAATCAAGCGTTGCATCGTCGTTCTAAAGAGACAATTACGCAACCAGTCGGGAAGAGCCGGCCCGAATGAGGTCCTCGCTGGCCTGCTTGGACAGAGTGCCTGTCTCAGTGTGGTCATCAAGACCATCGGTCTCATGAGCGCGCTCATCATCATCCTCGATGATCCGGGTCGGGATCTCGCCAGGCCCATATTGTTGACTCGACCTCTCCGGGAACGTCGAGCTGCTGACCATCGACATCGATGTGCTGGACCGGTTGTGCACCAGGTCTGGGGTCGGCGGGACACTAGAGCGCCGGTGGTCGGGGTGCAGCGAGTGGTTGTCGCCGTCTCCCATCTCACTACCAGCTGGTGTCAAGTGCCCACGAAGTCCGTCAGTCGTCAGACGACGGCTTCCATTTGGGGTTGTCTTGCCGGATGCGGGGAGGTCATCATCCTCGGCATCTTGAGCGAGCTGTAGGCCTTCCACAGCGGCAGCACACTGCTCACTGATGCTGCGGATGATGTCGGAAATTGCATCAGTCTTGTCACGCAGGTAGCGATCTGCAACATCAGTTATGCTGAGACGTGCAAGACGGTTGTGACTTTTACCCATGCTGAGGAGATGTTGCTCCAAGTCAGGGCTCACATTGTTGGCGACGCTCTTCGCCGAGATGTTGGCACTAGAGCGTCGCGATGACACAGCAGATTCTCTCGGTGTCTCAGCATCCTGTCCGGCTTCCTTGGCCTCGACGGCGGCCTCCGGTTCGGGCAGCTCGGTCAGGTCGGTAGAGCTACCAATCGAACGGACAATGTGCTCCATGTGATGTGTCTGGCCATTAATAAGGCTGCGGAGACCCAGCACCACGCGCTGGGCCTCATCGCGTTGCCGCGTGAGGGAGGCATTGGAGTGCTGCAAAGAAGCAAGCTCCTTCTGGTTGCGCTTCCTCTCGCGTTCGAGCTCTTCAGCAATTTCCTGTTGGAGAACCAACGCTTCCAGAGCATCGTCGCGCTGCTTCTCCGTGCCGGACAGGCGGAGAGAGAGACGAGCCACATCATCCTTCTGCTGGTCAATGAGACCAGTAAGACGACGATTCTCGCGCTTGTGGTTCTCAATCTTAACCTTGAGCTCAGAGGTTTCCTTGGTGAGCGTCTCAGCGAAAGCCTGGAACTTGAGGAACTACATGGGGTTAGTCTCCGAATTCTACACGAGGAATGCAGGGAAGGGGAACGAACCTGCTGCTTCCAGGTCTCCAGCTCCTCAACCAGGAAGTTGTTGCGCTTGGTGACCTTGCTGAGCTCGGTGTCCATGCGACCCTTGAGGTTGATGAAATCCTGCCAAGCTTCCATCGCATCGCGAGAGTACTGGTTCCTCTCACGAACAATTTCATTCAGATGGCGCATGGAAACCTTGGTCATGAGAGGCTTCTTAACAGAGCCACCAAAGATGGCCTTCATGCCAGTGTTGCGTCCCTAGTACACAGATTGTTAGTGAAAAACAACTCACACATGATTTGCGGCCAAAGGGTTACTTACCAACTTCTCGCACACATGATCCATAACGTTCATCACAGCATCCTGGTTCCACCAAGAAGGATCCTGGACGCTCTCAACCTCACCCCGCATCACGATGATCTGCCCAGCGGGGATGAGTTTGCCACCGGCATAAGCAGAACGGAGGTGGTTGGGAACACCCGAGGGTGAAACATCACCATTCAAGGCCTGGGTCAACCGGTTGATGAACTTGGTGCGCTGACCGGGAGTCAGAACATCGGGCGGGCTCGATGTCAGGACGAAATTGCGGTCCAGATCCACGACCAGAGCATCAGAGGGAGCGTTAAACAAGGTTCGGCACTCAGCCGTGACACCGAGAATGTACGGGCCGGGCTCTTGAACCAAATCCTTAATGTGACGAGCGTGGACAACGGGGACATACAGTCCACTCCATTCGTAAATGCGAACGCAGTAGCGGATGGTTTCCGCAGCCATGGTGAGCATGGCTGGGTAGTGGCTGACGAAGATGATACGACGTGTCGGCGATACGGCGGCTTCAACAACACCCACCACATTTGGGATTGACAGACAGGTGAAGAGGGGCCACATGGAGAAGTTCTGGAAGCCCGTCGGGGACGATGGGAACTGATAGCACAGAGCGTAGTCCTTCATATCGATGCGAACCAGGTCGTTGAGGCGGGGCGCGGGAAAGCTCAGAATCCGCGAAACCTCCTCCGCATGGAACAAGTTGGTGGCCTTGTTCCAATGAATCCACATGCCACGGAGATAGTCGCCCAGGAGGTCGTAGAGTGGGTAGCGGGAAAGGAAACTCAGGCAGTATGGGATCCAGTAAGTCTCTTCCGGGTTATCGTAGAAATCGGGTTCCGTTTTCTTGCGCAATTCGCGGATCGTTTCTGCACGCTTGTCGTCTGCGCGGGACCATACTCGCAGGGCGATACCGTAGAGGGTGTGAGAGGAATCCTGCTGCAGAACGAAGGCATGATGGACGCAGTGAGGCTGGTTCTTGCCGGTGCAGATCTCTACATCGTGAGGGAAGCATGCCTATTACGGCCAGTCAGTTTCAGCCTTCATTCATTCTGCCAGATAGCGGTGACTTCAGAAAAAACATACCCTCATGGCCGAATGCAAGGATTTGGCGATTTCATTATCTTGTTCCAGACGGGGACTGCTTCCCAGGATCTCCGGCAACCAAAACTGGCCCACGGCTCCTTTCATGTGACCAATCTTTCCCTGCGCTGGCGCGGGAGCCCGGACCCATTGGGACGGTTCCCGACCAACACCGCAAACCATGTAGGCATGAGTGAGGGTTTTGGGGGTTCGCTGAGAAGCTTTCGTATTGGCTTGCGAAGGGATGGGTTGCGTAATGCGGGAGTGAAGTGAGGAGGTGCGACTAGGGACGACAAGCGAGTTCTCGCCTTGGTCGCGGGTTGACGGCCGGTCGCGAGTGGACGGACGAACGAAGGAGGCGTGGTCTCTCAGAGAATGACCCATGGTGATGGTTTTTGTCGATTTTTCAAGGGATTGACGGGGAATATTATAGTATGTACAGACGTGGGTTGCGTAATGGACTACTTTTTCCCGTTTGGGATGCAGGCGGTCTCCGAACCTTGGTTCCGATGGTTGCGTCCAAACAGTAGTGAAATCACGACTGGCTGTTGACTTTTTGCCGTTTCCTTTTTTTGCTTGCTAGAAGACTGGATGGCAGGTCGATAGAACAGTAGCACTGCTAGAGGTCGAAAAGGGCGTGATGGTGAAAGGAAGGACGGCTATTAGAATAGGGGGGGATGTTGTTGCAACTAAAAAGAGGGAAACACAGCGGAGATGAGATCGGACGGATCGATCACAACTACTCCCGCGAACTCAATTGATGGGCATTTCTCACGCTCTACAGCACATCTAGATTGGAAAAATCTAATGAAGTGTGGAAGCGAGGAAAAACAACTCCCTTGAGTGGCGGTTGTGTTGATACCGGACGGTCCTGATCCTCGGAGGGGGAGGAGTTGGATAAGGAACGGAAAAGGGAGAGAGAGAGAGGGAGGAGGAGGACAAAGGAGGGGAAAGAGGAAAGAAGAGGGAAAAGGGCGTGAGAGAAAGAGAAAGAGAGCGAGGGAGAGGAGAAGGGAGAAAGAGAATAATAGGTTAGGTTAGGTTAAGCCAGGTTAATTGGAACCGGACGGAGAGAGAAGGGGAGGAAATGGCAAAGCAGGGAGACAATCTTGACCATGAAGAGTTAAGGTGGAAAGAGGAAGCGGTTAGTAGAGGTTCGTTGACCACTAAAGGGGGCAGAGAGGGCCCGGTGGAGGTGGAGTGGAGAGCTGGGCCGACGAAGTACTGTTCGAGTACTCTTTGGCTGCGAGAACCACCCATGAGATACTTAAGGAGTGACCTTGCCCTCTCTCTTTAAGTAGACATTGTCTCTGTTGGAAGAGAAGTCATAGCAGAACTTATAAAAACCGTATTATATATGCGTACTGCTGCCATTGCAATTATGGTATATTTCCTACATAATAATAATAATAATCATAATATCTCCAGGAGTGTAACCTATCCTTAACCGTATATTATTTTTTTTTTCTGTTTTTTCTAGGCTGTTCCTGCGCCGGTGGTGGTGGGGGGGAAGAACCGCCTGACTATTCTACTAGTCAGGGACACTCTTGCTCTAGTCGCTCCATCACGGCTTGACCTCGTGCGGCCGCTCCCACCCGGACGGGCTACCACTTACCAATAATTATCCTTCCCTGGAAAAGTACAATCAATACCTCGTAATACTGCGCTTCCAGTCCGGCCTATCGACTTCTGCTGCATCCCTGTCACAGTCCTTGCGCCCGTGCGGGGAGAAGAAGCTTGTACTCAGTGGATGGACTGCGGCAGGTGAGAACGCAATAATTGCCCATATTCAAGGAGAGGGGATGCCGCCCTTCATCCCCCCTCTCTTATCATTCCAAGACTCTGACCATGCGACAGGCTAATATCTAGTCAAGACGATATCCCGGTTCAAAATCCCACGATAAGACTGTCTACTATTATTACTATCCATCCACTGCTAGTAGCATGAGACGGACGGCCCGAAAGTCTCTCTTCCACGCGAGAATGGATCTTCCAGGCACCCTGCCAAAACTGTTGAGAACCGAGAAACAAAGCAAAGGGTGGAATAGGAAAAGAAAAGTAAAATGGAGAGATCATGCCCTGAAGAGGATAAAAAGGCAAGGTACGGAGTAAAACCAGTCGCATTTGGCACGATGCGAAATGACAAATCCTCCACGGGAAGGTTCAGTCGAAAGTTAAACCTCTTAGTGCCGTGTCTGACCAGGACATTGGCAGTCTTATTCTTGAGGTTGATCAGTCCGTAGTAGTCAGACACACACACACCCCGGTCTCTGGTCGCAGATTCTTTGATCTAAACACCTACACCAGACCAGGATGTGACCACGCTTCCCTCCTCCGCGGTTTCAATCTGCCATGTCGGGTCCAACTGCAGTACACCGAACGTGGGACAAGAAAAACTCCCCGGCTATGCAGTCAGGTTGGAAAACCCTAACAATGCTGTTCTCTCTGTACTGCAGCCCCTTACGAGCGTAATGATATCTCCGACGCGATAAATTTAGCAAAAAGCAGAGAGAAACGGTGCAACGCCGGTGAACTAGTTAAACTGGCGGGCACGGTCATCAGGGGTCTAAGACAAACGTCCCGGAATGGGAGATTACGGTTTCTCCGCCGGACTTCCCATCCTCGTCGGTTGATGAATGGGAGGTGGTCACTCCTCCTGACCGCCAAACTCTATCGACAATTTGATTTCTGAGATACAGAGTAGGGCAGCGACAGAGGCCTCATCTAGTTGGCTAGGCCCTCTTTGCTCTGTACTCCGACGGTTCGTGTCAGAACCAGATCAGCTATCCCTGCCTGCGCGTGGAAGATCATCATTTCAGGATGCGCAGTGGTTCGCTCTCGGACGCTAAGGCTCCAGCAATTAAGACTATCAACTAAGGGCGTACGGCAGAGGCCACCATAAGTGCGGTCTGGCTCATGTAGGACGGCAGTTAGGGGCTTGTTCAAGTCGCACTCGCATAACTAGATACTTGCATCGCTGACGACGTCCCCAGCCGAGAATTCTCCTCCAGCGGCTGAAGATGCGCGCAAGCAGAACGAGGAAAGGCAATACAACCTGCCATCTATCTCGACCAAATAGAGTAAAAGCAAGACCTCACAGCAAGTCTCTCAACGAAGACTTTGAATCTGGTTTTTGGTGCATAGGCCATGGGCGTCGCCCGGAATTTTCGGCTGTTCCATTCAACCCCTATTGAAGTGTTTGTGTGTCTCCGTTTTCAGACTCGAGCGCATTGACACTCGACCCTCACGGCTGCAGATTGTAATTCCGGTGTCATTCTCCAGAACATCGCTAGACGCCCCCATCAGGTCCATTCGGTCGGTAAGCGACGCGTCTGTCTCACTCGCCCGCCGCTGGGTCCGCTCCACCGATCGAGTCAGTCCGCCATTTACCCTGACAGTCATTCGTCCACCGGCTGCCGGAATATCAGATTCAGTGCATGCATGAGAACGTCGATCTAGATCCCCAGTCTGAGGCGCGTACGTGATTGCAAGATCGGGATATTACCAGTCCGACAAACATTATGCTGTGTTCACAGACATCACCCGTCAACCAAGCCTGACGGTGTCGACTCGATATCACAAAGTACATACCCAAGGCAGCAAGCATGAGGAGCAAGGCAACAGAAGGCAGAGGGGGGAAAATAATAAGAAACAAGACCGCACACCGCCAAGTCTTTGGGGATGGAACTTGGCCGAAGGATGTTCTACCTGTAACAAAAAGCAAACCGCGATCGGGCCCTGCAGAAGCCAGATGGAGACTGGATACCGTCGCGGCATGAATCGTATTAATTTGGCCATCCATGGTTCACCAACGGGACTCGGGATTCTCATCTCACGGTCCAGATCTGGCTGTACCAGACTTTTCACCCGCTCGAACCCTTTGAACCCACTGCACGCACCATTATCAATCACAGAAGTTCAAGATAGAATTGTTTGCTCTTCAGTGCATGCCTCATATATGAAGATTGCAAGTTGACCTGTCGACCGGTTACCTGTCTGTATCCGAAATTAGCATTCGGTTAATCTATCCAATGCTCAATAATAGGGCCTGCCTTAGCTCACCATCGGCACTCATCTTTGGACCTTGAAATCTCCGACATCAACACAAAGAGTTTTAGAGGTTGGTTTCGGATACACGGAATACTACGCCCTACCAATAACCAGGACGAGTAATCACCTCCACTCGCCAAAAGTGCGATGCCGAGAATTTACACATCTCCAGCAGCTTTCGTCGACTTATCCCAACAACGGATAGAATTTCCTGATACAATTTCTACACTAGCACAAACAAGAGAACAAAGAGGTATAACGGCAGCAGCAACAACAACAACAACAACAGCCAAGCAACCCTCAATCCCACCTGTATCAATCAAATTAACCCGATATTAAAAATCAACTAAAGGTGTCTCTCTCTTTGTCGCTCGCAGGGCAATAATGACAATAAAAGAAAATTAATGCCAACCGCATTGGTCGCACACAGTTTATTATTCTCTCTGCCGATCGCTTTCTGTATCCGTCGCCTAGTGTTTCATCATTTCCACACCCCCGAAGTTCGCTGTCCCACATGATCGCTTCTACAATCTTTCCGGTGTTTTCTCGAGCTTCGTTCCATCTGTCTACTAATCGATGTAGACACTATATTTGTCCAATGCGCCCAAGTTATGTAATTTATGCACCGGGCTTACTACAGTACTATTTGTCCCTGGATAAGAAGTAGACACAGAGCAGTATAGTACTTATTATATATTGCTGCTGATGCCAACGCAACAACAGATGGCGCAACTAGCTGAGTAGAATGGAAGAGCGAAGTGGAGACTAAAAGGGGAAATTATCATAAACTAAGTAACTATAAGAGCACGGCATTAATCCGATATGTCATATTACTATTAGGAGTAGATACCGTAGCCAACCAACCAACCAGGGATTCGCATTTCAGCCGTTGAACAGGGTACGGTTATCGACCGTTAGACGCTATGCATCAATCCTGGCAATTAACTAAGACATATCATAGATCATATGATAACACACCCCCTTTAGTCTTACAGTAGTCTGGTGGTGGTAATCCGAACAGTTGCGCTATTACTGCTACTACTACTCCGTAGAAGATGCTAGTGATCGGCAGACATAGGCCGACTGCTAACTTACTTCCGGCTTATTCTAAGTCAAGCGAAATGATTCCCAATCGATATTAGATCTATTATAAGTACTCATAGCAATGCTAGTTATACATGTTGACGGAGAGACAGACGAATCATTGAAACACGTAAACCATCCCCGCGCGATCAACACTCACAATCATCCCATACGGGCTTCTCAGTAGTGCAATATCCTGAATAAAGTCCAGATGACTCTTCAATAACTGCTGTTGCTGCAGACTAATCACCGTGCTCCGGGGTAGACGGCCACTTCCGCTCTTTTTGGCATTGGCGGCGGCGGCGGAGCTCTTCTTACTGCCATTCTGGACTGGGTCGGGAGTTGAAGAGGAAGGAGTCGGAATGTGCTCCGATGTGATGACAAGGGAAGGGATGGGTTGAGACACGTCGTAGCGTGGTTTACTGGTCACAGCGCCATCCGTAACAACGTCTAGCCCGCTGATAACACTGGAATGCTCCGGTCGGGTGAGGTCCCAGAACCGGATCTTGCGGTCGCAGCCGCCTGAAATGATGAATCCGCAGCGAGTGGTGTTGTCGCGACCGTCGTCGGGGGTGTCGAAGCCAAGTGCAAAGGCACCGATGCCCGCGGAAGGTGATGGGCCGGATGGATGGTGGTGATCTGTTGGGCCCGATGCTAGTCCCTCCATTGCAAATCGGCTAAGCATTCCCTCGGGTCGGCTGCTTTCGACGTGCCAGGGTTCGTAGTCTCGTGCGCTGCTCGGGTATCCTAGTCGGGTAAATCTGTGAGGGTCGGTATTGCCTGCGTTGGGCTGGTTTGGGTTGTTGACGCTGGGTGTGTCTACTCGGTATACTTCTCTGCAGCGGACTCTTTCGATATCCCAGACGGTGATCTCATTGCCGTGGCTGCCGCTGCTTGAGACGCAGACCCATCGTCCACGGCCCTTGGTTGGATGGAGCTGGATCCTGTGGATGGCGCCAGATCCCGAGAGGCCCCAGGCTTTGAGTCGTACGCGGAAGCGAAGATCCCACAGGTCGAGTATGCCATGGGAGGTGCCGATGAGGAGCCAGCTGCGCTTTCGGTCGCAGCAGAGAGTAGTTGGCGTGCCGTGATGAACTGGGTTCTGTAAAGAGTACGCCGGAAGCATTGTCTTCATGTCTAATGCCAGGACACGACAGGTGTTTGTGGCAATGAGAAGCGTGGACTGGCCCTCCAGACGGAAATGCTCCATCCAGATGGGATACTCGACGGTTCCGTCTTCAGCTGTTGGGAGTTGGTATTCTCGCACAAGTTGAAGCTTTCCATAGCGAACGGTTCCGTTGGCATTATGGTAATCCACTTTCACTGCATGGATACTGCCGTCATTTGCGCCGGTGACGAAAGTGTGAGTGTTCTCCACAAAGGTCAGCGCCTTCAATTTTGCTTCGGTAGAGTGTCGGTATGTCTGACGGGATCTCGGTGTAAGATTTTTCTCGAGACGAGTGGTATCCCAGATCTTAGCGGTGCCATCGTCCGCAGCAGTAACGAAGAAGGCATGGTCCGGTGCCACAACCACGCGGTTCACAGGGCCGCTGTGTTCCCCGAAAACGGCTACAAGACCTCCGTTCGGTTTCCACACCTTGTCAGGCTCTTGCCCATTGGCCTTTACAATCGGACGCCTTACGTCTATCTCCTTGACATAGGGCCCTAGATCAAAGAAGTCGGTAGGATAATTCTCCGCAAACACAGAATCCAGCAGTTTGAGGACGACGGGATCGTCGCCCGCATAGGAGTGATTGGCGTGGAACCTAGGGCCCCCCTGTTCAGGTGATTTCCTGTCACGCGGTACAGGAGAAGGGGAAGAAGACACCTCTGCTCTCTGAGATGGCAAATCAACCTTTCCAAAGGCATTGGCCGAGCTGGTTCCAGTTTCTGCGTATGCCTTGGCTGAATCCTTGCGGTTTAGTAAGCTCATAGCACTGGATTTCCGATGGACACCGGAGGCCAACTTTCTAATCGCAGGATTTTCCGCATCGGTAGGTGTCGATGAACTGTCTTGCCCGGGACTCTCCCTACCTTCTGAGCCCCTACGTCCAGTATCTGAGCTAGGAGGTGACAAAGGCCGTGACCCGGGCACTCCACCGGGTGATGATGCTATTGGTGAGGATACTGGCGAATTCTCCGCCCGGATGTTGTCCAAGGCACTCGGTCGTGGGATTGTCAGGGCAGCTCCCGGGTCCCTTTGACTCCGTGAGCGCATGTGCCTCCGGCGGGAATCAGGTCTGTTATCAATGGTCGTTGAAGCATCAAGTAGAGCATCCGTAATGGTATGCAATTTCCGCTCGTCAGATCTATCGTTTTCAGTCTTCCCGATAGAACTTCTGCGTGGTCTGGTGTTCTGAGTCTTGTCAAAGAATACAGTTTGAGGAGTCACACCGTGCTGCATTAGAGCAATGACATTGTTCAAATCAGAAATTCCATTTTCTGATTCTCTTGGTTGACGCATCGACACTCTCCATATGTACTCTCGAAGGGCTAGAAGTTTAAACTCATCATCGTGGTTCATTCCCATATTTCTCAGACGAGCAATCCACTGCTCATCCTCCTCATTCTTGGGCTGCAGGCCAGGATGAGTGGAGGCTTTGTGTCCCAGTTTTGTGAGCGAACTGTCAGTTCCATTCAAGGTGAATATTCCATCACGACTTGCTGCTTTCCAGAAGATACCCTTTTCTGTCTTCGATACCCAAATAAATGCTAAATCGTATACGCCCCTTGTTAATGGCTTTTTGAGTGCGTCGAGCATTTCTCCCTCGGTGAAGTTCATTATCTCTGCTATCACAAAAGGCTGCACGAGAGGGGCGAGGATGCAGTACTTATCGGCGACGGAGAGGAACTTGGTTGAGCTGACTACAAAATGAACTGCTGCCTCGCGGATCCAAGCGTTAGGATGCACGAGGAATCGGACTGTAATATGCAGAAGATCCCACGTAGTAGACCGTTGGAAAAGACCAATATTTGCCATCACTGCTAGTGACCGAAGGACCCTTTCAACAACAAACTCTTCTGGGTCTGTCATTGATTGGACCATCAAGGGCAGAATGTACTGCTCCAAGCTTGTACTTCCAACGTAGATTGCAACGCCAATGACCGCCTCAAAAAAGGCACACTTCAGGATCCAGTCCCTGTCATTCAAATAGGTGTTTAAATGGCTCAGAACAACCTCGCTGGTTTTGAGATTACCAAAGAACACACAGAGGTCGGATACGGAACCTAGAAAGGCGCGACGGACCGAAGCATCGCTGTCCGTCAACAGAGCTTTAGTGTGAGCCTCGAAATATTCGAGAAGGTCGACTCTCGCAACGTCATATAAATTGTGATAGGTAGCATCTTCTGTCCACCTAGGTTCAGATCCAGCCGGTATCAGAGCGGGCAAGCGGGTGTCAGAACGCAGTGCTTGGATCATATCCAGAAACCTTAATGAAGATCGTGCCAGAGATGCAATGCATGAAGCATATGCAGCCCGAACCAATGGACTCGGGTTCGAACTGCCACTAGGGATGAACGGTTGCAGTCTGGGAAAGATGTACTCGGAAAATAAGTACGCGTTGACCGGCGAGACCACGTGGACCATTTCCAATAACTGTGCAAGAGCACGTATCGCAGCAACCTTGACGGAATCTGCGCGGTCATTGAGAAGAATCATAATATATGGAAGAACGCGATCTAACTTTGCCTCGTCGGACAATCTCTCAGCAAAGGCAAGGAGAATGTCACAAGCTTTGATCCGTGCGGACGATTTCGAAGTATTGCGGAGATTAGATACCACAAGCGTCAGAAAGATCAGCACACCGTCATCCGACTGAGCTGGAGACTTAGGAGTTGGCTGTCCGTATTGTGGTAGGTCCAGTTGAACGGGGAAGGTATTGCCAGTTAGCCTGGAGGTAGTGCGACTAGAACCATCTGTCGAAGACTTCGGCGAAGCCCCCAGAAAGTACGATATCTTATCGAAATCATGAAAGACTCGCTCTATTCTCTCATCAGCTTCCCCTCTACTTGCTGACTCGGCCTCAACATGCGCTCTCCCCGATGACGGATCAGTCATGAGGGACATGTACTGGTGTAGGAAGCTGTAGAAATAATCAGGGAACGCCTTGTTCTTCCAGAAGTTGAGATACTCTTCAGCCGAGTACCTAGACTCTGGCTCGAGCTGAATCATGTGGAGGATTAACGCGCGGATCTCAGGATCCTCGATCTTGGAGAGTTGGCCATGTTCTGGACTATACTCTCCCTTGCGGTATTTGTAGATTTGGCTCAAAGTGAATATAGGCGACTCCAGAAAAAGCTCCGCGATAACGCAACCTGCACTAAAAATGTCCATAGCCCAGTTGACTTCCCTACTTCCTGGTTCTTCGCCAGCCACGAGGAACCTTTCGGGAGCCAGATAGCAGGTTCGGCGTCCTGACGTGTCGAAGTAGAAAGAGAAATCAGCCGGGTTATCTTCTGGAAGAAATGTTGGCTTGAAAGACGAAGAAAAGTCGGACAAATAGAGCCAGTTCCATGAGGTGACCAAAACATTCTCTGTCTTGATATCGCCATGGAAGACGTCCAGCGAGTGGCAATCCCTCAGTGCGCAGAGCAACTGAAAAGCGATCCACTTCTTTTCGATGTCTTCTGGAAATGGACGGGTACTACATTGTATTAGGAAGAGTCCACGGCAATTCTATGCGGGTTACATACCTCATCCGGTCATAGAGAGAGCTGTGTATGTACTGGCGGACGAGGTAACCGCCAGTACTGGTTTCCAGTATTCTCTGATAGCTCAAGGCATTTGGAACCTCAGACAATAACTTGCGCTCCCCTGCAACTTGTCAGATCTCCTTCTGAATATTAAGTCTGATGCTCATTGGACTTACGGAGGATAGCTTTAATATATGGTTCCAGCTTCATGCTGGGGTAAGGCTTCATGATTACCTTTACAAAGACCAGTCCATTGTGCTGCCTCGCTCGGATACTTTTCATGAATCGACCACCACCCATCGACTTCTCATACACCAGGTCCGCGAGCTCGGGAACATCGATCCCAGCCGAACCCGCGGACAGGGTTGTGAGGGAATAGCCTTGGCCCATGGTGTTGAAGTGCCTTCATCTCATGAGGCTTTGAATTCGTAGACTATATTAGGCATCTGCCATTAATTACCACAGAGGTAAGCCGATCGAACGATCTACGGCGTTGATCATCCCGGCACAAAGCTCAAAAGAATGATCGGAGGATGTCGCAGGATGAAGTCAGTCCAACGCGTCTGGAGGGGGTCCGATAGTGCATATCAGTCACATGATGCCGGGGAAGGCGGTGAGTCTGCAACATTCCGGAGCCTGAATGAAGCAGCCTCATGGGGAACTGAAGGTAGGACTGCTACTCCTTGACAGGCGGATTTAGTAACAAATTTGAAGCTCGTCTCAAGGAATATGACTTGATTAGTAATTTCTCACCCAACTATACGACAACAAGTCGATCGCGATTAGGGAATCGATTGTCTAAAAACTTCTATTGTATCGTACTATTTATTCGGACTGATCATTTGACTGACAGGTGTCGATCCACCACTGAAAACACGGGAATCTCCTCCCTACCATCCAATTACCGCGAACTCCTTGATGTTTCACTCACCCTCTGGCATTGCGAGTTCAGGCACTGATGTGCTGGCAAATTCCCCATCTGATTCGGTGACCGCCATACAATGATGCGGTGCTAGAGTGTCGAAGCTTGTTTTGCCTGCCGGTTGGCACCAAGCACTGCAGCCAATCACAGCGCTGAGGACCCTCATAAAGAACAACGGCCCCATTATTGTGCTGATAGCGAGCTGTACAGCTAGCTGGTGCACTTTCACGCACTCATATTTAGCAGCGCACCTTAACTCTGGATCATTAACCAGCTGCGTCTCACTGCTGGGTGACGATCCACTTGTTCTTGATTTTTCTCTCTCGACGTCTCTGCTGGCAGGATCTCGAATAACCTCAACCTTTCCTTTGAGCCCCTGCTCGGATAGTTATTTAGTACCCGTCACTAGCTCCTAGTAACTAAAGTTAGCATTAGCTGGGGACGTGGCTCACCGACAGATTATCGGACTTTGCACGCCTCCAAAGCAAAATCCCCTGCAGATATCACGACCTCGTCTGGGACGTATTCAGGTACTGTTTCTTGTGGCCTCTCTCCACACGCGTCATATTGGCGTGTCCCGCTGATCTCCCATGCAGGTCAACCAATTCTCCCACCACATGGCTTCCCTGAGGCTGGAATCCTCTACTTCATCGATTGCACCCGCTGAACAGCCACCTTTTGAGGTTCCCATTATTGATGATAATGAACCACTCGTTGATGTGGTTCGCAAACTACATAAGTACAGCTGGCCCGATATTAAATATTTGCATGGCTAGCTCTGTTAACAGTTACGAAATAGCTATCTGGTGGTCGCTATTAATGATGTCGCATGCACCTTTGAGGAGCTAAGGTTTTCTCCCCATGGCCAAAGCCTCCGGCTGCTCCTGTACTCCTTGGCCGAGAACTCGCACAACCCATGTATAATCGCTGCTCTGATGTAGGTAATTCCTATCAAGCCAGACTCTCCCGACGGCTCGGTGGTGTTGAGACATATCTTAGGATCTTGAAATGGCAATTTACCAATGATGCTGAAACGGACTGGGGCTTGAATGAAAGCCGAGGATATGCTTGTGAATACGTTGCTTGGCAATTTCTCTGTCACGTCAATCAGCGCGAAACCATCGAATTCCTTCTTGAGGAACTCAAAACTCCAATGCAGGGCAGTACAGATATCTCACAGGCAGAAAGAGGCACATCTGGGTTTGCGACGATGACCGGTGAGGCTTTTTCGCAAGAAGACGAAAGGACACCATTATTATTGAGCTCGTCATCTTCGCTTTATCGGTTCTTTGGTGGCAAGAGACGTGCAGGAAGCTCACTTGACATAAATGAGCCGGGGACCAACATGTCTGCAAGTGACGCATATGAGCTTGAAAAACTGTCAAGGTTCTTTGGACTGAACGCACTCGAGATAGCCACAATCGCCCAAGCGAAAAGATTTCTAAGCCAGAAGGTGGTTCAGAAAGTGATAGACAATATCTGGAAGGGCGAGATTGTCTTCTGGGACTCTTTGAGCGTGCATTCGAAGAAGAAGCCCCAGTTTTTTAACAAAAGGTAACTCACTTCTGCACTACGTGGTGTAGATGCCATATGCTGAAATCTATGTGTCTGGCAGAACCGCCGATCCGTACTCACGATTGAGAGTGCCAGTGTATCGGAAGGCCTTTGAAGCGGCCTTCTTTGTCTCGTTTTTGTTCCTCTATTATGCGGTGTTAGTTGAGAGGAAGCCTACTGGCATAGGCATCTTTGAGACTATGATGTACATCTGGATCGCTGCTTTTGCATATGATGAAGTCAGCGGGATGGCTGATGCCGGAATGCTCTTCTACCAGATGGACTTCTGGAGTGCTTGGAATATGGGCATAATTGGCACAGGCCTTGCCTTTGTCATTGCCAGTGAGTCATTTGCACCATGCCACTGATCTGCCTTGCCTCGACTCAGCTCTTCCAGCTGGGCCAGTTTCCGCAGCTGGGCTCACTGGGCGGGCCGGAGTATGGTTGGATCGCTGACTTACACAACCATCCAGGAATTATCGGACTAGCCAAACAAAGTGATTACATCACGGATCTCTCGTTTGATATTCTATCGCTGGAGGCATTGTTTCTGGTTCCAAGGTAAAACCAAGCCCCCCTGCTACGATGATCCTGATACCTGTTTCAGGTTCTGACACGACAGCTGAACAGGATCTGCTCCCTTGTGAGCTTGAACTCCTATTTTGGAAGTCTGGTAAGGCAATCCATGCAGCCGGAGACCCGGAAGAACCCTGTTCTGGAAGCCACGTTGACAGTTTCGACGCACAGATCCCTGTTCTCAAAGAGATGGTATAGTTACTCCGCTCGCCCAGACTGTGGCAGGTGGCGAAAGGCGCTGACAAGGGGGCCTAGACAAAAGCGTTTTTTCGATTTATTCCGATAGTCGTAGTGCTGTACCTTGGTAGGTGATCCCGATGACGCATAGGACAAGGCTGAAGAAGACCAACGCGCGGTAAATGTGCATCTGCAGGGTTCCTGACCACCTTCACGATGCTCGCCCGTGACCGCCTCTCTCTGCGGCAAATGTCGTGGATTTTGGTGAAAGTGTTCTTTGGGTATGGCGGTGAAAATAGCCCCTCATCGACCGCTAGTTGACTGACAGAGCGAGGTAGATCGAATGTGCTGGGCTTCGTGCGTTGTTCCTAATCGGGTAACATGTGTTCTTCAAACTGACGGTGGCTGAAATGATTGGAAAAGGACATCGCTCACGATGTGAGTCTAATGCAGCAGCGCGGCCGCCATGCAGCCCAAACCCGGATTTCCAGGGGTCTTGCAGAATCGGTTGGCTCTCGTGGAAAGTTTTACTGACGCGCTAATTCTTAGATTTCCCCGATCTTTGGCTACGGTCTGATGTGAGTGCTTCTCCAATCCCCAGTCCTCTACTGCGCCACAGGCTCCATGAGATGTGTCGGTCGCATACACTTTTGGTCACGTTGGACGTGTTTCCAGCTGCCCTGTTACTGCGATAACCAGCCATGCATTTTCCTTCTCCTCCTCATGCTTCGGTGGAAATTGAGGCGATGCGACCCAGTTCCTAGAGGCTGGAGACCCGGTGCCGCCCGGAAACACATGGCGTCAAATCGGTCGCGGCGCAGGGTACAATGAAGCCTCGCGTGTTTTCGCGAATAGCGGCATTCGGACGATCATCCCGGCAGAATCATTTCGGTGCTCACAGGAAAGTGGCTGATTGGTATGGTCGATAGGTTGATTTTCGTTTCGATGACCAACCTTCTGTTGATCTCGTCGTTGGTCAGTCTCATGAGCATGAGTCTAGAAGGGGTAGGTCCAAATGTCCAAATCATACTGCTGGGTGCGGGGCTTGCTCGGCCTCCTCCTCCGACATGTTGTGTTATTGTTATTGTGCATGAGCCATGCTAATCTGTCTACCCAACCGTGCTCCTTGTCCAGGTCATGGCGCATGCCCGAGAAGAGTATCTCTTCCAGTATGTGTCATGCTACTTTCCTTCGGCCCTATGGCCCCTCCCGCTGATGTGTGGTAATAGGCTGTCTATCTATGTGCTAGAGAGCAGTAATTCTCGGAGATTGACGTATTTCATGCCCCCCTTGGTCAGTAAACAACACCCCCTCTCGACACTTAGTTTTTTTGTGGCCCCTGCATGACTGGGTTGGGTTGTGACGCTGACAGCAGCCATGACTCCACGATAGAACCTCATCCCCCTCCTCTGTATCCGCCCCATGAGGCTCTTCTTACCTGCAGAGCACATCCGCCGGGTGCGCATCGTTCTGCTCCGGGCCACCCACCTCCCGTTTGTCGCACTGATCTGGGCCTATGAATCTAGCCGCCGCTACGTCTCTCGGGGAAATAGCCAATTTCCGCCAACTGCCACGACGACCACCGCAAGCAGTCGACCAACATCTTCCATCCAGATGGGGCTCCCTTTCTCCACGCACCATGCCCCGCTCCATGCCTCCGCACTGGAAGGGCGTTCGTGGGCATCCAGCCGGCCTAAGGAACGGTCTAACCCGGGCCAGCACCCCGAAGCGCGCGGACCAACTTCGGGCCAGGCTGGCCGTAGTGACACCGCGGATATGATCGACGAAGTGGAACGGTTGCGCACTCAAGTGGATCGAGTGGCTGCTCGGATGGCCTTTCACCAGCGAAGCCAATGAGGGCAATTACAGAAAGTCGGAAGAGGTGTCAGAAAGTGGTATATTACGGTGCACTGCGCAGGGCAGAAGGAATGGAGGGGAAGGGGGGAACCACAGCGGAAGGATGGTATACACACGCACCTGGCGCCAGGCCGGTGCCAGAGCCTAAAGCTTTAGCGTGAGCACCGGCCAGTAACCATTCCGTAGGTCGGAGGGTCGGAGTAGATGGAGACCCGCTAGCGACGAACAACTTCTTTGTCCGGAATGCACTGGATGATTGTCGTTGTAATTTGTCATTCTGTTATATTTCTTCAGCGATTTTTCTTTTTTTTCTCGTTCATTTCATCCTCTCTCATCATAGATAGAAATGGCATAGATTTCAGAATGGTGTTTAGATGATGTCAGTACTAGTAGTTCTAAAGATGGGTTTTGGAGGGGGATTTGTTCGAAACAGGAAAAATAATAACAAAGGCAGTAGACTAATCATTCAGGAACCGAACCCAACAGGGAGAAGAAGAAAAAAAGGAAGAAAAATTTTCGTCGAATAAATGAAAAATAAAATAATAGTAATCTCAGGAGAATACTGAACGATACCAAGAGAGAGCGGTAGGTAATTAGTAACAGGGAAACCGGGCCACTGCCATGGTCGTGGGAGCCAGAGTGTGTGTCTAGTACAATAATACTCTCTGGTACAGACCAGGATCAGGGCCGGGAGCCCCTCTTCTGCCCTGCCCAGTTAGTTAGTCGTTGTAGTCACTCTCCCTCAGTTCCCGTCCACTGCTTGTCTGTCACTGGCTTGTCCGCCGTTCCCTCAACCACCGAACCTCTCCTGTGTCTCTCTTTTTCTCTCCTCCTCCTCCTCCTCCTCCTCCCTCTCGCTAACTGTTAGTCCAACTAGTATACTTCGGCCCGCGCAGCACCCATATCTACCACCACAATCACAACATCCATCTATCTCACATCCACACACTCCCTCTTAGTCCCAAATGCTGTTCATTGAGGCTCTGGTGTACCGCGGTACCTGACTGGGTATTATTTTTGGCCTATGCATACTACTTCGCCGATATTGAGGCAGTGTTGCCAACCGGCCTTTTCTGGCGACACGCACTGCAATGCTGCTTCGCCAAGCTAGGTACCAGACTGTCGGGTCCTACTATTCCCGTTTCATTAAGAGCAGGAGAGCAGGAGAAAAGGGAAAAAAAAGCGCGCTGCTCCAGCCGACTGTTGCTGATCAGGAAGCCAGGCATTCCCCCCCGTCGATGTTGCCAATAATTCAGCCGCTATTGTTGCCGTCTTTTCCCCAGCGCCATGCTTGTTGTCCCAAGAGGCACTGCATCCCCTAACGTAACGGGGTCTCCTACACCCCCACTACACACTCACAATTACCACTACTATCTGGTTCCCTTCATTTTTTGTTTACTTTGTACCATTCAGATGTCCTGATTTCCTGGCTGATGGATCGGCTGGGTCCCGGTCATGTCCGCTAGGCGACAAATGACGGCGTCGTCCGGTGTGAATCAAACCATGCTCCATCCACACCCACCCCCCTCCCTCCCACTCTCCCTCCCTCCTCGCGACAGGGTACAGCGCCGACTGACACCTTGGCCTGATCACACCCTTCCGGCGCTAAATTCTTGCGCATGGCATCTAATTGACGCGCCTATCTGAATAATGTTGCAGACCCAGGCTGCAGTCCACTTGGACCGGGTTGTTCCAGCTAGGTTCGCTCTGAATTCTTCCCCATCCATGCAGCAACGTCCCGTCAATTCTGCCTTGCCTGATGAGGCGTCAAACCTGTTGCTCATCTCTCTCTCTTCTCTCTACCTGTGCCCCATGCAGCGGTTGCTGTACTCCAATCATCATATGGCATCCCCCGAGATATTTTTTTCAGCTGCTGTTCAGGGTTCGCCACTTATTCTCAACGTCCAGCAGCGTCGCTGTTGAGTCTTGCTACTTATATACACTGCCAATAACTTCCTCACTCTCGTTTGAATAGCATCTACTAGTCATCAATATTGTTGCCTTCTCATCAGCCCTACCCCAGTTTCAGCCACAGACCTCGTGGGAGTTCTGTGAACATTAAAGCAATCCCTCGACCCAGAAACCATCACGAATCATCCTTCTCCTGGTTGCAGCTTTCCCCGAAAATCTTCATTTTTCTTTCCCAATTCTGTTCTGTTTTATGATTAAATCTTAATTTCGTCATGGATCGTACACCTACCTCGTTCCATCCTCTCCAGTGGCTCACTCCGCGCGGGATGATCAAAGGTTACTCAAAGCTTCTCCAGCCTACCCATCACCTGCGCCTATCCCGCTCGATAGATACGATTTCCAGTCGTTGTCCGGGTTAGGAATCTCAAATTGTGGAACAGGATCCCCCTCAAGCCAGATCAGACTCTACCCGTGTCCGGAGCAATATGCACTTTCAACGAGCAACTGGTCCGACCCAATAACGCATTCCCCAAACATCCTCGAAACCCCTCCAGACGCCAGTCGGTTCCCGCCCAGTACGCATTACGAGCCATTCGGTAGCCATGCAGATATCTCAGTATCACCCAGTTACAGCCCAGTTATGGATTTTGGTGCGATGCATGATGAAATTCCTCGCTTCTGGCCTAACACTCCTACCTCCGAAACCATGGCAGCGTCAGAAGGCTGGTCCAATGTGGACGTCTGGGAATCATCTTTCCTGGATGATTCAAACAATACAATGGTCTCCAGAATGCCAGAGATCCCTCGACTCCAACTCAACACCGCGTATCTGCATCCCCAACGACCGGATAATACCCTCACTGAGCTGGACCCGAGTCAAAGTGTCGCGCCGGATTTGGTCCCTGATGAGGCAATCTCCAAGTGGATCGAAAATGTTAGCGAATCGCCCCATGGAGAACAATCCAAGATACCGTCAGCAAGTGGCTTAGAGTGTCCCACGTGTGGTGTCCGCTTCACACGACGCTCTAACTGTAAAGAGCATATGAAGAGCCATGACCCTAACTACGTAAGGCCACATCCATGCGAGACCTGCGGGCGGGAGTTTAGGCGGAGAACTGATCTGAAGAGACACGTAGATAGTGTAAGTGATTTTGGATAGAGTAAAGTTCATGGCTAATAGAACGCACAGATCCATCGGGGAATACGCAAGTATGGCTGTGAGAAGTGTGGTCGGCGCTACAGTCGACAGGACACATTGTCAAGGTACCGTATTCGGATCAAGCTCCAATGTGAAACAACGAACTCACTCTGCTACAGACATCAGTCGGACGGCTGCGATGGAAGAACCCGGAAGACACGAGCTTCTCGAAACGACACAGATGCGCCATACCCCACTGATGACTATTACGCTTCACCACACTAATCAACTGAGAGCCCTTTGATGTTTTAGTTGCCTGCTCTAGACCATGCATGCGTTGACCGCAGCTAGTCATGAACGTTACGGCTGCATACTTTGGGAGAGGATCCATTGTATATTTGAAAGCATGACTACCCATGTATTTTTTTGTGTTTTCTTTGTATAAGCGCAGGGAGGCAGTTTGCTTTTGTTCTGACTGTTTGTTTTCTCATCTGGGAGGCCATGTCGACTTTTGGTTTTGCATTTTTTGGAATATGGCTAGAGATCCGTCATAGCCCGAAGGCGGCTTATAGAAATCAAGCAGCGCATGGCAGGTCCATGCCTTTCGTTTAACAAAATTTAGCCGCCACAACTGCCTCGTTGGTCTTTTGGACTATTCAAAGTATTCTTGCAAGTTATCCACAACTTACTCCGGTGGACCATGATGTGGACCAAGTGTTTGTTGGGTCCACCCAACAGCAGCAGGCTTTAGGTCGCATGGTCAGAGAGAGCTCACGGAGGAGCGTTGCAGAATATTCAAATTGCTTGCTCTTGCAGAATGAAGCCTCACTTCCAAACCCATCGGGACGACTTCCCGATTCCTCTTGGTCCGAATCTACTATAGGACCAGTGTCGGAAGAGATGGGCCACTGGAGAGGAGCTACTAGGCCGGCTGTTCCATTATTGATTCACGCCATCCTATGCCATCTCGCTATCTATGAAGACCCTCCAATGGCGCGTCACCATCCACGAGAATTATCGCCGTGCTAGGCATTAGCCGGTGGAAAAAAGTACGAAGCGAAGGAGCATGGACGTGTTCCGGTCTTGCACGACTCGTTAACAAGGTGCAGCGCGGAAGCTTATGCCAGCTAGGCACACCAGGAACGAGCCAAGTGCTGCATTAGCTGCCCTAACAAACTTAATACACGCCGAAAATCCAGTCCACACGGAACGGAACCGGACACGGGGGGGAGGATAAGTGGGTTGACGAGCCACTCAACGATGGAGGAGCGGCGCAAAGAACGGGTCCCTTGAGCACAAAGAAAGACAAGAGACACACGATAATAGGAATGCTCCATACGACCGCGGGAGTTGTCAGCAAGGCCTACCTATCGTCGTGCGCCATCGAGATAACCATTACCATTCTGGGTTGGAGGACTATGGGGAAGTCGGAAGGCTTCCTAGCGGACCCATCGAGACTAACTGAAGGCACGGAACATGCTCTGAGACTCTGAGAGTCCTTCCTCTTTCGCGGTGATCCCCGCGGCGCGAGTGACTTTTATCTGCGCACATCGGCTCCAACTCTAAGGCGGGTGGAGCCAGAACTCCGTATATCATTCCCCATCCGATAGTTCTGCGACCGGCTATGGTCCGATTTATCGGATGGAAGAATCCAGACCCCTAACGAGCTGGTTTAGGTTCAAACAAGCGCGACACGGACTGGTTCTGCCAAGCGCACGGCACGGATAATTTGACCCTTACGGATGTTTGATCGACTGTACTTCTGGCTTATAACCTGCGACTTATGCTGCCTTGAGAGAAGTTCAAATACCCTTTATATGACAAGGCTGTTCTGATGGTCTGATTTGACGCGCTCAGATTCTCCGGCATTGCAGCCAAAGAAGGTTTGAGTAATTCGTCGGAGTGACCGTCGCTGAAGGCGGGGAATCCTGAATGGCGCCATTGCTCTCAATACCAGAAACTAAGCGCGCGAGTGGAAATTAACTCCGCCCAGCGCTGAATAGCTTCGTTCCATAATCCGACACGGGAGCAAATCCTACGGAGTTTGCTAAATCAAGGGGCAATACACTAACGAGGCATCCTCAAATTAACCACGGCCGAGTTAATCACTACGAATGGGGGCTATGATGGAATTAACGCCTGGACCAATCCTGACGCCTCGTGCATTGGACGCTTATTGGCCCTTGCTGGTTGTTTAGCGAAGAAAGGTGTTTACGGCCTACTATTCGGACGTCCGCGTCCGACGGATCCGAGAAGAGACAATCAAAGTTAAGCGACAAGAGCAGCCCTTGGTCGGACAACTTCCATTAGGATACCAAGACACTAAACCGTCCCTCTGGCACTCGTTGGTTTGGTCTGGCACTACGAGTATGCTTTTCGCGGGGCTTTCAATCTCAGTGGGAGGTTGTGCCAGGCTCCGGCAATGAGCAGGGAAACTAGGACCCGACGGAATGAGACACCCCGATCGATCGGGGCCGAGTCAGTAAAAATAAATTAACCGGGTTGGTAGACGCCTGTTGACCGACCGGTGATGTCCCACCAATTTCTGCAGCTATATGCGTGGGCAAGATGCTATGCTATGCCGACTCTACAGGCCTGAAACTGCCGGACTGAAGAACATGTCTGGCAACGCGCCTCAACGGAAAGTTGTTGGTAATAGTTGCCAGGCATTCAGCGCGGAAGCTATGTCAGCCCCATCAAGATCGGCCTTAACAGGTTGATCAGGCATGGACATTGCCTGTTCACCTCGATCTGCCTCTGACTGATGCGAACAACAGAGCGGGCAGTTGCTTCTTTATCATCTGTACTGATAGACGTTCAATTCAGCTGCTTGCAGACCTGGCCAAGGGAAACGGAGATGCCACGGCAGGGTATCCGGCTGACATAGAGCGCATGATTGGCATGCTGCTCCGACATACCAGTGAGAGAGCGACGGAGTATCCTGATTTCCGAAGCAGTAATGCCGCCAGCCTGAACAGTTTGTCCGTAGACTGCACAAGAACAATAGAAGCAATAGGGCCGCGAGTGACCAAACGGCAAGAAAGGAAATGATGAACCGCGCCGCTCGATGGGTTTTCTGCCACCGCCCTGGCGCCCGCTCTGTTCTCCCCACACCGAGGGGGTCGTTCTCCCTCCCCAAGATTTCACTGTTTTCGCCCCATTCTCTGCAGCACCGGAGGCCTAGTCGATTTCTGTCTTCTTCCAGCCAAATTGTCAGGATGAGTGCCACCACTACCGTCACCGAGCCGCCGAGAATCACGGCTGAGAACGTCGCGACTCTCTTCCCCGAGGTTGACACTTCTCTGGCGCGGGAGGTGCTCCCCACTGCGACAAGCAATGCCTCCGCCCCCGGCGACGAGCTTGCCGGTTATGATGAGGAACAGGTCCGCCTGATGGAAGAGGTGTGTATTGTGCTGGATGAAGATGACAAGCCCATTGGCAGTGCCAGCAAGAAGGCCTGTAAGTTTATCGATCGTCACCAAGCATTAAGAACCTAATCAATGCTGATGGCGCGACTCCACAGGCCACTTGATGACCAACATTGATCGCGGCCTCCTCCACCGTGCTTTCTCCGTATTCCTTTTCGACTCGAACAAGCGTCTGCTGCTTCAACAACGTGCGACCGAGAAGATCACCTTCCCCGACATGTGGACGAACACCTGCTGCTCCCATCCCCTGGGCATCCCTGGAGAGACGGGCTCGCAGCTCGATGCGGCCGTGCTGGGCGTGAAGCGCGCGGCGCAGCGCAAGCTGGAACACGAGCTTGGTATCAAACCGGAGCAGGTGCCGCTGGACAAGTTTGAGTTCTTCACCCGCATCCACTACAAGGCGCCCAGTGATGGCAAATGGGGAGAGCACGAGAGTATGTCTATACCAGTGGATGAGCTGTTGGATAGGTGACTGACCGTATCTAGTTGACTACATTCTGTTCATCCAGGCGGACGTCGATTTGAATGTCAACCCCAACGAAGTGCGCGACACGCGGTACGTGTCGGCGGACGAGCTGAAGCAGATGTTCGAGCAACCGGGACTGAAGTTCACGCCGTGGTTCAAGCTGATCTGCAATTCGATGCTTTTCGAGTGGTGGAGCCATCTGGGCTCGGCGTCGCTTGAAGGATACAAGAACGAGCAGCAGATCCGGAGGATGTAAATGAGGCGAAGATGATGTGTGTGATCTTTTGCATCTGCAGCCTGTACATGGTACCCCTAGTTATATCCCCTGACATGATTCCCTGCAGCGTTTGATGGCCGTATCCATACTATCGATGTAGTGTCCATTTAGCTTTGTTTATAATCATATCTTACCACCACCTACCAAACCCTCCCAAATGAACCAACCAATTAGTTAGTTAGTTGTACTAGCATCCGTCGCCAAAAACAACACACAACTCCCCAAAATCACCGTCCCGACCACCGTAAACGTAACCTGCGTCTTCCACCCACTCTGCACGAGCGCCGCCTTCCGGCTATACTTCTTGACGGTCCGCACATAATTCGCAAACCCATTCACGAGACACGCCAAACTCAGCACCCAGAACACAATCCCTAGCGGTAATGCCATCCGCCGCTCCAATCCCGTCGGCGGCGTCTGGAAATGGAAACTGATTATGATGGCGATGGCCACGATGGCGAGGTACATTGAGAGACGGAGCCAGGAGAGGAAGGTGCGCTCGTTGGCGCAGTGGTCGCGGGCATCGGAGGTGGCATTTTCGAATAGGAGGGTCGATATGTAGGGGCGGGTTAGGAAGATGTGGGATTTGAGGGATAGGGTACTGTATTTTTTTTGTCAGTATTGCGATGCAATGGGAGGGGGGGTAAGGGAGGGATGTGGGTGCTCACTCGTCTGCCAGGATTGGGCGCGTGTTGGAGGGGTTGATTAGTGGGTTGTAGGGGGGTTTGGGGAGGGTGTGGTTGTTGTATTCTTGGGATTCTTGGGATTCTTGGTGTTGTTGAGTTGTGGTGGACATGGTTGTTGCTTCTTCTTCTTCTTCTGTAGATTGAGTGTGGTGTGTGTGTGTGGGAGGGTGGGAGGGGGAGAGTATATTTTTGTGAATGGTGGGTGTGAAGCTACGGTGAGTTTTATGGGATATTTTTCGATTCCAAGAAGCTAGCTATAGTGCTATATCGGTGTATGTCTTAAGTATGAATGCCAACAGAAAAGCACAAGCACAGGGTCCATGTGGAGACACGTGATGCGGTGTCCACATGATGTCATTCTCATTGATCCCGTGATCTTTTTGAAACATTTGATAATGCGATTGTAACGACGTAGACTTTTTGTCTATCAGTTGTAGATATACGATCTATCATTGTCAATCTGCTATCTGCCATAGACAGCTCGTGTGGATTCGGATCATCACTGCTTGTCTGGATGTGATCCACTGCGATTCAGTCTCGGCTGGACCATCTCGTTTGGGATTCTTATACCGTCTTATCATTGGCCGAGGGCTTATCTTACCGCCGTATGTAATACTGGTACAGCATTCCTGGCATCTTTCATCCACCGTGGGGTCCGTCATTTGCGGGGTCTATCATTGCATTCTTGAACATAACATCTAAAATTCTATAGGATATTTATCATCTCTGTGGTGTGTACAGACATCTCCAATATAGCCTGATACTACTACATACATGCATGCTAGCGGCATATCCGAATCTGGTTAAAACTTAGAGAATTGGACCCCATGACTCACTCATTGGTAGAGTGTTCAGCAGTGGATCATCATGGCCTGAGCGGCAAAATCTGCGCTTTTCTTCCTTGCGTAATGCGATTACCGGATCCCTGACATCTCCCATACAAAACCTCTCTCTCCCTGCTGCCATTGATTCTGATAAATCCTGCTGCTTCCCATTCCTGCGGGTCCAATCCCTCTCACACAACATACACACCCGCCCCCTGTCCTTCCCGTGCAATTGCGCGGATGACTGCACTGCAGTGATACATTAGCAGCAGCAATCCAACCAACCAAACCTTCTCCGTGGAACCCATTTCCGACATGGCCCGCCGGAACAGCATACGCGGGATCACAGACGAGCAGCACGGCCGGTATAGATCCAGCTCGCCGCTCGCCCGCACTGCCATCGCCCGCGATATTGAAGACTACGCCGACGACGAAGGATCCATGCTCACCACCGACGACGAAGCCTCCGAAACCTCCACCATCCGCGCCATTAACAGCCAGCCCGGCACGAATCCCCATTCGCTGGCCGGGTCGTACCAGCGGCCCGGATTCTTCACTACCGTCTCGCACGCGACGGTTGTGCCGCATCGGCCGGATAACGAGGGGTTAACGCGGCGGGAGCGGGAGCGGGCCATTGAGGATGAGCGGAATCTTCTCACTGATAATCGATGCATTGAGCCGGGTGTGCAGAAGGGAGGGCGCATGAGACGCGGGTCGGGTGTGGAAGCGACGGAGACGGCTGCATTGTTGGGCGGGCAGCGTCGCGGATCACAGTATGAGACGGTTGAGGATCAGGAGGAGATTGATCGGAAGTGGGAGGAGGCTGTTACCGCTGGGTTGATTCAGACGACGTGGAAGCGTGAAGCTCAGGTCATTGGGAAGAATGCCGCGCCGTTGGTGGTTACCTTTCTGCTGCAGTATTCGTTGACCGTGGCGAGTATTTTTACCCTCGGGCATTTGGGCAAGAAGGAGCTTGGGGCCGTTAGTTTGGCTAGTATGAGTGCGAGTATTACGGGTTATGCTGGTATGTTGCTGTTTAGACCTTCCCTTGGGTTTCTGATATTGATTGACTGTGTTCAGTTTACCAAGGTCTGGCGACGAGTTTGGATACCCTGTGTGCGCAGGCGTATGGCTCCGGGAGGAAGAAGCTGGTAGGTCTGCAGATGCAAAAGATGGTCTTCTTCCTCTGGGCTATCTCCATACCTATTATTTTGTTGTGGTTCTTCGCCGACCGCATCCTCGTCCGGATCGTGCCGGAAAGAGAGGTCGCCATGCTGGCGGGCTTGTACTTGAAGGTGGTTGCGCTGGGTGCTCCAGGGTACGCTTGCTTCGAGAGTGGCAAGCGGTTCGTGCAGGCGCAGGGACTCTTCTCTGCCTCGCTTTATGTGCTTCTCATCTGTGCCCCGTTGAATGCAGTGATGAACTACGTATTCGTATGGCAGTTCGGCTGGGGCTTCATCGGAGCTCCCATCGCTGTAGCCATCACAGACAACCTGATGCCTCTCTTCCTCTTCCTGTACGTGTACTTCATCGACGGCTCCGAATGCTGGAACGGCGTCACCACCCGCGCCCTACGCAACTGGGGCCCCATGATCAAGCTCGCCCTTCCCGGGCTCCTCATGGTCGAAGCCGAATGTCTCGCCTTTGAAGTTCTGACCCTGGCGTCTTCGTATCTCGGCACCACCCCATTAGCCGCCCAATCCATCCTGTCCACCATCTCCAGCATCACCTTCCAAATCCCCTTCCCCGTCTCCATCTCCGGTAGCACCCGCGTCGCCAACCTCATCGGCGCGACGCTTGTCGACGCCGCCAAGCTATCCGCCAAGGTATCCATGATTGGCGCCGTCATCGTCGGGCTGCTGAACATGCTCCTCCTCTCTTCCCTGCGCTACTACATCCCGTACCTGTTCACCTCGGACGAGGAGGTCATTGAGCTCGTCGCCCAGGTCCTGCCTCTCTGTGCGGCGTTCCAGCTCTTTGATGCCTTGGCTGCCAACTGTAACGGAATTCTGCGCGGTATCGGTCGCCAGGAAATTGGCGGCTATGTGCAGCTGTTTTGCTACTATGCTATTGCTATGCCAATTAGTTTCGGCACGACATTTGGATTGAACTGGGGCTTGTTTGGACTGTGGTCTGGTGTTGCGTTGGCCTTGTTATTGGTCTCGGTCATTGAGGCGTTCTTTTTGACGCAGACGAATTGGCATCGCTCGGTGGAGGATGCGCTGCGCCGGAATGCGATGACTTGATATGTACCTGTTAGTGAATGTGTGTGATGATGTGATGTATTATGATATGAAGTAGTGGAGTGAATGTACAAGATGATATCTCATCCCCTACACAATTAGTAACAGCCATGAACAATCCCTCAATTCATGCAATACTTGCCATAATTACGTCAAATTATTTTTACCCACACAAAAGAATATTACAATTAAAACTCCAAAATCGCCCACGTCTGCTCATCCACCGTCGAAAAGATCACACCCGCAGTGAGCAACTCATCTCCCGCCCTGGCCACATCCGGCATCGGCAAACTCAGCTTCGCCGCAATCAACTGCGCATGCAACCCCTCATTGCTCTGCGGCTCCGTCCTAAGCAATTGATACACTCTCTTCGCAACAGGACTCATAGCAGGCAGATTCTTTCCAGCCCCGTAGTCATCCCCTGTACCTCCCATTGCCGCATCCCCCTTAGCACCCACATCACCCACTCCCCCAGCACCAGAGGCACCACCCCCAGGCGGCCCCCTCGTGAAAAACAAATGCACAGCACTCGCCTCCAACAAATGACAATGCACCTCATCCAGACTCTTAACAGGGCGGACGCAATGCGCACCCACAAACCTCTTATTCCCAAACGACTTCAACTTTCCGAACACCTTCGCGTACCCGTTCAACTCTACCTTACCGTCTCTCCTGCCGGTGGCGGCCTTAGTATTGTTGATGTCGTCCGTGTCCATGGAGTCGGCCGTCATGGAGTCGATCCATTGCTTGGCTTCGATCTCGCCTGTGCCGTCGTCGATCTTGTATGTGACGTTTGTGCTTTGCGAGCTGATGTTGCGTACTTGTCCGATGAAGCAGATGCTGGAGATTTCGGCGGAGTCGATTTGGTAGGGCGCTTCCGGGTATGGCTGAACTGCGTCCAGAGCTTGTTTGATGGTTATGGGGCGGAGGGTGGAGTTGGTGTAGTCGGACTGTTATATGATTAATTTCTTGTTAGTGGGGGGAAATGGGATAGATGGGATGGGGTGAGGGGTTGGTGAGTGTACCTTTCCTCCGGATGGGCTGTTGTTCATCTCGCCCGGCATGAAGCCGCCGCCGCCGCCACCACCGCCGCTGTAGGTGCTGCTGTAGTTGTTGTAGCCGCCGTCTGGAGGGGTGGTTAGTTGGGGATGCGTGGACGCGTGAGGTGAGTATGGTGTAGAGGGTGGGGTGCAAGGAAGGTTATTGTGGTAGAGGGGTCATGCGATAGAGTGCGAACAGAATATACTCACCCATGGTGTATATGTGTGATTCGGAAATGGTGAATGAATGAATTTACCTGGGGTATATCAAGTGAAGATTGATTCACTGAAGCAATGCATTTTACCGCATCGGGACGTGTCCGACGCGTCGCGGGGAGGATATCTGTTTGCCCTGTTTGCCTCTATTGTCCTGTTTGCTCCGGCACAACGTTGATGCGACAATCCTCACCGCCCGGCGGAATTCTCAAAAAAAGTCTCGCCGATAAGTGCATATTCACGATAGGTACCATTACTCCAACCAGGCTGACCGGACCACTACTTCAAAATGCCTGGTCGTGCCGCTTCTCCGGCCATGTCGGAGAATGAATTCGACATCACCAATGCGCTGTTTCAAAATGACAGCGACTCCGACAACGAGGCCCCCGCGAAGCAAGCCAAGCGACAACCGAAGGCGGCGGCTCCCCAGCAGCTCGATTTTCTGAACGGCGGCGGCGATGACGACGACGAAGATGACGAGGCGTTTATCGCGGAGACGCAGGCATCTGCGAACCGAAAGGCGTCGAATTTGAAGGGTCGCACGGTGAAGAAGGGTGGTGGTTTCCAGGCCATGGGGCTGAATGCGAACTTGTTGAAGGCCATCACAAGGAAGGGTTTCTCGGTGCCGACACCTATTCAGCGCAAGACGATCCCAGTGATTATGGAGGATCAGGATGTCGTGGGCATGGCGCGCACGGGTTCCGGAAAGACCGCTGCGTTCGTCATTCCCATGATTCAGAAGTTGAAGAGCCATAGCACCCAGGTCGGAGCCCGTGGGCTGATCTTGTCGCCGTCGCGTGAGTTGGCGCTGCAGACTTTGAAGGTCGTGAAGGAGCTTGGTAAGGGGACGGATCTCAAGGCGGTGTTGTTGGTTGGTGGTGATAGTCTGGAGGAACAGTTCTCTATGATGGCTGGTAACCCCGATATTGTGATTGCGACGCCCGGTCGGTTCCTGCACTTGAAGGTCGAAATGAACCTCGATTTGTCGAGTATCCGTTATGTTGTGTTCGATGAGGCCGATCGCCTGTTCGAAATGGGTTTCGCTGCTCAGTTGACCGAAATTCTTCACGGCTTGCCGTCTACTCGTCAGACCCTGCTTTTCTCGGCTACCCTGCCCAAATCCCTGGTGGAATTCGCGCGCGCTGGTCTGCAGGAGCCTACGCTTGTTCGTTTGGATACTGAGAGCAAGATCTCGCCGGATCTGCAGAATGCGTTCTTCTCTGTCAAGTCCGGAGACAAGGAGGGCGCGCTGATGTATATCCTCCACAACGTGATTAAGATGCCTACGGGTCCGACGGAGGCCGCACAGCGCATGAAGGAAGAGAACGCCAGTGGAAAGAGCTCGAAGTTCTCGAAGAAGCGGAAGCGATCGGACGACAAAGCAATCAACTTTAAGGAGTCGCCCACGAAGCATTCCACGATCATTTTCGCCGCTACCAAGCACCACGTCGACTACTTGTACTCTCTGCTGAACGAAGCCGGATTTGCGACATCCTACGCTTACGGTTCCCTCGACCAGACGGCTCGTAAAATCCAAGTGCACAACTTCCGTACCGGCATTTCGAACATCCTGGTCGTCACTGACGTCGCAGCCAGAGGTATCGATATTCCCATTCTGGCCAATGTCATCAACTACGACTTTCCCTCCCAAGCCAAGATCTTCGTCCACCGTGTCGGTCGTACCGCGCGTGCTGGCCGCACCGGTTGGAGTTACAGTCTGGTCCGCGATTCCGATGCCCCCTACCTGCTCGATCTACAGCTGTTCCTCGGCCGGCGACTAGTCCTCGGCCGGGAGCATGGCGACCAAGTCAACTTCGCCGAGGATGTGGTCGTCGGAGGCTTCCCCCGCGACGGCCTGTCTCAGAGCTGCGAGTGGGTGAACAAGGTCTTGGACGATACGGTAGATATCGCCGCGCAGCGTTCCGTCGCCAGCAAGGGTGAAAAGCTCTACTTGCGCACACGTAACGCCGCATCCTTGGAGAGTGCCAAGCGCTCGAAAGAGGTCGTTTCGTCCGACAATTGGACGGCCCTGCACCCTCTGTTCAACGACGAGACCAGCCAACTCGAAGCTGAGCGCGAGAAGATGCTGGCCCGCATCGGAGGCTACCGGCCGAATGAGACTATCTTCGAAGTGAACAACCGCCGCAGCGGCAAGCCCGAGAACGAGGAGGCGCTCACGACAATCAAGCGCGTCCGAACCACGCTCGACTCGAAGAAGAAGCGCGCCCAGGAAGCGAAATCGGAATTCGTCGACGACGACGTCCCCACCAAGTCCGGAGACGCTGACGCCGACGACGCCGAAGATGGTGCCTTCTCCGACGAAGACGAAGCCGGCGAAGGCGCCGCCGACAACATGTCACTTGCCTCGGAATCCGACCTCGAAGTTACCTTCTCCTCCTACAACCAGCCCAGCAATAAGAAGGCCAAGAAAGAAGCCAGTGCCACCTCCTTCCAGAACCCCGAATACTTCATGTCCTACACCCCCAACAACACCAACATGGCCGAAGACCGCGCGTACGGTGTGCACTCCGGCACCAACGCCAACTTCGCACAGGCATCCCGCGACGCAGCCATGGATCTGCTCGGCGATGAAGGCAGCCGCGGGTTCGGCGAGCCTCGCACCATGATGCGCTGGGACAAGCGTCACAAGAAGTACGTGTCGCGACAGAACGACGAGGACGGATCGAAGGGTACTCGTCTGGTGCGTGGTGAGAGTGGTGCCAAGATCGCCGCCAGCTTCCGCAGTGGACGCTTCGACGCCTGGAAGAAGGGCAAGCGACTGACTCGTCTGCCGCGTGTGGGTGAGGCCGAGACACCGGGTCTGGGGGCGGACCTGAACCACTACCGCGGTGGTAGACGCTTCAAGCATAACAAGGAGCAGGCGCCGAAGCGGGCTGATCCGCTCCGCGGAGATTATGATAAGATGAAGAAGAAGAATGAGGCGGCCAAGGAGCGCCAGTTGGGTAAGTTCGGAGGAGCCGCGGCGGGCGGTAAGAGTGAGCTGAAGGGTACGGATGATATTCGGTTAGCCAGGAATTTGAAGCAGAAGAGACGCGAGAAGAATGCTCGACCGTCGAGGAAGAAGTAGGCGACTTATGGCTCGTGGCTTGTGGACTAGGTTTTGCATCTGTAGATACCATGTTAGATAAAAGTGATTAATCATACCAGCATAACTATGGTGATAAATGTAGACTTAGTGCCCGATCTTAGAACACCCCAACACTCCTGTATCCTCATCCCATCTGTCCTCCTGTTCCTGTTACTCTTCTCTCTNCCCTGCCCCTGTTGCTTGCTCAC